ACAGGGTACAGAGGAATGTCACCTTCCTTCCCCAGGAATGGCAACGCATGGGGGATATCATTGGCGAAACAGTATACTCTATTATGTCATATATCATGTCTATAGGCGACGGTTACCACTTTCCATTAGGTGGGCCGTCAACTTGTTGGCCATTTTAAGTTGCATAAAAAAAAGCTAATAGGTTTTTAATGTATTTTATATAATTTTATTCCTTTTTTCTCAAACTACAATCACTACTTTACAGTCATCGGGTTAAAAACGGCAATTCCATTCACTGGTTAATCATAATATCTTCTGAACTATAAAATATACGACTTAAAATAATGTGCAAGTCGAAGATCTAAGTGGAAGACATAGTACTTCTGTGCAAAAACATATTATCCTACGATGTAGGCATCCACTTTAAAATTGGTTTCGAAAATATGATAATGAACACCGCTTAGGATGAGTATGTATTCTTTCGTAATCTATAAATTATCTGGTTCTCAAACTTGAACACATTTTATGTGCTACTTTTTATACAACTTCTTATAATAAACTAGGTACCCACCTGAAAAAAATGGTAACTATCACCTGTAAATAAAGATCTATACGAGAAACCACACAAAAATATCTGGGGATATAATTCAAAACACCCACACTTTTCTAAATTAGCCCTACCGAGAATCCAAATCTATGACCTCTTTTATACAATGCAACGTGCCGTCTATCCTGTATATTATAGCAGACAAAAAAGTATAAGGAAACCTTATTATTGGAGCTTGTAATATTTTCCTTAAGCTTCAATCAGTTGAAATGACGGTTTTTCTCAGTCTGTTTATACTTAGAATATCAAATTTTGCTCAAACGATAAAAGATAACAAGCCTCCAAAAATGCGGGTCCTCTCAAAGTAAAAAGATAAAGTTAACAAGGTACAAAAATAGCAAGCATCGCTAAGGCTTATTCGGGCGTGAACTACACATTTATTAAGCTTATATATAACAATATAGCCTGTAAAGTGAGGGGTATATATATATATATATATATATATATATATATATATATATATATAGCGACAAACAAGCAAGTGGTAAGTGATAACCGCCGCCCATAGACAACCGCAACATCAGAGAAATTGCATATATGCATAAAATCCGCAAGCCTTTTAAGAAGGATCATGCATATATACATCGTTATTACTTAATAAAAAGTATAAATATTGTCAAAATAACGTTCATATTTTAATAATATTATTATTAGCATTAAATACATTTGAGTATTTTAATCGCCGCCATTTTGCGCGGGCTTTGGATGACGACAGTTATTTCATATATATTTTCAGATTTAATTGCTATACAGATCATAGAAGAAGCTATTTTTAACTTAGTCTGTGATCTTTTTGTACTGTCCTGAGCCTAAACGCAATGATACTGTTATTTTAACCATTAACGGCAAACTTTGATACATAATTTTCAATAGAAAAAATTGGCTCCATTTTAGATGAACATAATTTTAAACATTTTTAAATCATAATGAAAATTGATACTGATAAAGTTGATGCGTGGATGGTGACATTATTTTCGCTTCGACCAATAATGAAGGGTTTCACGTATTTTATTTTCCCGTGCTTATTTTGCAAGTGGTATTTAATATATAATGCAATTAAATACGAAGTGAATAACAAAAAAGTTTAAATATAGATATAATGTCTAAACAATAAATAATAATCGGGAAAAAATATTTCTAACAATTTTAAATCATATGCATATTCCATATCGCAAATTGTTGTCAACTTAAATACATTTTACTTATTCCCGAACCACCTTGCTTATATAAATATAAACAAATATTGCTTATATAAATATTGATTAGTCAATTAGAATTATTTTGTTTAATTCTGCTATCAGTAGTATACGTGCGAATGCATCACTGCTCGGAGACTAATGTTGACCTTTTGGCGTTCAAACTGAATATTCGCCGAATGATCAACACTAGGCTCCAAGCAGCGATCTATTAATTTGAAACACGTGACACAACATATGCGTAAAAAGAATAACGGTTGAAGATTGATGACTAATATGAAAGGTCATAAAACTTTTACTAATAATAACAGCAGTCAATTTTCAAATGTTAGCAGTCGCACTTATACAAATAGTAACGGAATTAAATCATTCTAATTGATTAAACAGTTATATGGACTTCCGTAAAATAATACCTAGTTCACTAAAATATTTCTAACAAAGTCAACCGACCGCATAAACTGATTCATTGGTGCTCTGCACACTTAATTACATAAACCCCAGAAACTGCTGCAGTCAGCTAATCCATACTCGTGTGTTGTAAGCTCTCCGCGTACTCGACAAGTTGGAAACGGTATACTGTGTAGTAATTTAATAAGATTAGAGGGGCCCCTTCTAGTTATGTTTATCTTTGGACTTTAACTCGCTAATTTTCAACCTAATTAGTGCGATTTACAGCCTATCACTACATAGTATAAAACAAAGTCACTGTCGCTGTCCGTCCGTCCTTATGTATGCTTAAATCTTTAAAACTACACAACGGATTTCGAAGTGTTTTTTTTTTATAATATATAGAGTGATTCAAGAGGAAGGTTTATATGTATAATACATGCATAATATTGCAGAGAAACACTGATAAATTTAGAGATTTCTAATGTGATGTCGTAAATAAACATATTTTTTGCGCTTACATTACAAACGCTGGCTGAACCACACGAGATAAATCAAAATAATGTACTACAGTATTGTACACCTTAAAAAGGTCAACAAAAAAGTCCGCGATGGTATATGTCTATCTCTTAAGGATAACCCACAATAGCCATTTTTTATTCTTTACATTTTACGGGGAAAAATAGCTTATTTACGAAGTGATTTTAAGCAATACACCATTAATTTTTATCCAATTAAGTACCTTAACTACATTGTTCATTTAATATAGATCAATATGGCCCTTTACAGCATGTAATTTAAATGATTATTTCCGGAGATATTACAGATTTAAAATACAGGGACATAGCGGTGCGGCATTGCATCCTTGCGAAGCCGGGGCGGGTCGCTAGTAAAATATAAAACCTATAAAAATGTAATATACCTATACGTATATAAGCTAAATCACTTATAGGATATGTAGATAGCCAAATAGAGGAGAATAGAGAGCCGAAACCACTCTTTTCAACCCATTTCAAATAGGAGGAGATTCTCAATTCGTTTGTATTTTTTTTATGATAATATTATTTATTTTATTTGTTAAAAATGTTATTGCCATATTGTTTTGAACACTTTTGAAGTCTGTTATGCTCGTTCAATTCTAGATTTCACCACAATTATAAAATATTCTTTGCAATATGTTTATTTATTTAACTCTTTATTGCACCAGAAACATAAAATATATAATGACAATTAAACAATTAAAATGAAATACAGTAGCATAAAGTATAGGTTTAAATATAAACATAAAGATACAAAAGGCTTTATCGCTAGAACAATCTCTTATAGACAATCTTTGGTTAAAGAAGAACAAATAGAAATGAGTAAATGACGCAAAAGTGAATTAATAATTTTTCCCTGCATAAAATACAAAAACCTATAATGCACAAAAACATAATATTCTTGGTCCTCTCTAGTTGAATAGTGTATTTTGAAAAGGAGATATTTTGTTTGTGATTGCATGATCTACAATTATATATGGCGTTTCCTTTTTATCATTCTTTCATTTCATTTAATAAAATCTACCAACTTTTATTCAATTTACGCCAATTGAGGCCTATAAAATCAAAAGCAGCTAAACATTTTTACTCTGTACCCAAATATAAAGGGAGTTCTATTAATTAAAATTCCAATTATTAGTAATATTCTATTTTTTTTTTTCAATCTCGTTTAAAATAAGAATATCGTTTCATATCCTTGACAAAATCTAAGTTTTTTGTAGTATCCTGAACATTTGACAGATTCGGATTTAGTTGTCTTTGATTTTATAGGCTTCAATTTGTCTTTGTCTAACAAAAATGGCTGTACGTACCTACAGTTAATGTAGGCGATAGCATACACCTACCATCACTTTCCACTATATAATTCATAACTTTATATACATACCAATGGTATACAAATATCTAGTGACTGTAATTTTTATACATTACAATGCATTAAAAGACTTTCATAAATTAATATATATGCCAGGAAAAGCATAAAGCGTGAATATTTTACAGACCAAATACACGAACATTATATGCAAATAAGCAACAATTGTGCTACGTTACCTACTATTATAGAAATTACTCATTTCTAATGCATGCTTTGATGAGGACTTTATTTTATTTCATCAAGATAATAAAATAATTTGAGGTACAATACCTACTTATTAATATAATAAAATTGTCATTAAGCGATGTCTGTATATTAATAATATTAAAAAAAATGATATAAAGCAATAGAAGTTAAAACAAAAAATTTTGGAAATTTTTAAAATTGATAGGTTAACTAATCTGTCTTTTCTTTCTCACTGATCATCCCTCACTGGTGCACCGCCAGCGTATACCTTTAGCGCTTGAGAAGTTACTACTCCATTATCATCCGTTAAAAAAAATTGTACTTAAATAAAACTATTGCGAAACCAAAATAAATATTAAAATTACGAAACGTTTCCATTTACCATTAAGATAATGGACGATCAACAGAACAAATAATATTAGAATATCATCAGCTTGTATCAGTTACAGGAATATTTCATGCTTATAAAATTCAATTATGGAGACTCACCTCTCTCACATTTTAACAATTTACTACAAGTTTTAATATCATTGATACAGTAAAAAAAAATACGTAATTGAATGTACACTTTGCCGATATAATTGAAACGGCATAACCGTAAAAAATACACATAAACGGTTTTTCAATAACTTTATATTTATAGCAGGCTATATCTCAGTACGTGCCAGACATGCACGGCGTAAACGGATTATGTGTTATTAACAAATGTTGCATTTTAATATTTTTTGTTTCAGACACTGAATTGTCAGACACAGATTATACTGTGTACGTGGGCCAGTGGACTGACTGCACAACTCAGGAACCAGGCGAACACGCTGCTAAGTCTATTGAAATGTAAATATATTTATTTGACTTTACTATCCATTAATATAAACGCAGAATTTTATAAAATAAAACAGTGTACAGTAAATAATAGATACATTACACGGTTTTTTTTTTTATTCGACATTAAATGGCAAACGATACCAATAGACCTGGATAACATCATAGATGTCACAATATACACTGTGCCTCATATTTTGTCATTCCTAATAGCTAAGGTGTTATCTTACCCTTCGCGGTATGGTCCCGGCATACAATAAGCCATTCCTTTCTTTTCCGTACGTGTCCTAAGAGGCGACTAAGGGAATTTAATGACCGAGAGATGGACAGGAGTGTTCCTCTTAAAACATCACTAAAGCCTAACTGCGGTTGCCAACCCGCCTGCCAAGCATGGCAACTACTAACAAAACCCCTCCAAAGAGGAGATCTACGTTCAACAATGGACAGCTAATGATAGTCTTCAAGGTGAAACACAACCATGCAAGCACAGCTACTAGACGACAGAAACACGAGTACCAGTAGAACAGAAGCAATGATTGATCATTTATTTAGTTCTTATTTATACATTTATTCAGTTTAATGTATAAAAATATACTAAAATATATATAAGACCTATAAAAGCAGAACTGTCGTATTTTTTTTTAATATCTTTATTATTTTTCTGTAACATTTCAGGTACAACATACAAAAAGAGCCTGACTCGTTGGTTTATACACCACGGCTCGGCCTGCAGCGCCGACAGGTCCAGTGTCGAAAGAAAGACGGACGATTCGTCGAATCCATGTAAGTGTACATTTCTTTGATTACCTAATTTTTGAAAATCGTTCACTGGCCATCAATAATCCTGTAATAGTACTATAACTATCCAGAAGAAATTGCTACTATTTTTACTGGATGTAATATAAATTGTCAACATTTTTTACCACCTGTCATAAATTATTATATTGTTATATTTTTGTATTTTATATTTTGATTATAGAACATTAATAAAAACGACTATAGAGTTTTTACAATACCTACTACATATAAAACTGAACATTTTTCCAAAGAAATATGCGTTGTAAAACGAGATATAATTTTGAAACCGCTCATATTAAAGTTTAGCAATATTCCGCGGTTTCTCTCGCGTGAAGCAGTACCTTATATGCTAAGTTAAGATATAACTAATCCGTGTACCAAACATTCACTTCTGTTCAGTAGTTTTTGCATAAAAGAGTAACAAACGTCCATCCATCCATCCTTAAAAACATCAGCATTTATAATATTAATAGAATTCCACAGCTAATGGAGTTTAAATCCAATTTAAGATTTCCAAAGGTGGGGTTACGCATTTAAAATTATTATTAAATAATTATGGATTCTAAATCGTTTATCGTTTTCTCACTTAAGTTTTTTTTGAGAAAAATGTTCAATCCACTGGTAGAACATTCCCTCAAAAGGGTATTAAATATTTTTATTTTACCCATACACGTATTATCGGTATTGTCGTCAAGATTTCATACCCATCTTAAAATTTTACTGCCACATATCTAGACCGATCGCGTGCATTCTTATGACATTACGAAACTGGGTCACTCGTGAACATTGATCGAGTACGTCGATTTTTATGCGAAAAATTGTCGCCGGGTTTATATAGCATCTTCTGTCCTATGGTGTTTTTTTTACGATATTGCTAGACAGCTATGATATCAAGTCACGTATGAAACTTATGTGAAAAGTTACGCCCAACTTAAAACCTTCGCGGGATGCTCGCTTTTTTCTTTTATTAGTTATTTATACATAAAAAAAAAAAACATGGAATCAAGTTTCGAAACTTTTGTTATTGGAATAAATACGTTTATAAAACAATATGGTTTCTTCCGTGTTATTCATTAAATTTATGAAAGATAAATAGGATAATCGTTATTTGCATGAAGTTTTTACAAGCTTTTTTTAACTTGCAATGTGTTTTACTTTGTTAGATCAAATCTTATAAGCTAATCTGGAACCAGTTCTTCCTATTTTTTTTTGCAATGTACAATTTAGATTTTTGTTAAACAAGCTGACGGCCCACCAAAGTGGTAACCGTCGCCTATAGACAACTGAGCAGTACCATGGACATAACAGAGTATACTTTTCTTCCATGATATATATGCGTTGCCATTCCTGAGGACTCAGGTGTTATTCCCCTGTACCCTGTAAATTCACGCCATATGCCATTCTTCAAACCTAAACACAGCCATGCATGTAGAAACACGAATGAGACAGAGGTCCCCAAGCAATCGACTTTTGTACAAAGTCTCCCTCTGATAATCTTATTTTTGTGTATATACCCGAAATTGGGAGGTCTCCTTTTGCCTTATATGAGACTCTTCTTATATATATCGTAATTTCTGGTGTAATTGTATGTTTTTCTGGCAATAAATATCTTGTATTCTATTCTATTCTTTAGTTATTGTGTCAATACCATATTAAATATTATGATATTATTAAAACAACCACGGTAAAACCACCATAAAAAATTATGGATGATGTATATTTTGTCCGTCCTCCTAATATAGTATATCAAATGAGAGAGCTCGAAGAATAAATATACACTTTTAAAAATAAAAAAGATTGTTTTTAAAAGTGTTTTAAGAGACTTGTTTTTATGTATCTACAATCGGGTGTTCTTCTATAATCAGATTGTCTCTAAGTAAAGATCAACATTGTAAGCGCAATCCACTACTCGCTGAAAATCATTTTATAAAGCCCTTCAAGCTCTTAAAATAAATTTATTAAAATTCCGTTCAATTATTTCAATATTCTTAGATGGGAAATAACGATTAAGTCGAAGAAGGTCAAAGATGAAGCTAACGAGCAATTTTATAATGATTATAAATAATATAATAACTACAATATTTAAAAAATAAATCAAAGCAATTTCTTTTTATTTGATATTATTAGAAAAATACTTGTACTTTTTCCAAAAAAAAAAATGGTATAACAAATACTTGGCCGGTTTCGTTGTTTAAGGCATTTAAAACTATATGCATTTGTTTTCTCCGTAGATATAAAATATGTACAGTTTCACGAAGTATCAACAACCACGATTATAAACATATGTTTTAGTTATGTTTTTAAAAAACCGCTCAATTTAAATAACCACATATTCACCCTTTAATTTCTTTCTTTCATCATAAATAGACTTCTGTCTGTTACCAAAAAATTTACTCACATGTTTGTATAATTTTTTCTATTACCAGGTACTGCGGCTCAGCCCTAGCTCGTATAGGCACAACCAGGGTCTGTGTGATGAAAGAAGACTGTTCTTTAGCTGAATGGTTGCCATGGCGACCACGTTCAGATGGTGCTCTTGTACGCATACGTAGATTAAAACAATTACCACAAGGTAAATATAAATTCCTTATGTTTATTTTAAAAATTTTGTGTTCCGAAGAGAAGAGAAAAAGAGAGAAGAAATTTCGAAATTAGGAAAAGATTTATTTCAATAATTTTACTATTTTTTTTTAATATTTAATAGGAATCAGTTAACTTGTTTATTGCTTATTTACTTATATAATTTATTGCTTATTAATAGTATATATAAAATTTTGAAAAGTATCGTTACTTGATTGTACAGCAATGCTGGTCTTCTAAGCAATCAACGAACCAATTGTACTTTCTTGTCATGTAACAACCAGCATTGGTAATATATTCCATATGCTCTATTAGGATTTTTTTAAAAAGAAATATAACTTGGTTTCCATTGCCCGAACATTCATATAAATATATAAAAAAAAAATTCATATCATATAAAATTCGATAGAAAACAGCATAAATATCTTCCTAGTTACTCAATAAATAAAAAACTTTGTTTTTTGCTAAAAAAAAATATGCTTTGTAACTAACACATATTAGCTTCATTTACTTTATTAAATATATATTGGTTCAAATCGAGACAGGTACTGGAAGGGAATGTGATGTAGTGGAGGAAGTGAGACCTGCCGTTTTGGAGCCGAGCGCGCACTGGGTTCCGGGGGAGTGGAGCCGATGCATGATTACCACCGAACAGCCTACGTTCTTCCACATACCACGTTAGTACTAATACTAGTTTTTATTCGCGAAATCACCCATATTACCGGAATATATTAATTAACCGGGATAAAAAGTAGCCAATAGGTATCCTTCTCTATGGTAAATATTATGGTAAATACTAAACCAGAAGCAGACTTTGTACAAAAGTCGTTTGCTTGGGTACCTCAGTCCCATTCGTGTTTCAACCGTAAAGCAGTTGTGTTTGCATGGCTGTGTTTCGGTTTGAAAGGTGAGATATGGCGTGAATTTACAGGGTACAGAGGAATAATACCTTAGTCCTCAGGAATGGCAACGCATGGGGGTATCATGGGTGAAATAGTATACTCTGTTATGTCCATAGTATTGCTCATGTCTATAAGCGACGGTTATAACTTCCCATCACGTGGGCCGTCAGCTTGTTTGCCATTCTAAGCTGTATAAAAAAAAACATTTGAGAGTGAAGGCGCTAAAATATGACAAATAAATAAAAAAACAAAGACATATTCACATATATAATATTGCTGTAGGTACTAAACTTACTTTTAACAATACTCATAATATTTATTGTGATATTAGTAAGAAATTAAATAATAGAATAGAAAATTTATAAGAGAAACTGCTTAACATAATGAATATTCAATGCCCAAAACACCGAATCTAGCAAGTTGACATTTTCAGGAAAATTTATGCTATGTAAATTTCTACTAAGAAAGGAATTTTATAAACACCCGTGGGATCAGAAGATAACGGGTTAGGCGTGAGGGAAATTCCGAAATTTTCTTGCGCTAATATAGTTCTAATAGTGAGCATTTTGTTTGTTCATGTTTGTTATACCTATAAACAACTACTACATTATTATGTCCACTCTTCTTCCACGACTGTCTAAAAAGGATTCTTTATACCACTGTAACTTCTAAATGCTCACTCTGCTAAACTGCTGCCTATCTTTCGACCATTAAGTTCCCTTAGTCGGGGGGAAAGGGATTGTTAATAATGGAGACTATAAATCCCATTGCTAGCAATATACCCAGCCAGGTCGACCTCCTCGCGGTTCCCCCTGGAAACTATCATGGTTAATTCCTAAGGAATTCATCATGATGGGCTAACTCACCTGTTTTCATTCTCATCTCTCAGTCTGTCACCCTTCACTGGTGCTCCGCCAGCGTATCCCGCTAGCGCAGGCGGGGTTACCATACCATTTTCACCCACAAAAAAAAAAAGTTCCCTTAGTCACTTCATATTTAAAGAGAGATACACTATTTGTATCACATATCCCGTCTGCAAACTGATTTTATTTGTTCCGTAGCATAATATCACAACCCTTATGATGCAATATCGTCCATCCGTCCATCTATTTGTCTCAACAATTACTATATTCGATTAATAATTTTAAATACAGTTTTCTTATACTATCATAGCAAGACCAGTATTATATTATCTGTGGCAAGGCAAGCACACGCCCCAGTCACCAGTTTACTCTGGTCGGGATTTCCCTTTGCTTAATTAGGTAATAATTCTACAATCAGTAGGTGTACCTAGGAATTCAAATTACTTTGCATTTACTTTTATCGTCAAAGTATAGTAACTTATTTCAGAAGGTTTTATTTCTTCAATACGGTATTACTGATTGTCTTTAAAACATCCTTATGGGCAATACATTTTGAGATTAAGTCAATACGATGGATATTTTACGAGGTACGTGACCCTATCATAACAACATATCAGCCCGTAGCGTCATTTTATAACCGTACCTTTGGCTATCAAATGAAATGATTTTTCTTTCCATTCTGAGCCAGCTACCGGTCATCAAAAATCAGAATAGTCTATATCGAATCTCTCGAATACATTTAAATTCGAGTACATCTCATATTGAATAAAATGCTAAGTATTTTAATACTTTTTACTCTATTACTATTATTTAAAATATGTCGAATAGACAAGTGGATGTACAAAGCAATATAAGTTTTAATACAGAAAAGTATGATTAAAAATCTAACCTTTGTTGCTCATTCCATGGATCCCATCATTTTATAACCAGCTCTTGAAACTTTAAAAAATAATATCAGCAAAGATTATATTTATGTGAGGTTATATGCAAGAATGTCATATTCAAGAATTTCCATGCATCTATACATATAGACAATATATGTAAGACATATATGTCATCTTTGCTTATTCGTTTCTCTTTACTGCAATATTTTTTATAGAAATTAAAGTCTCTGTATTAAAATATCTTCGTTAAGGCATAAGAATATTCCTTATTCATATTATAAAATATGCCCATATTTTCATCGCGCAAATTTTTGTTCCGCATTTTCTATAATTGTGTACTAATTTATAGAAACAGTTCCAAAGTATATATAGGAAAAAACTGCAGGTTTATACCTGCACGAAAATTATTCTACATATAATTCTTAAATTTAAAACTGCGCCGGAAAATCGCCATAAATGAATTAACTCCGAGCGTAAGAACTGTTTAATATCTTTGATTGAACCACATGTTTCTGGCTCGGTCCATTCCTTTGAAACTCTATAAGGAAACTGTAAATTGACGATTTTGTCTGCAGCAGCCGTTGCTGTTATCGTATTACGATATGCTATTAAAAGTACAACCGGCGATAGCATAGCGATAAAACGAATTACTTTCTATATTAAAAAAATTTCATGATTCGTTCTCAAGCAGTTTTTGATCTTTATAACTGTACCAGATGTTTTCCGCGGCTTTGCTCGCTTGTATAGGGTCCTATGTTTTAAGTTAAGATATAACCTACCTATGTTTACTTCAATCCGTCCAACCATTTAAATATGATTGAGTAAGAAACATAAAAACAGTTAATTTTAAACACTCGCGTTATTTACACATATTCTAAATACACTATCGGGATTTAATAAGTTGAAAAAATAATATTTTTTTTAGGTAAATAGTACCTATATACCTGGTTATTTGTTGCTGACGTTTCGATGCAGAAAATATTTCACGATTACAAGCATATTTAAAAACGTCTTAGAAACTTTCACATTTTTTAATATTACTAGAATTATCCTATACTCAAACTATGTTAAACAAAACACAGATCAAACAAAGTTTTAAAACAATCATTTCAGCCATTACAATGGCCTTTTTGTTTTAAAGTTTTGATTGTAATTTATTAATTAAATTATGAAGTTACAAAATAGAAATACCACAATCTTACGAACCTACAAAAAGTTTCAATAACATCGAGGAATCTAAAAATATAAGAATAGAAACTATTTATTTAAAAATATCTTATTAAAAATTATAATAATTATTATATTTTATTAGCTACTCGGGGTGGATTTTTTCTTATCCGAATTATAATTATTCTATCTCCCAAGTTGAAATAAATAATACACATTTATAAAATTTTATTAAAATAGATTAAATGCTTTTGGAAATTAAAATTAACAAACGACCGTTAACATGAGGTTTTTAACCGACTTCAAAAGAACGATATTCTCAATTTATTTATATTTCTGTAAGTTTGTTACCTCATAACTCCATCATAAACCGATTTGGAAAATTGATTTTTTTTTTCATCAGAAACGATATACTTATAAGTTGGTCTCGTAAAATTTTTATAAAATCCTTTTATTTAATTCAAAATAACTTGTTTTTGTCACAATTGAATGGCTTCAATTGTGACAAGCGTGACAAGTGTGAAAAGTTGGCAGCTTTCTTTGTTTTTTTGTAAAACACAATCTTCATTACTATATGCTCTTATTAATATTAAATGAAAATCCCTTCAGCGACTACCGACGACACTGATGACATCGATGACAGCGATGATTACGATGGGTACGATTATAAAGAGCCGGAGAATGAGGCGACCTGCGGTGGAGGTATACAGAGGCGAAATGTGTTATGCGCCCGCGCAGATGGGCGGATTTTACCCGAAGTCCAATGCGAGCATACACCGTCGCCAACTCTTATGCAACCTTGTGAGGTGAGTATAATTAGGGTGTTAAAGTAAATAATAATTAAAAAAAATGTAATAAATGTAACAAGGGATCTAAAAAAATTATGTATAGGTAAACCTTTAATATAAAATACTTGTAAATTCGTGATCATACATCGTATTCATATACCAGAGGGAGACTTTGTACAAAAGTCGATTGCATGTTGGGTACCTCTGTCCCATTCGTGTTTCAACCGTGAAGCAATTGTGTTTCCATGGCTGTGTTTCGGTTTGAAGGGTGGGATATGGCGTGAATTTACTGGGTACAGAGGAATAATATCTGAGTCCTCAGGAATGGCAAATAGCGAAACAGTGTACTCTGTTATGTCCATGGTACTGCTCATGTCTATAGGCGATGGTTACCATTTTCCATCAGGTGGGCCGTATACTTGTTTGCCATTCTAAGTTGTATAAAAAAAAATTATTATGCTGGTTTATAGTCCCTAAATACCATGCCTTTGTTATAGAACAATTCCTTTGTAACCCGTATAGCGCTTATCTACAATTGTCTTTGTCAAATTTTCCTTATTTTCATTATATTTCCGAAAATGTTATTATTTTTATGAAAATTATATTTTTTTGTGAGCAATTTATTTTAATTTCACATTTGTTCCTAGGTACCGTGTCCCCGGGACTGCGTAGTAGGCGAATGGGGTGAATGGGGAGCGTGCCAGCCCACGGACGGGTGTCCTTTGTTCCCCGTACAACAGCTTACTACCACTGGTTAGTTGTAATGTCATTAAATAATTGCGCGACCCAACTCAATTCTGTTTAGTCACGGAAAGACATTTATCTCTTACTAGCATTTACCCGCAACTTCGTCTGCGTGATAAAAAGTAACACTATCCGATTATATTGATTGTAAATCGAATATTAATACTCTATCAGAAATCTATAATTAATAATATAATAGATTAATAACTCTATCTTTTACGTCTTCTTTTAATCGTTCATTACAGGGCCGTGGTTAGACCCAAGTTTAAAGTAGGGCAAAAGAACTTTTTGGTAGAGCAGAAGGCATCATTAAGTGACTTCGAAAAAGCGAATCTGTCTAAACTTCTTGAGGTATATTAAGGTCATATTAAGTAGGGCATTGGGCCTTTTAAGGTAGGGCATTGCCTCTCAATGCCTCTTCCTCTATCTACGGCTATGATTGACTAATATTCTTTATATAAATATTAAAAATCAATATATGCTGTTTCATATCTGTTCATGTTTTGTACAACTAATTGAATTGCAATAAGTTTGCAATCCAATTATAGTTGTACTATTTGTTAATTAGTATTATATTATAAAAAGTTGTCTGTTTCTGTCTGTTGATGTACTAAATAAATAAATAAATATCAAATTTGTAACAAACAAGCTCATTTTCACATACATAACATTAGTAAAGTTTTCAAACTGATAACAGGCTACAGCGTGCGTCGTCGACGAGTCAAGTCCGCAGCATCAGGCGGCGGTGCACCCTGCCCTCCCCTAGAAGAGAAACGACATTGCTCCACGCCACGGTGCGCCGCGTGGAAGGCACTGCCGTGGGGCCCGTGTATACTGTACGATTCGCACGACACATGCGGACGCGGCAAACGGACCAGAGAGTTAAAATGTATCGGACATGATGGGGTATGTATATTCCCATATTCTTCTCAAATCACGTATACGAGTATTCACTCTATTGAACGTATGAAAATATTATATTTATTATTCAATTATCAAAAAATCACCTATTAATTAGGTGCCTGCTCTTAAAGTATATTGGATCATATTAGGTATGTGTATATTAACTGATTTATTACCTAGGAACACTACCAAAACTGCGGTTGCCAAACCGCCTACCAAACGTGGCAACTACTGGCAAAACCCCTCTATAGGGGAAGGCCTATGTTCAGCCGATATGATGATGAACACTACCAAAAACGATATTTTTTAGTATTCGTTTACTGATAATGTTATTGTATTGAATAAATGAGAATCTATTTAAATCGATATAATAGTCAGTCCCATTTCTAAGAATTCCTAATGAAACTGCACAACGAAGATAAATTCCATAATAAGCCTATGTTCAGCAGTGGACAGTTAACGGCTGATATGGTGATGATGATGAACGCTATAAAAAAAAAAACATTTTTTTAGTATCCATTTTCTGATAAAGTTAGGGTATTTAATAAATACAAATTATTTTAAATTGATTTCTTACTAAACTACGCAACGAAAATATAACATATAATAAACTACATACTACAGAAAGAAGCACAGCGCGGCTGGTGCAGCGCTGCAGGCGCGCCGGCAGCCAGCGAGCGCTGCCGCATCGCATGCGCCGGCGACTGCGTGGTGTCGGCCTGGGGACCCTGGTCCCCGTGCTCGGCGCGCTGCGCGGCCCCCTCGCACCCCAGGCCCACTAGAACCCGCCGACGGCACATCCTAGCTCACCCGTCCCGTGGTAACTACTATAAAGACTTTTTCTTATATAGTTAGTACCGGACACGAAAATCATCAGTATTTTTAAATTTATTTAAATATTACTATACATACTATGATCCTACTATAAATATTTTTACTATAAATAAGAACAAGGTTAGAAAACTGTAACCTGACTGCAGAAAAAAATAGTTTATAATAATGATTTTTCTTTCTTTAAACATACATACATACATATCTGTCACGCCTATCTCCCATTAGGGTAGGCAAAAACAATGGAATGCCAAATGCTTCGATTCAAACAAACCTCTTTCGCTTCTTCCACATTCATCAATCTTTTCATACATGCTCGCCGGTTACGAGTACTTTTAGTTTGGCCCTTCTTCAGCACATCGCCTATTTGGTCAACATACATCTGTCTAGGGCGGCTCCTACCGACATCTCCATTCATTCTTGCTCCATAAATCTCTTTCGTAATTATTTTTTCATCCATCTTCTCGAATTGACCAAACCAAACCAATTTCTTTAAACAATACATGTAAAAGACAGCCTATGCCTCCTGAACCTTAAAAGCTTTTTGACATTAAGACTATATTCATTAAAATCGGACTAGCATTTTATTCGGCACGGTAGAACATATCTACATAAATACAAACACCCTTCCTTTTGACTCACATACTGTACTCATTGACCAGGTGGTCCTGGCATAGGCCACCCCTTCCTTTCCCGTAGGCGTCATAAGAGGCAACTAAGGGAAGGCGAGGAATGGGCAGCAGCGTCCCTCTTAAAACATCTCTAAAACCTAACTGCGGTTGCTAATCCGCCTGCCAAGCGTGGCAACTACGGGCAAAACCCTTCAAAGGGGAGATTTATGTTCAACAGTGGACAGTTAAAGGTTGGCATGATGACTGTATTCATATATATTTTCAGGTGGCTATTCGTGTCCACCCGAACACGAGTTGGTACAAAACGAGACGTGTAATAACCACGGCTGCGCCACATACTCCTGGCTGGCAACACCGTGGGGCCCGTGCGAGCATCGGCACCAAGATTACATGGCCACTGCTAACTACACGGACCTTTCAGTAAGTTCAAGTTCATAAAAGTAAGTGATCATAATTTTTTAATTTAACTAAAATCGTCCGGCCCCTCATAAAGTACTGCTCTCATCTATGAACTAGAATACTGTGATACCAGCTTAGTCCTCTTGACTTGGTTCAAACACCAACTATGAAAATTATCGATGGTCCCAAGCTCAAAGGAGCTATCGAACCCTTAATTTTAAGTCGATACTTTGCCTCCCTTTGTGTGTTCAACTTTGCTTGTACAACAGATTGTATTCTGAGGAATTGTTCGAAATAATGCCCACAGCCACCTTTTATCATCGCACTGCTCCCTATCGATAGAAAATCCATCCTCACATGCTGGAAACTAAACAGTCATGCACAGTGCAGTTTCAGAGGGGTTTCCTCCTGCGAACGTTCAGACTGTATAATAAATTCCCTACCAAGATTTCCTCTAGAGTCTACAATATAGGGTTCTTCAATAAGAGCGTATTGAAGTTTGTTTTTAGTCGACAATGCGCACATGATTACCCTGGTCACAAATATTGTAAGCGTCCATAAGCTACAGTGACCGTTTTCCATCAGACGGTCTGTACGCTTGTTTGCCACCTTTGTGGTATAAAAAAAATTGACCTAACCGACCATCTAGAAATGTCACCAACACTAAGTGTAAATTAAAAAATGTCCATAAACAAACTTTTTTTATTCTATAGGATGGAGAACCTTTCAACGAAAGCGATGAGGAAGAGCCTTGCGTTGAAGAAGGAGTAATGGTGAGACAAGTGATGTGCATCCAAAACAACGCAGACGTCGTCCGCGGTGGGCTGTAAGTTGAATAGGATTTTGTTAATAACTAATAAAAACCGTATCTATATACATATGTAAAGGAAAATTAATGAACTATGGCGAGACGCCTTGATGGAAAGCGCCGAACGCCCCTGAAGAAGACTTTCAGATGAAGTCGAAACAAATATCGAAAATGAAAGAAACACAATGAGTTTATTCATTTCCCATATAAGTTTAAAAAAAATTTCAAAATTTTACTATTTAATTCAATAAATAAATAATTTAAAACATTTTTTTTTATACAACTTAGAATGGCAAACAAGCTGACGGTCCACCTGATGGAAAGTGGTTACCGTCGCCTATAGACATGAGCAGTACCATGGACATAACAGAGTATACACTTTCGCCCATGATACCCTCCATGCGTTGCCATTCCTGAGGACTCAGATGTTGTTCCTCTGTACCCAGTAAATTCACGCCATATCCCACTCTTCAAACCGAAACACAGCCATGCAAACACAGCTGCTTCATGGTTAAAACACGAATGGGACAGATGTACCCAAGCAATCGACTTGTACAAAGTCTCCCTCTGATAATCTTATTTTTGTGTATATACCCGAAATTGCATGTCGGGAATTTTATAAACTTACTACGTTTGTCATTTCCGATAGTTGTTTGGACTTCATACGGAAATCGTTTTTAGGGGGCGTACAATTATTTTTATTTCATTGTCTATGGCCTACTCGGGCAAACGCAATCCATATATTTAATTGTGTTTAGATGTGCACCTCTACATAAGCCGGCAGCGCGCCGAGCTTGCACGGTCAGGTGCCGCCGGCATGCGTGCAAAATCGACGAGTGGATGCCCTGGTCACCTTGCCCTAATACATGTGGTAAGGAGTGTATTTAAAAGAAATACTACAGTCTGTTTCCATAGAACTAATAACACACTCTATAAATTAAATTACTAACAAATGGAAACATTAAATCATGTATTGTTTATTTGTACAATAATAAGACATCAACATAATGCCGTAAACACTCGACATAGGGGGGAAAGGGATTATTAGTAATGGAGACTGAGAATCCTATTGCTAGCAATATACTCAGCCAGGTCGACCTCCTCGCGGTTCCCCCTGGAAACTATCATGGTTAATTTCTGATAAATTCATCATGACGGGCTAACTGGCCTGTTTTCATTTTCATCGATCACCCTTCACTGGTGTTCCGCCAGCGTATACCGTTAGCGCAGGCGGTGTCACCCATTTTGACCCATCAAAAAAAAAAACACTCGACATAGAATGGGTCACACCTTCCTGTCCCGTGGGTATCGTAAGAGGTAACTAAAGACTTAATGGTCGGAGGATGGGCAGCAGCGTCCCTCTAAAAACATCACCAAACTCTAACTCCGGTTGCTAACCCACTTGCCAAGCGTGGCGACTACTGGCAAAACCGCTTTTTTATGGGAGGAGGCCTATGTTCAGCATTGGACAGCTTTTTTAATGGATAATAATGAAATGATAACTCCGCCCGCGCTAACGGTATACATTGGCGGAGCACCAATGAGGGGTGATAAGTGAGAATGAAAAGGCAGATCAGTTAACCCATCATGATAAATTTAGCACGATGGTTTCCAGGGGGGACCACGTTGAGGTCGACCTGACAGGGTGGATATATTGTTAGCAACGGGATTTGTAGTCCGCATTATTAACAATCCTCCATCCCCCCCCACTCCCCACCCCAACAGTGGACAGTTAACGTCTGCTTAGTTAACACAGTCTTATTGTCAGGTCAATTTAATTTATTTGTATACGTTTTCATTAAATTGTACTGAAACAAATTATTTGTACGAGCATGTGTGACAGAACCCGGTCAGCAGACCCGGGTGCGGGTTGTCCACGGAGGCCCGAACTGCGGCCCGCGGCAGGAGACGCGAGAGTGCCCGGTGGCGCCGTCATGTCAGCCACTCGCCGCGCGCTGGGTGACTGGAGAGTGGACCACGTGCCGCATGCCACCAGCACAGCGCTGCGGCGTCGGATACAGAGTCAGAAGTATGTTCTTTGCTTAAATTAATTATTGTTACAAGCTCGCACCTTTTTCTCTTTGTAAGCAAATCCCAACCTTAATTCTTTTAATAATAAATGTCACACAATCACACCACCCAATTGAGAGCCAAGTCCTTAAGCTAGGATACTCTGATATAAAAAGACTAGGCATTTAACATCATAAAGTACACCCAGTCCCTAGTCAATCCAGAAAAGTATGTTTCCCGACTAAGAATCGAACCTGGGACTTGATCTGCGCAAAACAACCGGCCCATCACTGCGCAGCTGTACTGCACTGCACTGGCTGTTGACACTGTAGTTTTTTAGAACATTTATTGTTTTTTTTTTAAGTTTGGTCTGTGAAAGTATTTTAATAAATATGTCTTGTTTTATCATTAAATTGTCAATATATTGTATTACCATTTTACTACCACATTCTGCTGATTAGTGGTACAAAAACACAAGATACATTTTATAAAAGACTGCCACAGAACAACATTTTGAAAACAATGCATGTCCTAAAAACATCAGTGTCAACAGCCAGTATTAAAACTCCAACATATGTATTACAAAGTAACAGGCAAAAAGTTATCTGACACATTATATTTTAAACTATACGTTTGATTACGAATTTGGTCGACATTTGCATCGATTGCAGGCATCTGGTGCGGTTCTGACTCGAACCGCGTGGAAGCGGGCTTCTGTGCGGGCCAGCTGGTGCCACAGAGCATCGCGCCATGTCAAGTGACATGCGACTTCACGGCGCCTCTCACCTGTGACACTATCTGTGCCAATCCATTGAAGTAAGCATTTTTATCTAATATTATAAAGAGTTATTGTTTGTAATGGGTACAGAAGAATAACACCTGAGTCCTCAGGAATAGCAACGCATGGGGGGTATTATGGGTGAAACAGTATACTCTGTTATGTACATGGTACTTGCTCATGTCTATAGGCGACAGTTACCACTTTCCATCAGGTGGACCGACAGCTTGTTTGCCCGTTCCATAAAAAAATGGAGAAATTCAAAAGCAACTAACTATATTATCAACGAGTTATATGCACTGTATTTTATTAAAATAAAAACCGTGCGAAACCAATCGTGGTTGCTAGTAGGTATATAATAAAGAGGAAAATTTAGATTTTTTATATGTGTGTTTGTAATTGATTAACACAAAAACTACTGAATCTATTTAAAAAATTCTTTTATCTATAGAAAGCTATATTATCAATGAATAACACAGGCTATACATTATTTTTAAGAAAATTTGAGATCTCTTTGAAAATTACAATAATGTTACCCATGATAACAAATCAAAACTAATATGAAAGACTAATTTAACATTAGTAATGAATGAACTAAAAAAATACTTAAGCGATTTTCAAAATTCTCTCATTTATAGAAAGCTTCACGATCAGCGAGTAATATTTGTTAAAAAAAACGTGCGAAACCAAACTGGGTTGCTAGAGCACCATAATGTTTCAATTGGCAACTACATGGATCAAACCTTGTAGTACGTTATACTATGGATCAAACCAAGGAAAGGACCACCAGAGAGAGATTTGTATAAAATTCATCTTCATAGATGTCTCTATTGTACTCACATTTTTAACACAAAGTAGCAGTGTTTATTTAGTTATTTCTGTTTAAAATTTCTGTTTAAAAAGTGAAATGTGGCATTAAAATCAAAATGTACGTCATAACTCGTAATCATAACTCATACGGGTCTATAAATATTACATTAATTCCTGTGCAATAAAATTGATTAACGGATATAATATTAATTAATTTGCAGATATTTAGACGCAACAGAACCGGACGTACCCACTTGTGTTTGCAAGAATGTGTCTCTGGAACTCTTGCCAGCTGACTCGGACTGTATTTTACCATACAGGTACCTATCATTAACAATAAAATTACCTCCTTATTCATAAAAATTAATATCTTCTACAAATCTATTACACTGTTTTGTCACTTTTAAACAAATTGAGAATTTACTATTAAAGAAAGTGATAACAGTTTGCCGTTTTTATAGTTTTTATTTTTTATTGGATGAAAATGGAATGGTAACCCCGCCTGCGCTAACGGGATACGCTGGCGGGGCACCAGTGAAGGGTGATCGATGAGGATGAAAACAGGCCAGTTAGCCCATCATGATGAATTCATCTGGAATTAATCATGATAGATTCCAGGGGAACCGCGAGAAGGTCGACCTGGTTGGATATATTGCTAGTAATGGGATTCTCAGTCTCCATTACTAACAATCCCTTTCCCCCTCCGTTTTTATGGTTTGTGTTTATAAGAACAACAGAATGAAATTGAATTCATAAGTTTCCTTTTCAAAAGCAAAACTAGACATTTTTCCCAACAAAGATCAAAAAATTAATGAGAATGTTAATGTGTTCAAATCCATACAATATATTATATATAATAAATATATAATATATCTATCATATAATTCCAGTAACGATTGCGGAGAAGGCAAAACACTAAGAGCCGCCCGCTGCATGATCGGCGGTCACGACGTACCCATGGACGTTTGCAAGAAATATCATCCACTTACTGGTAAACTAATTCTATTTCTATAAAATTTTTCATTACCAATTTAAGATACAGGTTTCTCTATTTCAAAGACCAGCTTGCCTTTGCCCTGAGTTTTATCTGATTTTTGAAATACACTTCAATTGCTGAGAACTCGTCAGGCGAGTTTAGTAGATTACTTCAGATTTTTTTTAATGGATGATAATGGAATGGTAACTCCACCCGCGCTATCGGTATACGCCGGCGGGGAACCACTGAAGGATGATAGGTGAGGATGAAGTAGGTCAGTTAGCCCATCGTGACGAATTCAACAAGAATTGTTTACGATGGTTTCCAGGGGGAACCACGTAGAGGTCGACCTAATAAGGCATATTGCTAGCAATGGGGCTGTCAAACTCCATTGCTAACAATGCCTTTCCCCCCAGATTGCTTCAGTTGAGAAGCACTCAACTTATGTGGTGCTTCCGTTTCACATGTACGCTTAGATTCGTCACACAAGTCAATGTAACCCAAATAACAATAATAATACTTACTATTGTGCCATTAAAGCAGGTTTAGGAATTGAAGTGTTAATTCTCTTTTAATGCCTATTTAAACTTGCTATTACACGAGAGACCAAAAGCACTGCCGAAGCACAATTAAATAATTATCAATTTATTATTTCTAATCAGGTCCAAATCGTGTCCGCGAAGCATCTACTGACGGGTACAGTTATGACGAGGACTTCCCATCGCTGCTACGAGGCGCCTGCACTGTCACCTGCAGACGTGACTGTGTGCTCGGAACGTGGGGCGAGTGGGGGCCGTGCGCTATCGAACCCGACTCTAAAGCTGCTTTCAGATTCCGCACCAGGTCTGTGATTTATATATTTTTTAAATATGGGTGGGTGTAGCAATATGCTCCGTGAATTCATAATATCCATGATAGTGTTTACGTCTATGTTCATTCGGCGCCCAAACTGTTGACGGTTAACACTAGGCTCCAAACAGTAATATAATAATTATTTACCAAAAGACGCCTCGTTTAGTGATTAAACACGCATCTCAAAACGTAATCAAATAACCAGTAATATGGACTTCCGCAAGATAACATCTGATTCAGTAAAATACTTTTAATTATGCCCTAAACCATGGCTGAGAGTACATAACGGAACTTTTTAAAGATGTTAGCGCCAGGGGGGGGGGGAACAATCTTAAATACACCTTTGACGGTAGGCACCCGTCCTAAGTGTACCAAATGTCGTTCCCCAGAGAGGTGATACAGGAGGCGTCGGGCGGCGGGCGCGAGTGCGGCGCGACGCTGCAGCGCGCGGCGTGTGTGCTGGCGGCGCCGCGCTGGGCGCTCGGCGACTGGGCCGCCTGCACGCCGCGCGCCGCGCTCTGCGGCCGCGCCGTCATCAACAGGACCGTCGCGTGAGTACTGCTCTTTGGATGGCCGATAATAGATTGGATACCACGCCTACGCTAGTGGTATACGCTGGCAGAGCACCAGTAAGCGATGACAGCTAAGTATGAAGTGAAGTCTGTTGATCCATCGTGACGATTTCACAAGAATTACCCAGGATAGCTTCCAGAGAAATCCGCGTGAAGGTGGGCCTAATAAGATATATTGCTAGCAATGTACTAATATGATCCTTTGCCTCCGAATATTAACTATTAGCTTGCTGGGGGCTTGTTAAGAGCGCCTAAACTCTTTGTGTAGATGCCATGGAAACTCACTGATCTTCCCCGGGACTAGTAGGTCTTTCAGCAAAGGTGGAATGTTTTAAAACTTATTTTAAGGTATGTGACTAAAACTGGCCTATTTTATCTATAACTCTAGCAGCGATATGCAGGTTATATTACATTAAACTGAAAATCTATTAGGTTTTAAGCACTCGTAACCGGCTTCGTGGTAAGCTTTGTAAATTAGTTGTAAAGTTAATTCTTTTTCTCTATTATCCAGTTGTATAGATTCAGAAGGTAGAAAGCTCGACGATGTGAACTGCGAAGCAAGTGGAGCGGGGCCCACACCAGCGCGGGAAGCAACGTGCCGAGCGCCGTGTCCGAGAGACTGCGTGCTGAGCGCTTGGTCTGATTGGAGTCCTTGCGAACAGGTAGGTCAACACATATTATGGCAGACAAAAGAATTTTTCCCTACCAATCACACAACGGACATGTTTAGAGTTAGACAGAGCAAATCACAACACACAATCGTTCGAAACATGCCAAAGGCGTTTGTCCACTAATTGCTCCTTACACTAAGATAGGTACTGAGATATCTCTACAGCGCTTATAGTGTTTTGATGAATGGGAAAATCAGGATGATGATTTTAATTCGTCCACTAAATGTCTGCAGAATTTCACTTAATCTTTTTCCCCCATGAATTGCAACTAGAACTCCATCTCCTCAGATTATTTAGCATCTCGAAATTGTTGTATGCGGTCCATATACAAAAGCACTGTGTGACGCAGACGAAGTCGGGCGGGAGACGCGACCGCACGCGAGCGGTGCTGCGGCCGGCGGCGGCGGGCGGCGCGCCGTGCGGCCACCTAGTGGCGGCCGAGCCGTGCGCGCCGCACGCCTACTCGTGGCATGTCGCGCCCTGGGACGACTGCCAGCCGCTAGGTAACTGCCCCGCACCCCCCGCATCGGGCGGACGAGATGGCGGCCGACCCGTATAAATCTTAGTGAAATTGTCTATTTATACGCCCTATGTTAATTCATCTAATTTTTAACAGGAGGATCCCCTTGTGGTGAAGGTATCAAAAGAAGGTCCGTCCGGTGCCTTAGAAGTGATGGAGTCTTTGTCAATGACTCATTTTGCCCTGTAAGTGTGTCTTGTCATTATTTTTTATTTATTTATCCCAATCGACTCATTAGTTTAAATTACGAAACCACTTTTAATATAAAACTTTCATGAATTGTTTCTTTCTCCAATATTAAAAAAAAACTCGCAGTACATTATCATACCCCGATACCAGAAACATCTCTAATAATAAGTAAAATAACTATTGTATTACAGAACACGACAGCGACGGAGGCAAGTGAATCGTGGTGCTACGTGCCATGCGGCGTGGACTGCGAGCTCACACAATGGGGCGCTTGGGACACCTCCGCGTGCTCCTGTGGCGATTCATCTTCCACCAAGTATATGCGACGTACCAGGTAAATTATGACTTAATAATCTCCCATTCTAATTAATGTTTCATTCATTCTCTCTCTCCGTGTACTACCTACTGAGTGAGCAGTGGTAGTCAACACAGAAATTCATAACAGCATGAATATATCACAGAATATATTAGGCCCATAATCAGCTGCCCACACACATGCGTTTTGCCACTAGTAACTACAACCAAAAATAAAAATTTAAATAGACATAAGTGTCGCAATATTTATTCAAAGCATTATATTTCAGAGACCATTTAACCACAGTGGTATGGCCGGGTCGAGCATGTGGTCCTACAGAGCACCGCGCACCATGTCCCCGAACGCCCTGTCTAAGACTAGTGGCTAGACCTTCACTTGGATGTCATGTTAAGGTATCATAATACTTTACGAGAAATTACTTATCATAGACATTTTACTTTTCAAATCCTCACTGTTATAACTTAACACCTCTCCGTTGCACGGGTTTCTCTTATAAAAGGGCATTAATCAAAAATAACTTTTAAAAAAATATCCATACGTATACATAAGACGAATTATGAAACTGGTTGACGGTAGATTGTGTAAGATTAAAGAAAGACCTTTGGTGTTTGGGTCTCTCTACTATAATATTTTTTGCCTTCTTTTAAAATCTTGAACTTTCTTTTAATATCCATTAGATACAACACTAGAAAATCTATTATTCTAAAAGAACTTTCTAAGTTTCACAAAATAATTGCAACTCCAAAAATACTTTCGTATCCAGACCTCATCAGGAGAAGAAGCCGATGCTTGCGGCTGGGGAGTTAAAATATCGCATGTGCATTGCGAACTCACCAGTGTTGGAGATGAACCAACAATAGAAGCTTATCTGGAGCCCTGGCGGTGCTCACCAGCGCTACCTGGGAGGATTATTGTTCCACAAATAACGTATCAGGTTAGTATATATGGATCTTCTGTATGTATTTTTTAATGTACTGGAGGATAATAATTAACCCTATTTACATGCCAGAACATACTATGAAGCCATTATATATTACCACTCCTGAAGACTAAAGAATGCCACTTATATTAGAGACATTTTTATTTAAAAGTGATAAAAGTTTTACTAAAGGTCTGCACAGAAATTTTGTACCCGAATAGCATTCCCTTTGAAGATACTTGCCTTTTATTCAATTAATTAATGTTATACAACTTATTTTCTGAAATACATCATCAGGAGGAAGACGTTTGCGAGGCAGACTGTGGATGCAGAGAATCAGAAATTGGACAGCCAGGTCCTTGGGGTGCGTGGGGTTCGTGTCGCGGAGGAGCTCGGTCTCGGACCCGGCAACTGATTCTGCCTGCACGACGAGCCTGCAGGACACCTTCTAGGTAAACTAAGAAATTCTTTCATTATGTTACTACCACTCATCTCATATAAAGGTAATATAATCTGATGTTAAAAGTTTTAAACTTTAAATGATCTCCGTAACACGAACCAAGTGACTATCATTAATAAATGATTAAAACATCAAACGCTGTTCATCTGAACTAATTTGTCATGTCTCTAACAAGCATGTTACTAATACATGTTACTGCACAGTACAGTATGACCATTCCTTTTTATGCTAAACTTACTACTTATTAGGAATTCAAAAAGAAAATCATACTGAGTATATGTCTGCTCGTATAGAAACGTCGTTTATTTATGCCATCGACTCAAATGACTCTTTGGAATAAGAAAGTAACCGATATTGCTCGAAAAGTAGAAAAGTTGAAGTAACAATCAACCGACCACATAACTTAAAACAGATAACCGATGCGAAAGACAGTTGTGACGCAATTAGGTCAAAGCGTTGTAGGACTACTCTCCGCTAAATGGAGCAATAATCTCAAATCCAATGAAGAGAGTCAGTACCTACCTTTAGTGAGTTTGGTTGAGTACAATACCTTTGGTGGATACAGGTGGCTTAGGACGGTTCCTTACGGCATTTTGTGAAGGCATAGGTTTAGAAGTGAACTATTAAACAGCTTACTTGATGATGATGTTGAAAGTAGAATCTGCAGACAAAGTTCAACCAAGTTCACACAACAGATTCGTGACGATTGAATGGGCGAACTGCACGAGCGACGCGGACGAGATCCCGGACCTGCTGGCAGTGGAGCCTCGCGGGGACAAGCCGCGCCGCGCCTGGCTCGAGCGAGACGTTTACCACGACGGATATATTGGTACCGCATACTACTAACGTACTTTTTTTTTAATTTAAATAATATTTGTTCATTTGAAATACAGTCCATTTGATGCAAATTTTGTTGAAATCCGTACAACCAATTATTTCCTTGAATTAACATTATCAGACTACAGGAAACAAGGCAGGGGGAGGCAGAGGTACCCATATTATACTACAAGTAGAAACAGAAGTACCCACCCTTCCGCCGCCAATCAGTTGTGCTTTCACAATTGAATTTCGGTTGGAAGTGTAGTATATGGCAGTATAATTAAGTTAGAATACCATAGTCCTGGATTGCAACACCCAAGAGTACCGTGGGTATCACAGTTTATTCTGTGATCTCCACACTGCTGTTTACGTCCATAGGCAACAGTTACCACCATCAAGTCTACCGTCAGCTTGTATCAATTCTGTATCATAAAAAAATATAAAATCAAGGTATTATCACAAAAGGATTTTTTATTTCATAAAATTTGTTTCTGCGATTTTTCTATATTTTAAATTTTTACTATTGACGTCGCTCTTTTCTTTTTAGAACAAAGTCTTAAATTTAGTACTATAAAAATATTGTAAATTTTTAATCCTTAAAATAGATTGTTATATCAATTTCGATTAAAAAATGCTTATTATTAAATTTGTTATTAAGTATATTTAAGTTGAATAAAAATTATTTATTATTATTATTATTAAAATATATTATTCCATAGAGGGCAGCACTTCAGTTTTGGCGGTAGTATGGACAGCGACAATCGTACTCAGCTTCTACGGAGCTTTTATGCTCTACCGTGGATTTATAAGGTATGATTCAAAATTGACTTTATTTGGCAATATAGGATTACGAGGGAAGGGACTAAGAACTCTATTGCTAACAATATACTTTAATATATTTTGACCTCCACGAGGTCTTCTCCAAAAACCAGGTGCTAAACCAGGATTACTATTTCATTTTCATCCCTTAAAAATTAATACGCAAAGTACATATTAGTCAGGGCCCAATCTAGAGGTGCTAACCGGGCAAATGCCTATAGTGGTAAAGTTAACTCACTGCAACTTCATATGGTCATTCATAGGCGGCAAGTATATATTTTGCTCGAAGTTATTGGTATTTAATCTTTGGAGACATTACAAGATTATTTGTGTTCATTTAATCTAAAAAAAAAAATTATAATTCAGTAATTACACATTACTAAACATTCTTACTGTTTAAAAAATTTTACTATCTTGATATTTTCTAAATAAATCAATGAAACGCGTATAGTTAATACAATTATGACTGGATATTCAAATAGATTCTTAACCACCACCATGAGAGATGAAAACAATTGAAATAATCCAAAACAGCTTTGTAAAATTTTTCCTGTGGAAATAATAATTTAAATTAAAAAATTAAAATTAAATGTATTTATTGGAAACATAAAAATTACAAAAGTAAGGTAGTGTACAATAACAGCCACATTAGTTAACTGTGTCGTGGCTGTCAACGTCCACCAAGCAACGTCCTCAAAGCAGAGGCACTAGCGTTCCAGTAGAATAAATAAAACTGTTAATTAAACAAAGAAAAAGCATGTACATGTAGCACATATGTGCCCAACATACATATAAACATGTAGACATTTAGTTTTACATTATATTATTATATTATATTAGTTTAGTTATATAGCATGCAAAGGAACTAGTATAAATTATATAGTATGTATAATTATATAGTATGTGGAAGTAAGTATGTGTGTGTGTGTGTGTGCGTGCGTGTGTGTGTGTGTGTGTGTGTGTGTGTGTGTGTGTGTGTGCGTGCGTGTGTGTGTGTGCGTGCGTGTGTGTGCGTGTGCGTGTGCGTGTGCGTGTGCGTGTGCGTGTGCGTGTGCGTGTGCGTGTGCGTGTGTGTGTGCGTGTGCGTGTGCGTGTGCGTGTGCGTGTGCGTGTGCGTGTGCGTGTGCGTGTGCGTGTGCGTGTGCGTGTGCGTGTGCGTGTGCGTGTGCGTGTGCGTGTGCGTGTGCGTGTGCGTGTGCGTGTGCGTGTGCGTGTGCGTGTGCGTGTGCGTGTGCGTGTGCGTGCGCGTGCGCGTGCGCGTGCGAGTGCGCGTGTGCGTGTGCGTGTGTATACTACAATACAATAACCCTGTTTCCAATATGATAGTAGATTGAAACTTTTATATTATCTGTGGATATAAACATTCAATGTTACATTGATTTCCAGGTGTCTCAGAAGTAGGAAAATGAGGTCCATCGCCAAAGTATAAATCAACAAGGAGACGTCTTCTGTGAGAAACTCATTCACCTGAACGGGCTGCCGTACTCAGGTTCTGTTATTCTGATTGAACAATACTGTTCCGTATTTTGTTGTCTATTTCAAATACTCTTTAATTGTATTATTCTTTGAAAAAAGAATTGTATGTGTTGTTTAATTATTGCTATTATCAAAATCTAAATGTTATCAATGCTAATTTGTTTTTAAGCCACCTTTACATGTGTGATTTTTACTCATGATTACCTCATTTACAATACAATTTATTGTAACCTAATTCACTTAAATACTTTTGTAATGTCAGTAAAAATTACAATATTAAAGGTGGTTTGGGACTAGTGATAAATGATCTCACTCAATCCTGTACCTTATTGTACCAATATACAGTATACTTGTAAACTTATATTCAATACAGCTTACCTAGACAAAGTGCATTTCTATTAGCGATATTGCTGGTAGATAAGTCCAAATAAGTACCTGTAGAAGTATTAAAAATAAAAAGTCGTAAAAGTGAGAAATGATTCACTCAGCCTTTTTTGGCGCTTTGGCCGATATCTGATTAATATTGTGGATATTTTTTTATTTATTTGAATAACTTTGTTGACGAATGAAAAATATGGGATACCACGTAATACACATTGTAGACACCATGTGTGAATTTAGTTTATAATTTACTATTTAATATGTGTTAGTTTATAAGCTCTATAAATGTTGATCAGTATTGTTAACAATTTGTTTACTTATCTAAAATTTCTTTGCCTTTCGTGGATAAGAATGTTGTTATTCTCAATCTTCGATAGTTAAATACACAATTTCCATTTTTATGCTGGCAATACCATTAATATATTAATATACTAGCGATTTCAGTTATAGAAATGTACCGACTCTATCTAGGAGGCAATGTCGTATCGTCAACGTGCTGAAATATTCTTAATCAGTGTCTATTAACATTTAGTTAGTGATGTAATATCAAATTTATAGCCAGCAAACAGTCTGTCCGCAGGAGTGCTTCCATGTTTTTACGACGTAATTACGCTAAATTAGACGGTTTTTATAACTTTTCCTTGCTAACGATCGGCCGCGTCGCTACGGCTTCGGATTGACAATATTAATACACGAATAGTATTAGCTACTTCGTTAACTTAGAACTGGAGGTCTGTTTGAATAATGTTAGGGTGTAGAGCCCCTAGTTGTTTCCGTTATGACAAGTCGTTGACTGTGACCAGGCAATGTGGGATAGCACAGAGCCGTCCATTTTATATGTCGTCTTCTGGAATTGACGATGACTAAGAGACTTCCAGGGCCTGATGTAGAGGGCAAATGCCCTGAGTGGTAAACTAAGTCACTGCGAATTAACATAGTCATTAATATAAAGGGCGGCATGAAGTAATTTTTGGCCTGAACGGCAAAAGAAGTGAATCAGGCCCTGGTATTTTCGACAGTTAAATTAATAAATTCAGTATCTACATGTCTGTTTAATATGATTTTTTAATGCTTTACCTAAAAGACATGCAAAAAGACTATTTTCATAATTTTATGTAACCTCCATACCTACTCAAAATATGAAGACTATTTTCAGAAAAGCTTTACTTATTTTCGTTAAGTTTTCGCACAAACAGTATTATTAATCCGCTATTTTGTATTAATTAATAATTACGCAATTTTTGTGTAGGTAATGACAGTTGTAGAGCTAAGTCGATGATTTGGTAGGAGGGGTGCAATGGACTGCCCAACTTTGAGATTTGTATGGAGCTTTATGCTCTAGCGACCAAGTAAGACGTGACACATCATACCACACATATCAGTGTTTAAATTAAAATTTCGACGTAATTAGACTAGATCGACTTCTGCAATAGTTTTCTTAATTTAGTCAGATTACATGGTAGATATTTGCATTGGCGTATTCATGATTAATTTTAATGGGGAGGCGAGGTTGGTCCTTTAAAAAAGTCGCATTATGTCCTTCAGACATGTCTTTGGACATAAAGTGTCCAAAGTCATGTTGAGGGGCAATGCCCACTCGAGCCCCCACGCCCTTCCCCTAAATACACCTCTGTGTATTTGATAGTACGTCTGACTATTGCAGAAGCTAGTCTAGTACAGTGCTTATATCATCCGAGTAGAGCTTTGGCGCACAAGAAATCTACCTACTTTATGAATAGTGTATAAGTGATAATTATAACTGATCATACCGTTTTGAGATAATAATCGTGTATAACACTTTTTGTAGGTTTTGCATTTAAGCCCATGTATTGTGACAAGTATCTATTTATAATGTGAGTGTGTTCTACTTTTCATCAACTTCTTTCGTATTCATACTCTCATGTTCCGTTCTCTCATACTTCAATAATTCTCTTTGATTCTATCATGATCTTAAATCATCATCATCGGTTATGTTTTTCTCATTGTTTATTATTTTACATCTTTATATAGTTTTAATATTATCATTACGTATTTAAACTGCTGAATTTCTGCCAATAATGATATGCTTTTTTTATTTATTTGTTAAACAGATTACAAACAGACACTTTAGACTTTTTGCATCAGCAATTGCCGTTTTTGCTGTATTGATTCGGTTGTTATATCGAAGCTTCAATGCTTCTTTGCATGTAAAAGATATTACAGCGTCAAACATAAAAACAAAATCACCAATCGTTAATGCTAAAAGTATAATGTCTACTCCTTTAAATATAAAGGAGTTTTTACGTTGAGATGAAGGATTTCATTGCAGATTACTCGAATAAATATTATAGCAACACACATACTAGTAGTGGAGAAATTTAACCAACACATGTTAACTAATTGGTACACAATAACAATTTAAAATATTGTAATGGACGACCGCATTATATATAGTATGGAAATGGAAATAAAAATTATGAACTCTTTTTATTTGCAAATAATTTAGATTTTTTTTATACTCTGGATAATTTTAATAATTATATGTTTATTTGTATTTTTCTCGAACTACTGTAATTCTTGTTCCATCCTATTGTTGAGTCCTCACTATGTTCTTGTAATACATATTCTGTGTACTTATCTATTACTTTAGTCTATACGACGATGTATTTGTAACCGTATTATGTCATTACGAGATATTGATGTGAAACATGATAGTTAAGGAATCGTGTTAGACAATACAATATTTGATATTTAATAAATTTGATTGTGTTTTTATAAATAAATTGTTTTATTTCACCCAATTTGGCCGTAACACGATAAACGCTCAATAGACTTTTTAAAACGAACGATAAATTTTAAATACTACCTGAATGATAATAAATTCTTAATCGTAGACCTAATTCTAACCCATTATTATTTCAGTCGTTAATTGTCCACTGTTGGACATAAGCCTTCCCCATAAGGGGAGTTTTGCCAGTGGTTGTTACACGGATTGGCAAGCGCAGTTAGGTTTTTAGAGATATTTTAAAATGATGTTGATGCTACTGCCCATCCCTCGCCCGCCCTAACACCTAACACCTTAGTCCATTAATGGCAACGCATGGGGGATATCATGGGCAAAACAGTATACCCTGTTATGTCCATGGTCCTGTTCATGTCTATAGGCGACGGTTAACACTTTCCATCAGGTGGGCCGTCAGCTTATTTGCCAATTCAAGTTGCATAAAAAAAACTCACGGTGTAGATAATAAAATAAATGGACAAATGGAAAAGGGACGAATGAAAATAATTGCTGTCGTTAATTACTTACGTATAAGTTCTAATTCCTTTCAATCTGTAAATCTTTTTTCGTAGAATTTTACTTTAAATTAATCAATTAGTCTATGTTCTAGTTTAGTACATAGTATTGCTATTAAATAATACGACTGACATTGTAAAATATGATTACGTACATATTTACTTACACAAAATTATATTCTTTATTCTTTCTTTATTCTTTATTGTACACAAAACATACTGGTAATTACAATTCATTATAAACATAATGTACAAAGGCGAGCTTATCTCTAATAAGAGATTTCTTCCAGCAAAACCTTTCCATGTTAATGTGTTATTTTATAAATAAAAATAGGCAGTCATACGATCTGCATATATTGCATAAACGCATAAGTTATGTATACACAAAGAATAATACAAACTACACATTATAAATTACATAAAATACCCTGTAAACATACACATATATTTACACAAACATACATATACACATACATATATATACACATATAAACATATATAAATATACATACACATATACATAATACGTCAGCATAGTGATAAGTAATGCTCTCTTAGACGACGCTTAAACATACCTATACTTGCCGATTCCCTTATTTCGGATGGCAGACTATTCCATAGTCGAATGGATATAACTGTAAAGGAATTCCCAAAAGCCTGAGTATGATGTGGTGGAGTTCTTAGAAGTAATCGTGTCTGAGGGCGAAGTGGTTTATCTCTTGAATATAAATATTCATAACGCTCGCGGAGATAACAAGGAATGGAGGGATTATGCAAGATATTGTAAAGAAGCGTCAGTATATGGACATTCAATCGAAAACGTGAAGGTAACCATTTCAATTCTTTTCGATATTTGGAGACATGATCAAACTTACGCAAACCATAAACGAAACGAATGCATAAATTTTGTAGACGGTCAATTTTAGAAAATAACTCTGAAGTGGCGTCAAGAAAACATACATCTGCATAATCCATAAGGGGAAATAATAATGTTTGGGCTAAATTGACCTTTGTTTTAATAGGTAGAAAATTTTGTAGACGTCTGAGTGAGTGAACAGTCGCATGTACTTTTTTACTTATCTGGTTTACGTGAGACGTCCAGGAAAGATTTCTGTCAAAAAGTACGCCCAGATTTTTAACGACATTTGTATATGATATTATTGTCCCCTCATACACCACAGGTGGAACAGTCATACGATCTAATAAATCTGTCATGTATCTGCTTCCGATAATAATAACTTGTGATTTTGTTGGATTCACTAATAGACCATATGCATTTGCCCATCTTGAAATGTTTACCAGATCATGATTAATCAAGTCTATAGCAGTACCGATATCACAAATGTCAAAAAACTGTACAGCTGCAAGTCATCTGCGTATAGATGGAAGTAGGATGAAAAACGTCCTGCCAAGGAATTAATGAAAATAGAAAATAGAAGTGGTGACAGGACGCCACCCTGTGGAACGCCGGCAACAAGACCACACCAGTCGGAGCTGGTTTCATCCGACCGAACACACTGCATACGCCCCACAAGATAAGAATTAAACCATGCTATTACCAGTGGAGATATATTAAGTGATTATAATGTTCTTTAACAATACAGTAATAATTTGACGATGTTTGTACATAGTAGATATTAAGTAAAATTGACGTAAAGGATCTTATAAGAGAAATAGAAGCGAAAACACTAATTTATAAAAAAATTACCTTACCTTACATATATTTATTATTACCTTACGTCTGTACGTTTGTTCCAACATAACGTAAAATTACTACACGAAATTAAATTCAATTTTATTCCTGAAAGTCTAACTTAAAAACTGGCGTCTTTATCTCGATACGCCATCTAGAAGTAGTACCTATATATTATTTTTCTGCTTATGAAATCCATGCATACAAACTAACGGCTAAAAAACTAGTTAGATTTTATTAATATTCTGTTATAAAATAAAATATACATACTTCGTCATTAAACCTATTCGTTTATTTGCAAATTCAAGATCAATTATGTCGTGCTCCCGGAAATCACTTTATCTGCGTTTTCAAGCTGGCCAGCACCTTCGGTTCATACTTCAGGTCGGCCAGGCCTCTTTGGACGATGGCGTTTACTCTCGCCGACCGGAGCTGCCGCCTGTACCGGGCCACATCTTTCTCTGACGCTGATAAGTTCTCCAAATTGTTGAGTAGCACCTGAAGTAATGTAATATAACATATATTACCTTATTATACTTAACTAAGATTTTCTTCAAAATACTCACTAAATCAATGTCACAGAGTACTTTGTATATATAGGAAAATCAATGTTAACAAAATTATTGTGAAACCAACTTGGGTTTCCCTATAGACGCCAAGATAGATAAATGGATTTTATTGTGAATATTGATTCTGAGACAAGCATCCATAAAAGCGGTAACTCAATTGTTCAGAACGCTGGTCCCAGCATAGTGAAAATGTGTAAATAAAAAAAGTATGAATTCAAATTCTGCCCGCACAATAGTATTTTTATCACATAATAATTATTGGACTATAAATTAAGTATATTTTCAATTATATTTCTAAATCTAAACTAATATTAAAAAAGGAAAGATTTTTTTGTATGTTTGTAATAAATAAACTCAAAAACCACTAATTTGATTTTAAAAAAATTCACTAATTAGAAGCTATATTATCAGCGAGTAAAACTGACTATATTTTGTTAAAAAAAAACAGACATAACCGGGACGAGTTGCTAGTTATTAATATTTTGTCATATGAGCAATTCTGACAGGCTTTGAATAAAACAACACTGATATTGACAACGTATTAGTGAAATTAAGAATATATTTTTATGACGTCAAATATTTAAAAAAAAACACGCAATAAGTATATTTATTTCAACAATAGAACAAATAATGAATATAGCATGTAAGCTGCTAAACACTAGCATAGGAGCACGCAGCCAACTCCCCTGCAGCTTTCTGTGCCTTTATCATCGTAGGTGAATTATAGGTGAACACGTCGGAACAATAATATTCTTTCAAAGTTTTCATATCCACGTTCAAAGGACTACTTTTATTATCACTACTTGAATATATTAAAGGAACTAATAAATCATAAAAAAGTTTTTGTTGATATTGGCCCAAATTAACGAAATTGGGACTTATTTGCGATAGTCTAAGGCACAATGAACTATGATCATTATAACTTAAACAAACGCCACTATATTCTGCTAAGGCGCGAATTATCTTCCAGTCGTGGCGTGCCATTCCCGGTGGTGTTATAGCCGGCATAGCGTACTGAGATCGACCTTCCATGTTTAAATAAAGTCCCCCAGATTCCGTGTAAGCACTACCGGGTAAAACGACGGCTGCATTTTCCGCGCCACGGTCTCCCTGAAATCCTATATAAATTACTCTACAATTTGTGGGTGGTGTCCAGTCATAAAATATCTCATCTGCCCCCAAAGATATCAATACATTTGGTGAGCATTTCTGGACGGCTTCGAGCGCACCTGGTTTCCAACCAGCCTCTAGAGCGCCACTGAAACTCGCCTCTCTTGTTATAATATTTAACACTTGCCAATTGTTTGATTTAGAAAAAGGCGCTAATTTGGTTAAGATACTCATTATTTCAGGTGCAATCGCAGTTTCTAATTGAGACACTCCTACAAATATAAGAGGTCTCTTAGCACCTTGCATAGCCTGACCAGCTTTAGCTAACGCTTCGACATTATCGCCTAAGTAATTCACGTAATAGTTGTAGTCGCATTTTGGACCAACGACATAAATATCGCATTCATTAAACATGTAAGCTTGACGAATTCTTGCATTCAATACGGGTGCTTCAAAACGCGGATTTGTGCCCACAAGTAAGATTTTATCTGCTAGAGCAACATCCCGCATGTTTACATTTAACGAGTATCCAGCACGTAAATCTATTCCTGCTATAGAGTAATACAATCCACGCTCTACATAAATGTGTTCTGATCCAAGAGTATTAAGTAGATCTTTAGCTGCTACAAGAGTTTCTACATTACAGTGTGGTCCCGCTATGGCCATCACATTGTCAGGACAAGTACATCTTATTAAATCTCCAGCTAATTTCAAAGCACAATGCCATTCAGTTTCGCATAAACAGCCTTGAGATCTGTACATTGGCGTTACTAATCTTTGCATTTCAAGTGAATCTATAGCCCATCTCCCCTTATCAGAAAGCCACTCTTGATTTATTTCATCGTGCTCTCTCGGCAAAACTCTAAGTAAACGATTAAATCGATAATTCAATACGATGTTAGTACCTGTCGCGTCAGTGACATCAATAGAATTTGTTGTTCTAACCTCCCAAGGACGAGCTTTAAACATATAAGGGATGGCTGTTAGTGCACCGACAGGGCATAAATCAATGATGTTCCCTGATAGTTCAGACAGAAATATTTTATCAACATAAGTTCCGACAAGCATATCTGTGCCACGACCTGTGGTGCCTAAAACATCTAAGCCGCAGATTTGAGAAGCGAATCTTATGCATCTAGTGCAATGAATACAGCGAGTCATCTCGGTACGTATAAGTGGCCCTAAATTCTTATCTTCTACCGCCCGTTTACCTTGAAAATGAATATCTGTAAACCTGGAACGATCATTGCCAAACTTCATTGATAAATCTTGAAGGTCGCATTCGCCTCCTTGATCACATATCGGACAATCTAGTGGATGATTAATTAAAATAAATTCTAAAACACCTTCTTGTGCCACTAGGGTTGCCTTCGAATTAGATCTTATATTCATACCTTTAGCTACTGGTGTGGCACAAGCTACTTGAGGCTTTATCAAGCCCTCAATCTCAACGAGACACATTCGACAATTTCCAGCGATAGAAAGTCTTTCGTGGTAGCAGAAAGTAGGTAACGTGACACGTTCACGACGTAAGGCTTGAAGTACTGTGAAATATTTAGGAACAAAAACAGATTTTCCATTTATAAATACTTCTACATCATTACTTCCGCTATTATTATATCTTTTCTGTATTTTTGGTAATAAATTGCGGCATTTCAATATATTACAAGATGCTCTAAACATGATATATTTAACACTTTTTTAATATTGTTTGTGGCTTTTCTCATCACTCATTGAGACAGACATCTAAATAATGTCAATAATAGAAAAAAACAACGGTAAATTTGTTCCAACCTATTTCATTAAATATCATTTTTTTAAATCATATCAATATAAAAAACTGCTAGTATAATAAAATTATAACTAGACGATTTATATACTAAAAATTAGATATTTAAAATCCACGCGTACGAAGTAATAGGTAAAAAGCTAGTTTTTAACAATAAAATCTACTTTGCTCAGTTCATCTATGTACCTCCAGAGATATTATATTATAGTAATTTATCTCCCACACATTTTCTCATGCCATTCAGTGACAATTTTTAAAAATCCTTCCAATTTACCTCAAATAAATTACTGTATACCCATTATTTCTAGAATCTATCATGCAAACATGGTTTTTATAATTATATAACATAAAAATCTATTAAATCTACATCTTGGGTGAATTCTCAGATAAGTTACTACATATTCAATATCTCTAGGTAAATTAATCTAAAAACCCCTTAAATATAACGTAGATATTATCCTTAATCTATGGGATAAATAATGCATATATATAATAAATGGATGGAGGATCAGTGGATGCAGGTGGCTTAGGACCGTTCTTTATGGCAGTCTATGAGGAAGGCTTATGTCCAGCAGTGGACGGATAATGCCTGAAATGATGATGACATATATTAACATTGTATAGTTTACCTGATGTATAGAATCAATCAGTTGCACTAAAGCTTCCTTAAATTGTACAAAAATTTCAGTCGCGCGTTGATATCTAAAAAAAAACATATAATTAGCATATAATTGCATAGCTTCATAGAGCTTCCAGCAGTTACATCACACATAATTTTATATTAGATTATCTCTATTAAATATAATAAAATGAAAGAGTTTGTTTGTTTATATTATATAAACAGAATAATCTCTGAAAATACATAGAATTTAACAAAAAATGTTCTTGCATTTGATAGCTAATTTCTTGAGGAAAGTTATGAAGCATAGGCGAAACCGCGGATACAAAGAGTATGTAATAAATGGAAAAAAACTTATGTTGAAAATTCGGATTAAAGTTTTACCACTGTTTAAAACGACCGTCTTACTTGTGATCATGTAAAGTGTCAGTGAATGCGTAGTCCAGGGCGAGCCTGAGGGTCCGCGCTGCTCGTGGGGCAGCAGGGGCAGCGAGCACGCGGCGTGCTCCCCGCTCCAGGCAGCGCGCCTGCACCAGCAGCCGGCACGACTCCGCGCACGCACTCGTGCGCTCCCACCCGCTTCTACTTCCCCCCCATACAAAAACACCCTTAGTTGCTTTTTTCAATGAGTTAAAAATGAGGACGACCTTCGTTATCAGTATACACTGACGGGATAACAAAGAGATACGATAGCTAATTGAAGATGAAGACGGGTCAGTGAGCCCATCATTAAGAATTTCCGAGGAATTAATAACGATGATTATATGACTAGGAAGGATTGTGTGGAAGTCGACCCAAGAGCGAGTCACATAGTTTACGAAGGTATGGTCGCTGCGAGTACTTTGCGGCTATCTACTTGCAGTTACTAATGGAGGTACAAACATCCGTATTTCTGTTTGGAAGTCACTATATTTTTAAAATTGACCAAGGAATTGTGTAGAAAACAGACTGGATCCCTGTTCATCCCAAATATGCTCATTAATAGCAACACATGAGAGGTACCATAGACTTCAAAGTATATACAATTCTCGCAATTTATTCTATGGGAAATCGTGAAACACTAAGAGAAAAATTTAAAGAAGCAAATATTCTCACCGTAGTTTCACAATATTATATATATACGCATTTTATATACTCGCAAGAATCTTCAATTGTTTCCTAAAAACAGCGATCTCGGTAACCTCAACACTAGATACAGGGGGAAATGGGATTGTTAGCAATGGAGTTTGACAGCCCCATTGCTAGCAATATGCCTTATTAGGTCGACCTCCACGTGGTTCCCCCTGGAAACCATTGTGAAAAATTCGTGTTGAATTCGTCACAATGAGCTAACTGACCTACTTCATCCTTCACTGGTGCCCCGCCGGTATAAACCGATAGCGCGGGTGGGATTACCTTTCCATTATCATTCATTAAAAAAAAAACAGTAGATACAAATAAAAACTCACTGTTCCCAAGTATCCTTTAGAAAAAGTGATGTCTTTTGTGGGAATAGGAAGTAAATGTTACAATAAGATTCCGAAGGATATTTTGGGTCTACCGTTTAATAAATTTAAAACTGTTATTAATAAACACTTATTGAACAAAGCCTTAACAAAAAATAAAATTAAAAGACAACTTTCCGAACCCGGTCTTACAAAAACATTACGATTTAAAAATGCTTGTAAACAAGTCTATCTGAATAAAGATGATTTTTATTTGAATTCTACTATATCCATGCTTTATATCTATAGACGATGATTAGGTACCACTTGTCATTAAATGGGCCGGCAGCTTGTGCCATTCAAAGTTATGTAAAAAAATTAACCAATGTAAATTTTACTTACTTGCCAACTGAAGTAAGCTTCCATGATGGAAGTGCATCATCCAACAACCGGACAGCGGCGTGAGAGTACTCGGCGGCAGCTCGTAAACGCACGCTTACAGACGCGAGCGCATCCCGAAGACCTCGGGCGCGAGTCAACTCGTTCTCTAGCGGCGTGCCCGGTCGCAAACTATCTCCCCATATACTTTCTACGACATTATCGCGTGTGTTATATAAAGTACCCTTTCAAAAATACCTTTTGCAGGGGCAATAATGAAAAAGTAATTTTATTAATTTATTTCAAATATATTAAATATTGCAAAACCTTATATGTAAGAAATAATGTATGTGTACCTGAAAGTGGGGTACCTACTCTGTTCTAATACCATTTTTGCTACCAAACAACTAGACGTGGCTACTTCTCAGTTTATGTAGTGCGATAGTACAGTGTAATTATAGAGTACATAATATCTCAATCCCCTGGAATGTCAACGCATGGGACTGGGCCTTTAGTTCCTTGAATATGATTCAAGGAACTTTCCATGCCTATTGACATTGCCACTTCCCATCAGTGTGTCATCAGCTTGTTTGCAATTTTGAGCTGCGGAAAAAGAAATTGAACTAAAAATTTAGTTTTCCATCTCATACTCACCAAGTAATTGTTGTAACTGCGCGTACAGCGAACGTATGCGTAATATCTGTGCGTGCAATACACGGCGCTCGCGTTGCAACTCGCTGTGACGTAACTTCAACCAACTCAGCTCGAGCCGACGCATCTCCTAGTGGTGAATCGTATTAATAGCTTATTTTAATATTATTTATATATTAGATATCTTTAAAGACGACAATGGATATTGATAATTTAACTCACCCAGAAGAGGACTTCCAGGGAAAGTCGAAACAATTGTTGGAAACAACAAACATAATAAATTCGTTAAATTCCCAATATCCATTATCGTATATTAAAAATGTGCATAAGTTTCAATATATCTGCCTTATGGTCCTGGCACATAGCCACCCCTTCCATTCCCGTGGATGTCGCAAGAGGCGACTAGCAGTCGATGCACAGCCTATTTCAGAATCAGTTTCCATGAGCCGATTTCCATGACCGATCCAAAATTAAATAATTTTAGATCCATTAGTGCTAATTTTATTAAAATAGAAGTCGGGTGTCTTGTGTAAATAAATTCTGAGAAATTTCAGTCGATTCTTCTTTGTGAAACACAAAGTTTAAATTATATATATATATTTTTTATAACTAAATAATTCTTACCTTTCTATTTACGTTTGCGACGAAATCTTCATTCTCGGAGGCCAACATGGGACGTCTGTAAAGATCTAGACTTACAAACAACTGAAATACAAATTCATACATTTTATTGTACACCACGTTTCCACACAATGTAATATACATGACTACATAAGTATTTTTTATTTATTCCGAATTGAAATGAGAAATACGGCCCGATGAGATAGGCCTTCTACTCTTTAAAATAGTCCAAATAATATACGCAACATACATCCGACTTCCAAATATAATCCTGACATAAAAAATTTACAACAGTTGAGAGCGCAAATCATTTAAGAAAATACTCAGTACTGCAAAAATGGATTTCGCTGTACAACGTGTATACCTATATGTAGTTTATAAAAGTATGTACGTATATTACTATCTGCACTATTTTTTTTTTAATTCCCAAAACAAAGCCGCGAGCAAAACCACAAGAAACAATTAACATATGTTACCTGATGAATAGTCTTCGCATACGCATCTTGTGTAATTGTTGCGGGCTTAGTATTTTCTTCAAATGTGTTAATTTCCTGAACAAACCGATAATATATGATTTATATTAAATGCAAATGGAAACACTAGAGGGAGACTTTGTACAAAAGTCGATTGCTTGGGTACCTCAGTCCCATTCGTGTTTATACCGTGGAGCAGTTGTGTTTGCATGGCTGTGTTTCGGTTTGAAGGGTAGGATATAGCGTGAATTTACTGGGTACAGAGGAATAACACCTGAGTCCTCAGGAATGGCAACGCATGAGGGATATCATGGGTGAAACAGTATACTATGTTATGTCCATGGTACTGCTCATGTCTATAGGCGACTGTTACCACTTTCTATCAGATGGGCCGTCAGCTTGTTTGCCATTCTAAGTTGTATAAAAAAGAAAGAAAATTTGATTATTATTTTTTCACCACCTGATGGAAAGGAAATAAGCTAGATATTTGTATAAGAACAGGGAAGTGGTAACCGTTATTTACTTATAGATATGACCAGCACTAGAAACACCACAGAATTTATTATGATACCCATCGTGCCCCTCATGTGTTGCCATTCCTGACGACTCAACTAATCGCTATGAAATTTGATATACATATATAATACTATACTGCATGGGAATTTATCCCAATCAGTTTTTTTTTTATGCGACTTAGAATCGCAAACAAGCTGACGGTCCACCCGGTGGAAAGTGGTAACCGTCGCCTATAGACATGGACATAACAGAGTATGCTGTGTTGTCCGTGATACCCTCCATGTGTTACCTTTCCTGAAGACTAAGGTATTATGCTTCTGTACCCTACAATTTTATTGCCATATTTCACTCTTCAAATCAAAACACAGCCATGCAAACACAACTGTTTCATTGCAGAAATACATGGGACAGAGGTACCCAAGTAGATAGTTTTTGTATAGTCTCCCTCCATACATACCAAACCTTATGATATTTTCTACATGACAACCATGAGTGTATCGTGTATAATTCCTATGTCTGACCTGCTGCAAACTGTCCATCTCGGCTGTGATTACTGCCAGCCTTGCTGCAGGAAATGCCTTCTCGCTCTTAGCAATCTCGTCGTCCAACCTTACCAGAGCCGCCGCCACCGTCTCTCCTTTCACCGCTGCTCTGTCCCACGACACTTGCTGGATTATTGTGAGAAATAAATTATTCTACGTGAACAAATCGAATTTTACGCTATTCTATTTCTTTCTAATTAATGATATACTGTGATCGGAAGAAAGAAACAAGAGTTTTCGAAATCAACATGCATGAAATGAGTATAAATTGTGAAAACTATGTGCATAAAACAACATTTGTATGTAAGGAAAAAAGCAAAATTTATTTGTTTAGGTTTTAACACTCGGTTCTCTTAGGGCCTATTCCCTATTATACGTCTATACATATTTGACAGACTGTACCAACCTAAAGTTATCTGGTTCCCATCTAAGGAAGAGGAACAAAATTTTCAGCTATGAATAAAAATTTGTTTAAAAATACATATCATTATCATCATATCAGCCGTTAACTGTCCACTGCTGAACACAGGCCTCCCACAATTGAGGGGTTTTGCCAGTAGTTACTACGCTTGGCCGAAAGGTTGACAACCACAGTTAGCCATTAATAATGTTTTAAGAAAAGCACTGACAATTAAATTTCCTTAGTTGCCTCTTACGACACCCACGGGAAAAGAAAAAGTGGCATTAGAGCATTATTAAGTAACAGAACCCCATAAACACACGATATTTTTGGGTTTCTGTATGTAATTGTGATTCCCGAGTCCGTTAATTCCTTCTTTTGACGTTTAAATAGCATATTTTTATTTTATTATTATTATTATTAATAATAATTTTAAGACTGTAAACCGTAACCATCCATGAGGTGACTGTGTGGCTTACACGATGTTGTCATTGCTGTTACACTAAGTAATAAACTGCCCTAGCCTATGCTGAAATCTGACTACGTAATAATTTATATTTTTTCTGTATAAATGCATTTGGTTGCAAATAAAAGATCTATTTAATATCTTAATAAATGTCAAATCCATACAAAAAGATACTGTAAACGTAAATAAGAGACTAAATAATTTATTTGGCATTTAAAATGCGTTTTAAAGTCACGAGGTCAAGGTTACTTACAGTAGGAGCTGTCGAAACGCTAATCCTCTGGGAGCTCGCCATGCACCCCATTCCACTACCATCACACATAAGGACTATACACGCAGCGACTAACAGTTGTCCCCAAAATACTACCCCTTTATAATGGTGCCAAATGTGCCAAGGTTACTACGGAATGTTCAGAAAATGAATCACTTTCCATTGAATGGAACCGTTTTGTTTGAACAATACGACAATACGGGAGAGCTCGGAGCGGTACCGCGGCCTGTTGTTGATTTTTTAAATCTATTATATTTATGTACATGGAGGTATAAAGAACAAATAAACACCTCATTATTAAACAACATATTTTTGATGTTCCGTATACTTTTTCTATACAACAGAAGTGGCAATTAAGTGTAAGATTTGTCTGATATAACACTAAGGCCTATGTACGTCTATAACAGCAGAGAACTCTTTAATTCTTGTTTTTTAATCCCTTGTCTTATAAAGATCTAGATTTTTTTTGGTAAATAAAAATGGAATGGTAACCCCACCTGCACTATCGATATACGCTGGTGTGTAACTAGAAACATTATAGGTGAAGACGAATTCCAAAACAATTAACATTGATAGTTTCCAGGTGGAACTGCGTGAAGATCTATTTGATAGGGTGTATTGCTAGCAATGAAGTTGTTGGACCTCATAAACGAGTACCTACCCACAATACCTTTCCACTACAACTGTCTATTGGACTCTTCAGTCATTATATATATTTTTTCTAATATATATATATATTTTATGGTTAGTAATGGAATGGTAACCCCACCCGAGCTATCGGTATACACTGGCGGGGCACCAGTGAAGGATGATAGGTGAGAATGAAGTAGATCAATTAGCCCATCGTGACGAATTTAACAGGAATTGTTCACGATGGTTTCCAGGGGGAACCACATGGAGGTCGACCTAATAGGGTATATTGCTAGCAATAGGGTTGTCAATGTCCATTGCTAACAATCCCTTTCCCCCTATTTTTTCTAATATAATATGAAGTAATAACTATACTATGAAGTAAGTACTCAGTAATATCGGTCGTAAAGTAAAGAGAAGTTTGTACTCATATGGACTACACGTCCATACCAGCAATTCCCAACAATCTTAGAACCAACAGTATATATACCATTTCATATCAACTTCATGTGGTTCCCTCTGGAAACAATTGTTGTCAAATCCTAGTGATATCTTTATGATAAGTCGTCATTTGACTTCAGTCAAATGACCTGAACTAATCTTTTATCGGTACCTACTTGCCAGTATAAACCAACACAACTGAGATTATCATTCAGTTTTCATCATTAAAGAAATACATATATACATATCTGTCACGCCTGTCTCCCATTAGGGTAGGCAGAAACAATGGAACGCCAAATGCTTCGATTCAAACAAACCTCTTTCGCTTCTTCCACATTCATCAATCTTTTCATACATGCTCGCCGGTTACGGGTACATTTAATTTGGCCCTCCTTCAGCACGTCGTCTATTTAATCAACATACGTCCGTCTAGAGCGGCCCCTACCGACATCTCCATTCATTCTTACTCCATAAATCTCTTTCGTAATTCTTCTTTTATCCATCCTCTCCAAATAACCTATCCAACGCGACATTCCTTTTTCGATTTTTGTCACTACATCGTCTTTCAGTCCACACTTCTCTCTAATCACACTTCTTACTTTATCTTTTAATGTAATAAAATTAAAGAAATATCAGGTATTAATATTACTTAGTACATAGTATATTAAAAAAAAAAAATTATATTCACCAGACGGAGACTTTGTACAAAAGTCGTTTGCTTGGGCATCTTCTCTGTCCCATTCGTGTTTCTACCGTAAAGCAGTTGTGTTTGCATGGCTATATTTCGGTTTGAAGAGTGGGATATGGCAGTGAATTTACAGGGTACAGAGAAGGTACTTAAGTCCTCAGAAATGGCAACGCATGTGGGATATCATGGGCGAAACAGTATACTTTGTTATGTCCATGGTACTATTAATGTCTATAGGCGACGGTTACAGTTTCTATCAAGCGGGAGGACAGCTAGTTTGCCATTCTAAATTGCATAAAAAATATATTACGTAGTACCTAGTATATTAAAAAATTCTATTTATATCTGCAATCTCGACACGACCTTTTCAAAACGATTTTAGGTGTAAACTCTTAATTATTTCTAAGGACATTGATTTTCAAGTTTATAATAAAACAAAGTACTCTAATTTGGTAATCAAACATATCAGTTACAAGGCAATAAAATTAAAACACCTTTTATATATTATACTTAAATATTCTTACATCAACGTAGCATCGTTATAATTAGTCACTATCACGACACGTCACTATTGGCTTTTGGCACGAAATGTTACATGACACCCGTAGTCAGTGCAAGCAAGCTCGAAGCCAATGCGTCCATAATGCCAAAGTTACTGACTAACCAATTGATAACATTTGATGATAAATGTCTTTTATGTTTTATATCCACCTGCTACTTTTTTAAAGGTTAGTAATAGAATGGTAACAGTAATTACTTTTACCAATCTATCACCAGCCTTTGACCAATGAGGAATAGTAGGTAGGTTGGAAGCAGGTCAGTTAACCTATCATGACAAATTCCACAAAAATTAACCACGATGGTTTCAAAGGAAAACCGCGCGACTGCTTCTGTTCAGTTCTACCTGGTGATAAGTTATGAGCATATTTCGTATTCCTAAAAGAGACGCGGCGATAACATAATAGTATATAAAAAAAGGTACTCTGCATCGTATTAGAAAGTTCTGTGCTATTTAATTTTATTATTTATTTATTAAGTCTGTAGGCCAGGTTTAATCATATATGCAAATAATTTAATTTAAATTAGGATTCATTTTTATTAAATTAAACCTTTTGTACAAGCAGCACTTACTATATTTTACAGTAAGTATGGAGGGAAACTTATTGATCCGAAACAGTGTTATCTCCCTGTATACTTTTTTAGACGTTGTCAATTTTCATGAGATCAAACTTAGAACATCAATATTCTCATCGACTGATTTAGGACTTCCAAATCTGTATATATTTAAAAAAAAAAATGTTTCCCAAGATCAGATAACTTACTTTTTTGACGCTTTTAATTGAAACCCATATATTAATAAAATGGTGCACTCAAAGATACTATTGTATACAACAACAAAACACCAAAGGAGGATAACAGGATGTGATATAGAACCGGTCTTAGCGGCAGCGTCTGGGACCTCGTAATCCATATTACTCCATATGGAGTGTAATATGGGGAATCGAATTTTTGATCGAAAAAATAGATCGGAGTGAACAGCCGATCCCAGGATTTGTTTTCTTCATCGTCGTTAAATATATATCTCCCCACCACCACTTTGGATACCTTTCAGTACAATATCTTTAGATTTTACATTAACTACTTATACGCGATAGTGCGATTCGTAATAGGTACCATTCTGGTGTTCCCCATAAAGTCTGGGCCAAACAGCCAGCTAATAGAAAACCTCTCAAAATTTATTATTATTCACAGATACTTACTATTCTTTATCTATGTCTAGCTGTCAACGTCAACGTCAATTTAACATCTCCCAGTATATTGTATTGTACTCGAAGCTCAAAGATTATGATTGCACTTCGTGCCAGTGATGCCAGATTAGGCAACCTTTTGCCTTTTAAGATTTATCAAATAAAGTTAGGTATTTTTAGTCTGTCATTTTAGCATTCAAAGAACACTTCTCATATACGTATTTAACAAGAACCCGGGGTGTGACGTGCCTACATTCGAATTGTATGGTAGAAATGTGAAAGAAGTTTCACAAAAACACATCTGAGAGTATATATACGCCTTTTTATAGGCGCCAAGGGCGATATTTATATATCGTTATAGTCGTAGAATACTGACGGATCTATATATGAAATATTTTTCAGATCCGTCAGTATTCTACGACTATGACGATATATATACTACTACTCACAAATACACCAATACTTTTCTTTCAATACAAATTATAATAAAAAATTTTTACAAGTTTAATAAAACCTTAGTAAAAAAAGGTAGCAGTTTTAAAATTTAGCAGAAAAAAAAATCAGTGCCAAGGTTCGTTGGCATATGTAAGATGTTTTTCAAAAGAGGGGAGGAAGGCTATTTATTTTTATATTTTTTATATCTCTAGCTATTATTTAAAAATCATATTATGCACTCGTAAATATATTTTTGCGAAGATTGATTGAAAAGGCAAAACCAAAGGCGCAAAATAATCTTTAAACTAAAATTCAGAACATGGCAGGTTTAAACTTGATCACAAGAAGGTAATAGTTAAATTTAAATAGTTAAAAGGTAAATACTATTTCAATAAAATCAAATTGGCGATATTAAACTACATGGCGTCAAATTTTAGATACCTTACTGCAGGTTACATCTGGCGACACAGCTTCGTACTTCGTTCGTATTTCTATTCGTACATTACAGGTTAATTTGTGTGCTACGTACCCACCTACCGAACAGTCTTCCTTTTAGACTATTTTACCAAATTAATTTTGAATATTCTAAAAAAAATTAGTTGAATTTTGTTCTTTTTTGTTTTATTTAATTACTGTTAACCAAACAACAACTGGTAAGTTATTTACATCATATTAGTTATGGACACTTTACACGTTTCACATGAACTTACCTACATTTATTGACCTTAAAATTTTCAGATTTGCTAATTTGCAACCGCCCTTAGGGCCTTAGGCTTCGGCCTAGGGTCTCATCAAAGTGACGACACCAACAATAACAAAAATTAATCATAATAAAAATTGCATCAAAATCCACTGTTTCACAACTTACGTTAAGATGAGTCAGTGGAACAATTCTTATGTTTTCAACAATCAATATCAAGGTGCTAATAATTGGAATGGTGATGTAAGTGACCAATATGCAAGCCAAGCATACTACCCTAACACACAACAAGGCAGAACCAACCAATATGTTAGCTTCAATGAGTTTCTAGCTCAGATACAGGCTAACAGCGCACCAAACACTAGTAATAGTAGCTTTAACAATGCACAGTACCCAAACTATGAACAGTACAACTACCAGAGTATGCCATCTACCTCTCAGAATATACAGCTTAATGGATACTATGGGGCAAACATACCCAACCAGGGTAATAGTTTCAACCAGAACCAACATAATGCACCATTACCTCAAGAGCCTAGTGCTTATACAAATGAAATGATACTTAATTCCAACTTAACGCCAACCGCTGTGGAGTTTGTGCCAAAGAGTTCTGCTGTAAGACCGTCAACAAGCATGCAAAACATTCCAGAAACATCACATAGCAGCAACAATGAAAGTGTTACAGAGCATAAAAAAAATTATAACACCTCCTCAGCAGATACAAATTGGAGGGAGAGACCAAAAACATCACAACACAATGATGATTCAAATTGTAGGAATGAACCAAGTAGCCGCCAAGAGAGTTATAGGAATAATGAATCTAGAAATCGGAATCGTTATCATCAAGAGCAAGGAGGTAGATATGACTCTGGTAGTCAGGAGTCAAGTAACCGTGACCGTAATCAATCAAGGGGTAATTCTAAAATTAAAAACAAAGAATCAGACCCTGGTCGCACATTCTATAATAGCACAATCAATAAAAATGGTCAAGAATCAAAGAATGGGAAAGAGGGATCCTCAGGGAGGGGCAGAAATTGGGCAGGGAGCCAGAGAGTAAGAGCTGCTGAAAGAAATTCCACTGAGGATGAGCAGTATGCTAATAGCTATCTACATTACAAAGATGAAAAGCCAGAGAGACAAAACCAATATAAATCAGAAAACATTTATAGCCCTGCTAAATTTAAAACCAAGAATACAGATCAAGGTTTGTTATTAGAAATTTACTAGTTTCCAATTTAATAAAGAAAATTTGTGTAATTAAGGCGATAAACTTTGAGAAAAAGATTCCGGTTCAATAAAAAAAAATATAAAATGTTTCTATACTAACACATATAAGTACTAACATTAAAATATTAAGTTAAAGTTAATTACACTCAATATACATTGTAACAAAACAAAAATTAAAAAAGGAATTAAAAAGCCTACAAAAATTGTTAATCTATTATATTGTGAAGTGATCTGAAACTTAACTTTTTAATTACTTTGATATTTTTATGGCATCGAGGTATAGTTTTAAATTATAATGTAGGTTAAGTTTAATAACACAAAAAAAATAATACAATAGATTTAAAACAAAATTCTCAGTTGGTTTTTAAATTTTTTTTTTGTTTGACTATAATTAACCGATTATAATTATTCTTCTCCATCTAAAAGTTGCCTGGAAGAGAACATTCTTAGTTATAAGGCCACCCATTGTTTTCTTAGTGTAATATTGTCTTGTAATTGTTTGTATTTATAATAAATATACTATTGTAATCTTATGGAGGAAACAATAAAAAGAATGTATCTATCTATCAATAATCTAAATATTTTACAAATTTTTAGATCATTCAGAAATGACTCAGCGTGAGAGGCTCAGTGAGCAGTTGGACAAAGGTACCCTGGAGTGTCTTGTTTGCTGTGAACGGGTAAAGCAAACAGATCCCGTGTGGTCATGTAGCAACTGTTACCATGTGCTTCATTTGAGATGTATCAGAAAATGGGCTGTAAGCAGTATGGTTGGTGAGTGTTCCTAGTGATAGTAAATATAATAATACTAGAATAAAAACTTCCCCATCCCATATAGTATATGTAGACCAAGTTTCGTAAAAATTTTTTAGCTGTTAAATTACTATTAAGGAATTAACAAAGAAACTCACTATCACATTTATAATATAAATAAGGACTCTTTTCTGCACTCAGATATACAGTAATAGTAACAATTAGAGATAATGTGAGCAAAGGTGAACTAAAAAACTGAAAGAATGGATAATTTACAAGATGTACTTTTGCATATTTACCATTTCTGTGTATAAATATTACAGATAATACATATCTATTTTTATAATAATAAGATATATATTTTTCTTTTGTTTAATTTAGTGTAACTTCTTACAACTTGAAAATACATTCAGTTCAGGGTACTATAGGACTGATATACCTGAAGAAGGTAAAAGCCCTTTAAAAAATAATAATTAAAAAATAAAATTATTTACCATTCCATAATTATGAGTTTCTATAAAGATAATATTAATGAAATTATATCTCCCTTCTTTGTCCACATATGTATATCAGAACAAAGTATCCCAACATTTGTTAAGTTGGTATTATTACCTACTTGTGTTATATAAGCCTACCTTTCATTGAAATCCAGCATTTTATGTATGTTTCTCAAATATCCAAACAAATGGTCACAGTTATTATATTAGTAGGACAATATTATTTAAAATTGTTTTCCTTATATTTTATAGAGGGAAAATGGCGTTGCCCGGCCTGTCAGAACACCAGTACGGATATTCCAACTGAGTACCGCTGCATGTGCGGCGCCGTTCGCTCTCCAGAGTACCAACGGGGGTCTAGCGGAGCTCACACCTGTGGGAAGGCCTGCAAGCGCCCAAGGACCTGTCCCCACCCTTGCACATTGCTATGCCACCCTGGTCCATGCCCACCTTGTCAAGCTACTATTAAAAAGTTGGTATCATGAAATTAGTTAGATCATTATAATAATTTTAATAAAATACTAACATACAATCATAATTTATACCATTGCAAGTTGAATAAAATGCAAGCAAAAATAATGATCCTTGTATGTATACTGACCCTTGGATATAGACTTATTGTATTTTTACCTTATTTGGGATTGTAATTATAAAACATATTTATTATTTATTTTATTATTATTTAAAAAATATTAAACATTTTATATATAACCATACAACGGGAGTTTTAAAATATATATAACTTAGTTGGCAAGGCTACCAAAGAGAAATAGCAAATCTCTTGTGTGATTGCAATGGAGTAAACAATATGTCATAGAAAATCTGGAAATAAAATCTTATTTGAAATTGGCCACCAACTTAATATAGTAGGATATAATCTTTATGGGGAGAGACCTGTACCTATTGCCAGGTTGTTAAGAAAAAGAAAATTTATTTATGTTTGTGTCATAGACAATTTTTTTTTTAGAGAATGCGGTTGCGGCGCTGAAACGCGGTCGGTGCTATGCAGCAGCAAACTAGCTCAGCTTTGCGATCGACCATGCGGCCACACCCTCACATGCACCAAGCATACTTGCAGTCGTCAGTGTCACGAGGGGCCCTGTGACTGCTGTACCGAGACTCTCACACAAGGTTGGTCACATACTGTCACCTATTGTATAATTTTTTTTATGTAATATTCCTACAAATACATTTCAGTCCACAAATAAAACAGACTTCAATCATAAACATACACTTATAATTAACAGATTATTCATAGATACCCTACATTGTAAATATTTGAATTTGGAATCTTTATATATCTGTGGGTGTTGATTCGTAACAGTTTTTCTCTTAGAGATCAACTCTCTATTAAAATTCTAAAATTGTGACATACTATAAAAAAAGGTGGTGTCTCTTTAAATATCAATATTTGCACATACACATTTTGTAAAATAATTACCAAAACATTGCATTATTAATGTATGTAATGAAAGCACAACGAATTTAAATATTTTAATATCAACTTGGTGACGTCACCCGACAGTAAATTCAATTCGGCACTAGCAAGAGATTTCAAGAAATTACGTAAATAGTTATCATAAAAACTATTATCATAAAAAAATTCTTATCTCGTCGAAAATATAATCATTTTATGTTTACTTAATTGATTTAATTGAATGTTACTTAAAATTGTTTTTGTTATAGTTTATATTTATAGTACACAATCTTGCGTTACTTCCACGACTGAAAGGAAAACAATCAGTAATAAAATACCTGACAGTCCATAGTCAAATTGTTTTAGGCAATTTATGGTCGCAATAAGTAAATATCTCATTTATTATATATTGTTATTTGATGCTTTAGAGTAAATTGGAGGCTCTGGTCACAGAGTAAAAAATACCCAGAAAGAAAGCTCTTTTGATGAGCATACAAATTTGTAAGGGTTGCCACAGGAGAGTTAAATAAGTTTTAAAAAAAAACATTTATTTATAATGCAAATATAGACTACATTTTGAATCATCAATTCAGTCAAAAACAATACTCATCGAAAAAACAGAGGATATTAATAACTATCTTTTTTTTTCTAAAATCCACTCCAGGTGGGCCGTATGCTTGTTTACCACCTCGGTGGAATAAAAAAAAACTTAATTACATATGTTTACATACAGCATATGTTTATACTCAATCACGCAGTGTTCGAATCAGTATATTTGTATGAATATCTAAATCTCATCTGCATTCAAGTCTGAAACTACATCTATGACTGTCCATTTATGTAATTAAATTAATAAAAAAATAGTAGTTTTAACTGTAGTAGATAAACTTGATACCAACTGTATACATATAATTGTAGGTAGGTAAATACATCCACGTAATAGATTTGTCTTCTGTTTTAGACGATCTAAACATACATACATACTTACTCATAGTAAATGTATTGTAAAATTATAATAAAATATTATATGATTACTAATTTGAATTTTTAGGATAGTTAAAAGAATATATATAATTTATCCTGCACACTGTACAATACATTAGAAAATTTTGCTCAAACAAACCTGCGTCATTAAACCACCGATTTGTGCCACTGCGCGATCTAGCACAATCTGCATGTACATTGTGTAAAGCCTTTAAAGTCAAGTAAAGACCTCCGCACACTAGCATTGCTTACTTGTAATAGTGTTCTTGCCTTGACATATTTCCTAGTATCTTATCTTTTGTCTATTCTGTGCCCTGGAGATCTTTATGCTTGCTTTCCTCATCAGACAGTGGGAATGCTATAAAAAATTTTTGTAGGATAGGTAATCTAAACCTGACCTTGTATAGAAAAGTTCCTTAAAAAATGCAAATGATTCCTACTTCATTCTACTTCTCTTCTGTTCTTTCTCCTACTTCTGTATAACACATATTAACATAGTTATATAAACGGCAACTACAGTATATACAATAATTGCAGACTGTACAATAATTGTAATGAATTGGACATTTTTGCTTATGATTGAAATTCTTTTCTTAAAATAACAAAAGAAGTGTCTGAATTTAATATATAATTGTTCTTATATTGTATAGTTATTGTATATAATATTGAAACTAGCATAAGCTAACGCTGTGCGTGGCAATTAAGGTGTACAATTTTAAAACAACTACTTAGTTATAAAGCTTATTACAGTCAATGTAATGTGAATTGTATTACTGTATGCTGTGCCTAAATACGGGTGTGTGTGTGTGCGTGTATGTGGCAGTGTGCCACTGCCCGGCGGCGAGGACGCGGTCGGTGGCGTGCCGCGCGGACGCGTGGGCTGCGGACGGGACGGCGGCGGCGTGGTCGTGCGGCGAGGCGTGCGGCCGCGTGCTGGCGTGCGGCGCGCACGTGTGCACGCGCGCCTGCCACGCGCCGCCCTGCGAGCCGTGCGCGCTGCTGCCCGACGCCGTGCTCACCTGCCCCTGCGGCAAGACCAAGTAACACCTGTCTCTCAGTTTTTTTTTTATACAACTTAGAATGGCAAGCAAGCTGACGGCCCACCTGATGGAAAGTGGTAACCGTCGCCTATAGACATGAGCAGTATACTGTTTCGCCCATGATACCCCCCATGCGTTCCCATTCCTGAGGACTCAGGTCCCACCCTTCAAACCGAAACACAGCCATGCAAACATAACTGCTTCACGGTTGAAACACGAATGGGACAGAGGTACCCAAGCAATCGACTTTTGTACAAAGTCTCCCTCTGGTATGTTACCATATTGATAATGGAGTGGTAACGCCGCCTGCGCTAACGGTGTACGCTGGGGGGCACCAGTGAGGGATGATAGCTGACGATGAAAAGGCAGGTCAGTTAGCCCATCATGATAAATATACCTGGAATTCAGCACGATGATTTCCAGGGGTGACCACATGGAGGTCGACCTAACATGGCATATTGCTAGCAATAGGACTGGTAGCCCGCATTACTAACAATTCCTTCCCCTCGTCATATACAGGTTAGAAAAAGACAAACGCAAGTCGTGCTCGGATCCAATCCCGCTGTGTGGCAACATCTGTGCGAAGCCGCTACCATGCGGGCCCGACGGCGACAGGCACTTCTGCAAACTCGACTGCCATGATGGTATACATCTATTTATCATATTTTTTCTAATGTACTCGTAATTCTATAGAATTTGTCTCAATAAGCAGGATGTTGTCACCTATTTAACCGTTAATTGCGTAACTTGCTCAAGTGTGTTGCACATACCATAAAACAGTAGTGTTTAAAAAAAAAAAAAAATTATACAACTTAGTATGGCAAACACGCTGACGGCCCACCTGATGGAATGTGATAACCGTTGCCTATAGACATGAACAGTACCATGGACATAACAAAGTATACTGTTTCGCCCATGATACCCCCCATGCGTTGCCATTCCTGAGCCAGTGGCCTGGTGGGCCGTCAGCTTGTTTGCCATTCTATGTTGTATAAAAAAAAAACTTAATGAAAACAAATATAAATGTACAATACACATGTGAAATACAAAAGGCGATCTTATCTCTAAAGCAAAAGGTTGTCTACCTTTGGCTAGAGGAGAAAAGAAAAAAGACGGTAGCTATTTGGCGTTAGAAATGTAACTAATAAAAAAAGAAAAACGCTAATGTTAATAAAACATAAAATATGCAAATAATCATATGCACATCTTACATCTAAGTATATCCTTATTTTGTTCCATAGGTCCGTGCCCCGTATGTCCCGATAAGACGTTACTTCAGTGTCGCTGCGGCCATTCGAGCCGCGAGGTGCCTTGTGCTGATTTGCCAGAAATGTACAATAATGTGTTGTGCCAGAAGAAATGTAATAAGGTAAAGAATATTACATAAAACAGCAAGAATGTCCTATAAAATCTTACATTCAGCCTGTAATTAAAACAATTTACAAATAAATTCCCAAATTTGGCTCAGCTCCCAAATAGGTTTATAACGATACAGCCAAACCTTGTTCGAAGATCAGTGTTAATAAATAATCAATGTCATTATTAATCCTATTTTTTTTTTAGTATCATTAGATTTTTAATCTGTAAAATCTTTATCAGTCATACAAAATTTATGAGATAATTTTAAATAAAAATAAATATATCTTCTTTTTAATAAATCATATTAATTTTATGCTAATATAAATCTGAAATTAGTTTGAAGTTTTTGCTTCTTCACTACGTGGTTAGCATAGAGAATGGCATAAACGACAGAGATATTCCTGTTACATTAACGAATACAGCAGACACAACTAGTACCTAATAAATACCTACATATATATTTTTTTAATTTTATTTTTTATTAAAATAATTATAACATGATAGTAAAAATCAAATAGGGTTGACTTCAGGCAGTCGGCCAGTCGTAAAACTATAAGCTAAATCTTTTTGTAATATGTATAAAAAAAAAAACATATTGCGCCGACTTCAAATATTATAATATCAAATAATAATTGGAAATCTCACCTATCAAAAGACCTCAAATATAATTTGGATAAAAGTAGGAAGATGATGATAGTAAAAAACAAATCAATGTTATAAACCTAGTGTGCTAACATACAAAATTATAATAAAGGTTAAATACCCAATAGAAATCAGAAGTATATAGAATATTTCTGAGCCGCTTCTAATATCTTTGGCAGGCTACTACTAAAAACATCAATGATGTTTATAATATTATTTAATATCTGTACTATGCAAGTTAAGGAAGCCTGCTGAAGTAGTATTTGTTTTTTAATTTGGAAATGGTATGGTAACCCCGCCTGCGCTAACGGGATACGCTGGCGGAGCACCAGTGAAGGGTGATGATCAGTTAGCCCATCGTGACGAATTCCACTAAAATTCACCACGAAGGTTTCCAGGGAGAACTGCGTGGAGGTCGACCTGATAAGGTGTATTGCTAGCAATGGATCAGTTAGACCCCATTACAAACAATCCCTTTCCCCCCTGCTGAAGTAGGTTAGTGACAATGTATATATTGCCGTATGCGGGTACAGAAGCTGTCGTGCGGGCGGCACCGCTGCCGGACGGCGTGCTGCGCGGCCGCGTCGCACCGCTGCAGCGTGGTGTGCGGCCGCTCGCTCAACTGCCAGCTGCACCGCTGCGAGGAGTTCTGCCACACCGGCCACTGCGCGCCCTGCCCCCGTCTCAGTCAGTACACACACCCACACACACACACACTATACATGACTAATACCAACAGAATACAAGTTGTATATAAGCTCTTCACTGTACCTACACATTGATTTGTTCGATATTAGTGTAATTTGTATGAAAATATGATAATATTGCAGTCCGGTAGATACGCTACAATACAATACATTTAATTACAAAAATAATATTATTAATTTGTTATAAGCAGTTATTTGCTCTGTAAAGAAATAGCAAGTTTTGTGACAAAGAATTACGAAAATTGGTTTACAATTGGCAAAGCAATCAAGTAATAGTTGCAAAATCAGTCCAATTAAGAATCTCCTATTAGAATTCGTTGAAAAATTGTGTGTGCGCAGGCTTCGAGGAGTTGCGATGTTCGTGCGGCGCGCAGGTGACGCTGCCGCCGATACACTGCGGAGCGCGGCCGCCCGCCTGCTCGGCGCCCTGCCGCCGCCCGCGGCCCTGCGGCCACGACCCGCTGCACACCTGCCACACCGGCGACTGCCCGCCCTGCGTCGTGCTCACCACCAAGCGCTGCCACGGCGGACACGAGGTACGCACTGTGGCCCACCGCGGCCGCGACCCGCTGCACACCTGCCACACCGGCGACTGCCCGCCCTGCGTCGTGCTCACCACCATGCTGCTTTTATGGGTTTCTACAAGTGACGGTTAATTCAAACAAATTACCAATTAGTAACAGCAGTTGTCAAAAATATTACCTTCTAGGTTAAATATATATTAAATCCTTTGGTGTTTTACAGGAAAGGAAGACTATACCATGTTCACAAGAGGAGTTTTCCTGCGGCCTACCCTGCGGCAAACCTTTACCTTGTGGCAAGCACACATGCATTAAAACTTGTCATAAAGGACCTTGTGATACTGTCAAGTAAGTATTTTATGCTCAATCATCATCATATCAGCCTTTAACTGTTCATTGCTGAATATATATCTCTTACTTGGGGGTTTTGCCTGTATTTGCCACACATGCCGCACCACAGTCAGGCTTTAAAGATGTTTTAAGATGGACCCTGCGCCCATCCGTCGCCCTCTTTTGGTCGACTCTTACGACACCCATGGCAAAGGGGTGGCCTATTAATAGTCCATGATTTGACAGTGACATTTTTTTCTTTTTTATTGTTGGCAAGTGTCTGACATTTTTGATGTATTTTTTTTTATATAGCATTTCGTCTTTTAATGACTTATTTAACATTTATTCTTTTTAAGTTTTAATATTTGCATGCCTAATTATGACGAAATATGAGGACTTATTGTAACATCTATACACTTACAATGTTTCTTGTAAGTAAATAAATAAATAAATATTCTATCGCGCCTATTTTATATATCTATATATCAATTTGATGCCCAATACATGTTTCAATAAGAGACAATTTTTGAGAATTGCTATTTAAAAGTGTATTGAAAGTGAACGTGCCAACCCTACTGGGTAGTGCGATGTTTCACTGGTTAGCTGTGCCAGCGTGGTATGGCTGGAGCAGGCGAGTAGCGTGGTGTGCGCGTGCGCAGGTGCAGGCAGCCGTGCGCGGCGCCGCGCAGCTCGTGCGGGCACGCGTGCGCGGCGCCGTGCCACGCGGCGGCCGGCTCGCCGTGCCCCAGCGCCGCGCCCTGCCGCCGCCCCGTGCGCGCCACCTGCCCCTGCGCGCGCCGCCACGCGCACCGGCCCTGCTGCGACAACGCGCGCGACTACGACAGGTCCCACCGCACCCGCACACGCACTCGCACACCCACTCACCGAGGATACACAGTTTGCCCTAAACTTAGGCCCATCGGACAGTCCCATTCGTGTTTCAACCGTGAAGCAGTTGTGTTTGCATGGCTGTGTTTCGGTTTGAAGGGTGGGATATGGCGTGAATTTACTGGGTACAGAGGAATAACACCTGAGTCCTCAGGAATGGCAACGCATGGGGGGTATCATGGGCGAAACAGTACACTCTGTTATGTCCATGGTACTGCTCATGTATATAGGCGACGGTTACCACTTTCCATCAGGTGGGCCGTCAGCTTGTTTGCCATTCTAAGTTGTATAAAATAAAAAAAAAAAGCTTATTTTCTTTTTTTTCTTTTATTTATTTATTTTCCAAAAAACGTACAGCTGTATTACAGTCAATACATAATCAAAATTGTATCTATGTTAAGCCATGAATCGTTTTCACATTTGTGTAATGACACAATTGATCGGTTTTTATATATGCAAAATACGTACATACTCGTACATACACATACACACACACTTATGTCACATTGTGATTTAATTATTAATTTTACAACAATCTAATTTCAATCCAATATTTTTATTGTAAGATTAAAGCAATAGTAACCACTTTTCGGTGACTTGTTGGTTTGTTACATTGCTTTTTTATTTGATTTAAAAATTCAACTTACATCAAACACTCAATTTTCAATACGTTACTTACTAATTTTATTAATCTTTTTATTACATTTCTTTTGTTAATATTATATCTGTTGGAAACTATAATATATCTTAATTTACACAGGATAATGAGTGCGCTGGCTGCTACTAAAATGCAAGAAGGTGGTTCCGTCGATATATCGACTGTACATCGTCCTGGCTCCATGTTAAAAACGTAAGCACGGTATTTCAAATGATTCACCTTAAACTTTCATATTATACATATAGTTATCAAATTTAAATTCTAATGAACAATCTAACAGCTAATCATCTGATACACTCAATCTTATTTAAGTTCATATAAAATATTTCTTAGGTGGACTAATTTTGATTAATAACGCAGAGCATCACAAATTAGATATTTTATCCAATTTCTTACATTTGAGTTTAGTTTTTTACCTATGTTCAGCTAAATAAAATCATAGGTTACTGGCCATTATTCGTCAAAGTGAAATTATCTATGTTATACAAAAAAAAACTGCAACACCTGAATAGAATATAGGTAAAAAAATGTTTCCTTAACCAAACGTATATGGCGAATGTATGAGGAGACGTGACTGTTCATTTGCGTGCGTCAGGCTGGAGTGCGACGACGAGTGCCGCATGGAGGCCCGCGCGCGGCAGCTGGCGCTGGCGCTGCAGATCCGCAACCCGGACGTGTCGGCCAAGCTGGCGCCGCGCTACAGCGACCTGCTGCGGGCCACCGCCGCGCGCGAGCCCGCCTTCGCGCAGCTCGTGCACGACCGCCTCACCGACCTCGTGCAGCTCGCCAAGAAGGTACGCACGCCGCACATCGCACACAGCACACCGCACACCGCACACCGCACACTGCTCATGTCTATAGGCGACGGTTACCACTTTCCATCAGGTGGGCCGTCAGCTTGTTTGCCATTCTAAGTTGTATAAAAAAAAAAGAAAAAAAAACACTGCACACTGCACACCACACCTCTCTTTTCTTGCACCATCGAGCTAGCGTCGCACAGTGTTTTTGACCCAAAAAACAACCATCCTCTTTTATATTTTTATTTTGTAGAATAGATCGACGACGACGACGATCAAATCTTATCAGGTTCAGAGATATGATTTTTTTAATTTTAATTCTATGGAAATCAGAAATTCCAAAAAACACACTGTGTATCGCGCTACAGCAACCTTCTGCGAGCCCCGTTCGCACGCGTGTATGCCTTCGAGCAAATCGTGCACGCCCGCCTTACCAACCTTTACCTACTTTCTTCAAGGACGCCCGCGCACTAATTTGAATTATAACAGACCACGGCACCTTGTATGTACTCATGTATTATAAAACTGTTACTTTAATCTATTAATATCATTATTAGGTACTTTATGTTGGATTAAAATGGTGGAAATTTATACGCATTATCGTTATATTTAAATATCTTCCTTATTGACTTTTTTATTTTTATTAGTATGTTTCATTTTTATTGTTGACCATATCACATCCAATTATTGTATTTCTTACTTTGACTATTTAAACTAACAGACTAAATATTTTTTTTTATACAACTTAGAATGGAATGGAGCAAACAAGCTGACGGCCCACCTGATGGAAAGTGATAATCGTCGCCTATAGACATGAGCAGTACCATAGACATAACAGAATATACTGTTTCGCCCATGATACCCCCCATGCGTTGCCATTCCTGAGGACTCAGGTGTTATTCCTCTGTACCCTGTAAATTCATGCCATATCCCACCCTTCAAACCGAAACACAGTCATGCAAACACAACTGCTGTACGGTTGAAACACGCATAGGACAGAGGTTTCCTAGCAATCGACTTTTGTACAAAGTCTCCCTCTGGTGATTTGGTATTATATATTACATTCCTTAATATTTTAATTAATGTTCTTTTATCATTATGTAATTTTATAAAATTAAATGAGATCTAATGTTTTATACCCAAAATCTTAGCAAATAAAATTATTATTATTATATCTTTTTTTTTTCAGTCAAAGCAGAAAACTAGATCGCATTCGTTTCCATCGATGAATTGGCAAAAAAGACAGTTCATACACGAAATGTGCGAACACTTCGGTTGCGAGAGCGTTGCGTACGATGCAGAGCCGAACAGGAACGTCGTCGCCACCGCCGATAAAGAGAAGGTAATAAAATAAAACCAATGTGACTTTTTATTGTTCTATCAAAATAAATAAAAAATAATAATTCAATAATTAAAAATCAGAATGGAAATAGTGCAATGATACATTTTTTATGCAATTCTGCACACTTTCCTTCTCTTTTTGTTAGTCGGTTAAAAATCTCTTAATGTTACTACTACTCATGTGAAAAAAATGCACTGTCCTCATACCCTGTAATTTAACTTACATATCCTTCTAATCGAAATACAGTCATGCAAGTACAGTTACCTCACAGTCGAAAGGCGAGTGGGAAAGCATATTATTTTTGCAGTTTGTTTGTCACTGCCTTAAACTCCCAATTTTTTTATGGATGATAGGAATGGTAACCCCGCCTGTACTAACGGTATACTCAGGCGGGGCACCAGTGAGGGATAATACTTAAAAAAAGGCAATTCAGTTTGCCCATCGTGATGACGATCGTGATACATCTGGAATTCAGCACGATGATTTCCAGAGGGGACCATGTGGATATCGACTTAACAGAGTATATTGTTACCAATAGGGCTGATAGTCCACATTATTAACAATGCCTTCCGAAGCTTCTAATTAGGGTGCATAATATGTTAACTGTGTCCTGCAGTCATGGCTGCCGGCGATGAGCGTGCTGGAGGTGGTGTCGCGCGAGGCAGGCAAGCGACGCGTGCCCGGGCCTGTGCTGCGTGCCGCACCCCTAGCCGCCTCCGCCTCCGCTACCGCCTCCGCATCCGCCGCCACCGCGCCCGCTACCTCCACTGCCAAGTAACTATACTTTTCCTCTTGACAATATTGTACTCAGGCGTGAACCGCTCCGCTTTCCGCTCCCGCCACCACCTCTGCCTATTCTACCTATTCGCCCCCTATATCTATGTCCCCGTCATTACCTGTAAACCTTTGTATCTGCTAATTGATTTTTAATTAACAGACTGATTTAAATTAAATACGTAAATTACTGTTTAATTAAGTTGTAAAATAAAAATTTACAACCCAAAAATATCGCTAAAATTTTTAATTCTAACAAATTCTATAACACAACATGAACAAGTATGAACACTTTAAACAAAAAACACAATGTATTTTTCACATTTATTTAGCGATCTTCACACACTTCTGCAATAAATTACAATTAACATGACGCTCGTGTATTAATTCATGTATTTGATTTTATATTTTAAAGTTAAATTCAAAATTAGTTTTATTCCAGAAAATATTTTCTTTTTTATTTATCGTGTACATACAGTTCTGAAATATTTCTCTCTTATATAAATTTATCAGTAAATTGATAAAAAATACTCCCCAACGATATAGCAAGTTATTTTTAACTTGTTTCTACTCGCCTTAGTCCTTCTTCATTTTAAATACTATGTTTATACAGAATTTCGTAACGATTGGTTGAGCCACTAAAGCGCTATTAGGTAAGAGACTCGCTTTCATATAATATTAGTAAAAATGACAATCGTCTGCGTAGATCATCGACCGGTTGGGCGACGCTGACATCAACGAACGCGTGGGCAGCACGCAGTCAGAACAAGCCAACGGCCACGGAGCCGAAACCTGCGCCGAAGATAGACTACTTCGACAATCCGCCCGACAACTAGCCACACGGCGGTTAGCTCAAATTATATATACTTTGTCTTGATAAATTCAGTGTGGTTTACACATTTATTTATTGGCAAATTACTATATGCATATTGTTATAAGAAATATTTTCCAATAATTATATAGTGTGATTTAAAAAATTTGAAGCAAGCAGGATTTGAATTCGCATGTTCTACGTCTACATGCAATTTAAATGTGTTCTGCTATAGTACTGTAGTTAAAAAAAAATACAACAAAATTCGAATTTGTTCTATCTAAATTCTCAATTCTTTATTTAAATTTAAAATATCCTGACGAGATTTTCGCAAAAGGACACAGCACAAGGCTTATTTATGGCCAATGACTAACGCGTACGACCTATGACTATACCTTTTACGATCAAACGAAACGTATGGTCAGTAATATTAAAAAAAATCCCATAATTATCTTTATGAAATTACAGATGGAATGACGCCATTAAAAATATATAGTTCAAACCCTGCTGCTGTTCCATAGATGCTCTTGCCGATTTATAAATAATAAATGATATTGATATATATAAGTACACGGACACAATACTGGGCTTTATTGCGGGAACTGATTTTAATGTGATTTGGGAAAGAATGCTGATTGGATAATTGTATGGCTGCTTCACATACAAATGTTAAATAAAAAAATTAAAAGATTATTTAGCTCAGCCTAACAGTAGTCTCATATTAAATATGTATTTAGTTGAAATATATGTCTAGAATAAAAGAGCGCGTCCTAGTAACTTTTGAAATAGCTTTACAATAATATGATTTAAAAAGAAATATATTACACAGATGTAAAAAGTAATAATCACACTGGATTTTATCAACAAGAAATATAGTGTCAATTTTTTATATGTTTATTCAAATTAAATTATACACCCGGTCAAATATTATTGACTTACATAACTTTATTTGTGTGGGATGTATGATGTTTGTATGGATTTATTATTTATATCGCAAGTGTATATGTATATATAATGCAAACTCAATTTGCGAACTCGATTATGTTAAGTTTGATATAATATGTATTGCTAATCATACAAATATATCGATTATGTTGTACCACAAACTTAAATGAATATTGTTCAGGATTAAACTACCTTTTTGTCATCTATAAACTGAGTATGCTTTGAAAACTAATATAGTTGTTGACAAATGGTAACACACAATAACAATACCATACGAGAGTAAAAAAGCAAGCAGATTCGACGATAGTAGTGTCTAATTTTGTAGAAAATTCACTTAACTGGAATTATTTCAAATAAGACGAATATTGAATGTTAATTGAAATTTCTTAATATCAAAAGTACTGTATCTGGTTTAATATTGTGAAAATGTTATGTATGAAATTGATAATTTGTGCGTTATACTGATCCGACTCGAAGGACCAAAACGATGTATGATTTGCCACTGAACACCAGAGCATGATAAAGAATTGTTAGCATCTAAGCGTGAAATTAGATTAACAGAATAAACATACCACTACATAGGAATCAATAAGTTAGAAAGAAAAGCGTATGCTCCTAGCCAGATCTGTTTTTTCCGGCATAACGCAATAATTGCTGTACCAAAATGGATGCGATTCTCACAGTTGTATTTCTGAAGATCTAACTTTATTGTGATAGATACATAATTAAAAAGTAGTCTTCTTTCATTGGTTTGCTACTTCTGAAATCCACGCATGCACAAATTAGCGGGCAAAAATTAAGTAAAAATATTTGTAATTAAGTAAAATACTGATCGTGCCAAATTTGAATGTGTAGTAATATACTGCACCTCACTTAGCACCATCTTGGTATAATCCGAATGAGTAAAAAAGATGGCTTTATTAACCCAATCAATTAACTTGTAATGGTACAACCAAATTGACACCTTAGTACCTATATTATTAATTACTTTTTTCCTAAGAATATTTACTTTTAAATGTATCACACAATTCTAATGTTACCATCTATAAATGTATACAACGATTTTTCCAGTACAACATTTTAAAATATACGCCAGGAAAATTAAGAACTTAATTAATTCACAGAACTCTGTAGAATTTCTATTTATCTGTGAAATTTAGCAAATAAAAAGTGCAAGTCGTGTACGAATACAAAATTATTTGCATTGAATTATTCATTTTAAATAATAAGTCGTTTGATATAGGTCTGGAGCGCTGAACATACTTACTGATTGTGCACGACAACATGGCACGCCCTTCCAAAATAAAAATGTGTGAGTAGATATATCTAAAAGCTTTCGACAAAGAAATATAATACTCCTCTAGTCGGATCGTTACTAAAGATGTACCCTCACAGACGCAAACTAAGCACCACGTCTGTATATGGGCACACGCATTGAAATAAAAAGTTGGAGGGGCGTGCTAGGTCAACATCGACAATCTATAGCACTTTCCATAGGATGGGCCGTTTGATTATTTCCCATTTCATGAAAAAAATGTAGTCTTATGTACATAATACAGTAACTAATGCAGTAGGTATTTGATTGCATTATTAACGGAGTTCAATGAACTTTATTTTCTAATTTTCTAACTGAGACTAGACCAAGGATCTCGAATAATCGCTGATTCCTCAACAAGTCCCAAAAGTAAAGTGTTCAATTTCGTTATATATAATGTAAAATCAAAGTCCTTAGCATTGTTTTAAGAGGATATTCTGCCAATAAAATTGGTGATTTTCATCTAAGAAACACGACAAAAAATTTTGAGTCTTACATATTATTATTGAGAAATGGGCTTTATCCTTTATGATATTTCTACCTGAAATACCTGTAACACTGCAACCTTTGTAATCTATTGTGCTCGCCCCTTTTTTTTTTAATGTTCACTACAAATTCCTGTCAGTGACAGAAATTTTAAGGTATTATAAACACCGAGTCTCGCATAGCGGCACATTCAGATGTATGGAATGTCCAAAAAAAATTTTTTTTTTTATTTCTCTTTAATAAATTTTCGTTCTACTATATTGATAATAATTTTATTTTTACTTACGTATTTGTTAAATAGTGGGATCGATTCTAAGGCGCTATGTTTCTGAACCTGTCTCTTTACCTAATTTTTCTTTTTTTTTGATAATTTCATGAAATTACTGTCGTATCGATCATTATAGACTAAAATTATAATAATTTGGACTTAAATCTATTAGAAAATTACTTCTTATTGGTCCTTACAGTAAAGATTTCGCCGTGATATTTACTTATTTAAACAACTTTATTAACCAAATGAAAATATGGTACAAAAGGCGGACTTAATGCCAGTATCAGTCTGTACCAATCAACCTTTGTTTAATTTTAGAGTTAGGTATTGAATTGGCACCTCGAAATCGATCCCATTGTTGCAACATTTTTTTTAGGAATTCGTAAATTTTATAATGTAACACTGGGGATTTGGAAGCAATTGTGAGCCATAGTTCAGAAACATTCATTTCAAATATGAAGCCAGATCAGTCAAAAACATCTCATTATAAATCTGGCTTCAAACATCGGCTGTTAGGCCTCTTGCCATTTTTAATAATAATATCGCACTTAATGTGGAATTCGTAGCACAAAGTGTTCAAATGATATCTTTTTTAAATGATTTAATATAGTGTATTTAAGAAATGTGTTCTAAATTTACTGTTGATTAATGGTTGATGTGATAGAACAATGTTCTATCAAACTATGTATTAAAAATATTAAATTTAAGAAGTATATAATGATTTTGTTCATAACATAAAGAAAAACTTTTGACCATATTAATTCTAATTCTATAATAAATGCAAAAGTTTCTTAGGATCGATAGATGTTTGTTACATTTTCACACAAAAACTACTGAACGAAATCGAATTAAATTAATACAGAGGTACATTATATCCTAATTTAGCACAAAGATGTATATATACTTTATGTATTGATTCACGTGGACGAAGCCACGATACACAGCTAATAAACTCTGTCAATCTACTCGTTAGCTTAGCAAACGTGTGATTGTTTCTAATCTCAGTTGGTTATGTTATAATCTTAGCAAGGCAATATAGAAAACAAACTTTTTTTTTTAATAGTGACACGTACGAGGTACGTACTATCTCTTTCGACAATCTCTTTCCAACTATATAAAAAAAAATCTAAAGCTAGTGTACTATTTAAAAACCGATTTCAATTTAGAATCGGATAATTTTGAAAATACTTTAATTTAAAACAAAGCATATTAATTAATATTAAAATCAAATCGTAATTGGCAAAGGAGCACATGATATACTGTCGAATTGATCCCCTTCTTTTTTGAAGTCGGTTAAAAGAAGGTAATAATCTTCAAAGCTGCAGTAAAAACTTAAATACAATGTTTGTCAAATGTTTGCTACTTGTGAAAAAGATTTTGTGTCATATAGTGTGTTCATCTGATCTATCACTAACTTGTCGCGATACGATATCGATGTCGTTTATTTGTGATATAATCAATCGATTAATGACACGAAATGATTATTAGACAACACTATTCTTTTTGGCACTGTTCAAATCGAATGCAACGAAAGAAAAGCATAGACACGGAATTAATATTTGAACGATAACGCGTAACGTTGAGAAACTACAATATTTCTATCGCGGTACAAACCTGCAATGTAGAATAACAACTGACAATCTTTAAACATTCTATAAAAGAGATTAAATATATTGTTATTTGCACACCCTACTGCCCAGTGTTAGCGCTAATGAAAAAAAAAATTGTAATTTATTTTTATCTATTCTCTTTTATCTACTTCGTCACATGACAGTTTTCAACGAATACCTTCATAATATTAGTTGTTGCTGTTGATATTTTTCTATTATATATCTGGCAATTTACAAAAACAATTGAACAATTTCCAATATTTCTGATTGATTACTTAACACCTCGTGTGCACATAAGCTCTCTCTTGTGCTCTCGATGCCTAACATTTTACAAACGTTCTCTGTCACCAAACTTGAACCTTAACTTTATAAATATAAAGACGAAATATATAAATAACAGTTTACATGAGTAAAGTGAAAACAAAAACATTAAAACGCATATTTTTGCTCTAGCCAACTTCTCTCATACTCCGGGCAGAAATATGTATGCTCGAAAGAGGATTTAATTTAAATCACTGCGCTAATACTTACAAACTGGGCAGTTACGGAAGAAATCCCCGATAAAACTGAAATAGTGCACTATTATCAAGCAGATAGTATTGACCGAAAATGCCTGTTGAACTAATAAAGCTAGTTCCAAATGTTAAATAGGCTATTTTAACTAGATGATATAAATTAATAGAAGATGTAAATTGAAAAGGATTTCAGTCGCATTGTAAAATATGTAAAAATCCCGTGTCATATTCATTCAGGCTATGCAGAGATTAGCATGAACCGCTCAACCTATTTTAATGAAATATATATCTATTGTGTGATCCAACTTAAGAGATAATATAGTATTTATCCCGATAAGAGTAACTGGACCCGGTAGAAGACGGTATTGGGCAAAAACAAAGTTCGCCGGGTCAACTAGTTGCCTATAAAAAAAGAACACCAATTAGTCTCGAAGACTCCGAGTCGGTCTAATGACCATGAATATAATAATACGAATTTAAAAGGTAAAGGGAGGGCTTGGTTTCTTATGAACACTCGATGTTAAACTTGATATCTATAGAAAAATTGTAACTTACTTAATTCGCTGTTGTACAAGCGACATGTGTATTAAAGTGTTACATATTTGTTACATTCTTTTATTATTTATCAATCCTGTTCCCCTGTGCGTTTATATTTTAATTAAAATCGTGAACTTTTTTGATAAACACTTTTGATATTCATGTTTCAACCGAGTTGTGTTTGCATGGCTGTGTTTCGTACAAAAGTCAATTTACTTACAGAGGAATAACATCTCTGTGGCAACGCGGGGGGGGGGGGGGGGGGGGGGTATCATGGGCGAAACAGTATACTCATGTTATGTCCATGGTATTGCCATGTCTATAGGCAAGCCACTTTCCATCAGGTGGGCTTTGTTTGCCATTCTAAGTTGTATAAAAAAATATATATATATAAAATATGACTCTTAGAAAGACATAAAAATATTTTACACAACTAGGTGTTATCTAGCAGAAGTCTGTATTACTGGGTATTTGAACAGAATTGTTTAATTCCGCTACCATTTGTGTGTAACTGCCAACATTAGTATGTGGTATACAATCCTCGAATGTTGCAAATTAAACAAAATAATTCTAATCAGCATAATAAATCCAATTCGCATTAGCAAAATTAGTTCTAGTAAACCGATTCATAAAGTCCTGAGAACAAGCGAGTATTTTTCAAGAAAGAATTAGATCGATGGGAATCGATCTCATTTATCGACGACTTATAAAAATTTTATAATTCTATATTTTTGAAATTACCTTTATAAGTTGGCCTCTAAGACAAATGTAACAGCGCTTATTTAAACTTTAAAACAAATTTGTTTGATAAAGAAATACGAATAGGTGTATAATCCTACAAAAACTGTATACACCTTTAATTGATATGTTCATATAGCCTTAAGCTTGGCAGTGAGGAGTAAGATTTTTTGTTCAAACTTTGATTTAAGCATTTTTTAATAGTAGTTTTTCTCTTTTACTTACTAATAACATTGTATATTGTCTACTTAATTATTGTGAGCATATTGTTGGTGTGTCTTTTATAAATAAATAAATAAAACTATTATTAAAATTGTAATATAAAATAAAAAAGAATATAACAAACATTAATAAAAAAAAAAGTATAAATATAGTAAACCCGTGATATACAAAATTAGTTGCACAAACAATTTTCTTCGTGATTGCAATCCTCGATGTCTGTCAATATACTATCTATATAGCGAGCTATATTTATCATTGGATCCCTTAACGTATGACAGGAACAGTTGCAACCTGCTGTTAAATATTCTCTTGAAATATCCGGCCATATTGTAGAAGATCTACGAGTGAAACTGGAATCTCGCTTACTGGATGAAAACTTAGTTTTACTACGCCATGGTTCGCTGGCTCTCCGATTTCTGTTGCTTTGATATGCGAACACGTATTTTGGACAATGTTCCGAATAATACTTTTTATCAAGAGACAATTCATTTTCTTTTCGTCGATAAGGTTGTAGCTGAAAGATCAAGTATTTTTTTTTTTATTGTTATAATTGTATTTACTATGTCATTACTGCAACGCTATTTTTTTTTGATGGGTGAAAATGGTATGGTAACGCCGCCTGCGCTAACGGGATATACTGGCGGAGCACCAGTGAAGAGTTATAGATGAGAATGAAAACAGGCCAGTTAGCCCATCATGATGAATTCATCAGGAATTAACCATGATAGTTTCCAAGGAGAACCGCGAGGAGGTCGACCTGGTTGGGTATATTGCTAGCAATGGACTGCAACGCTATTACCAAATATAACATTTCGACTACCTTTCGTTGTGTCATGTTTTTCAATTTTTTCACAATTGTGGACGTTTTCCTTTTCTCAGTTTTGTGACCGACGGAGAAAGTGTCTGATCCCTCAGTAGCATACTTTATCGGAGAAACGTAAGGCTGCAAAATATGACCTAAAATTGATTTATTTTAATTAACAATTTCTTAACCCCTGCCCACAAACGTCATTTAACGTTCTTAGATTTACTAGGTACTGTATATACCGAAACAGCTGTTTTTATTTTACTTTTTTCTTATCATAATCTTACCCATTGCCTATCCAACTTTAGTCCCATTTTTCTTCTCTTTTATTATTCCCTCCCTATAAATCTTTCTGTTTTCACTGTTCCGATACGCATCATTTTTTAGTCTTTGTTTTGAACAAGTTGAACCCATCTAGACCAATAAATATTGGTATATAACCGATTTTACGGTCCTGCTCTTATACACAGTGGCGGCTGTAGGGGGGTTGCGAAAGGGGCAAACGCCCAGGGCCTCGCTCTTGCAGGGGCCTCGGGTAACAAATCAAACAAATTTTAAACAATCAGTGAGTAATCGCAAATGAACAAAATTACCAACAATAATATATATATCAATTTTGTATCCGAACATACATACGCACGTACGCACACACACACACACGCTCGCAAATTTTATTTATTTATATAACTTTAACATTTCTCGTCAAACATGACAAATACCTAAACCAAACAACCAGACGTACTTTGGGCATCGCATACTTTTCACGAAGAACAAGAGCTTCGCAAAGACCTGCCGCCGGGAACCTCGCAATGGGTAAGGCCGTCGCTGCTTTTACATATCTAGGTATGAGTATGCTCTTAAACGTGGTTTCAGATAAAAAATCGCAACCTATCTTTCACTACTCTCAATCTTTATCTTATAATTTTATGCTTTGTACTTGTTCTCCTACATCAATTCAACACTCTGATCTTTATGACGCACCATAGACACGAGCACTACTAAAATCATAATAATTTTCAATATACTGTGCTACTCACACATTTGGTTGATGCCCCTCCGCAGGACATCGCAAGCAAGTACAGCGGTCAGAAATTGGGAGCCGTAGTCATAATAGCAATTACCTATAAAATGAAAAGATCACACCACAAAATCAAGTTGCATTTCGAAAATCAATTTTAATTTACATAAAAATAATAATAATAATATACATATTTAAAATATTACCGTGATTCAGTTGAATAATTTGATAAGCAAATGAAACCAATTTTGACCACATGATAAACAAGTTATTGTCGTAATCGTTTGTGCGAACATGCTCTCTCCTATTCTTCACTTTAGGCATTTCCATCGTTGTCTGACTTCTGTCTGTAGGAGTCTTGTCATCGTCACATATCTTGGTATAATTTTCTATGCACTGCAAACTCGCTTTCACAGTTCCTTTTTGCATACTGATATTTTCAGCTATATTTCTCTTTACAGATTCGAGCTCCTCCTTTATATCGTCAGCCAAATTTCCCTCTTTGATGTTGAGATTCTTGACAACACTAGTAATGCTTTCCTCGATGCTGTTATCGTTTCTTATATCTTCTATACTTTTGAATTCTTCCACATTCGGTGTGCCAACTTGAGAGCCATCTTGATTTAAATTGTCGGAGTCTTCCAAATCGTGCTCGGTGGCTTCACTGAGATAGTCGTCTTCAAGTTCGCAAAAACTTGCGAAAAAATCATCGTGGCTCTGATTAAATGATGTTTTTGTTCCTTCGCTTTTAATGCTCTTCTCTGTTTTAGGTTCAAAAGTACATAGTCCAAATTGATCATAGAGCCTTCGTCTAGCTTTTCTTTCACATAGCTCCCGACGTAGGATTCTCTCCTGGTAGGACCTGTCTTTCAGTTGCTGAGCAGCGTCCAACTGATTTCTTTCCAGAGATTTAAATTGCTCATATAAGTACCATGATTTGACCCTTTTCGTTTTTTTATGGGTTGTTTCTAAATCTATAAAAAAAATTAGTATCACAATAAAAAAATCTCTGTACAAATGCAATGACTTATAATCACTGTTTGAGTTCTAATTTAGAAGTCAATGTTTTAATCTATTATTATTAATTAACCTATGGCATAATCCCTCTTAATATTCTTATGTTGTGTCCACATGGTCTACTGCCATGGTCTGTTTCAATAAATTTTATGGAAATATAAACAATCGGAATAATCGAACCCAAAATAAGACAGTGTACTGATATCCTTATCTGGGTTTACCCAATGGTGGACTAGTAGAAAACGCCGTCCGGTGTTAAGTCCGCCAATAGAATTTTACTGTGCATTAAAGTTTAAATAAATAAATAAATATCCAATTATGTTAGTACAAAACTATTACTAATTTCATTAGTCTTTTTAGGATTATCTCAACAAAACTTGATTCTATTGATACAAACTATAGTAATTTTCACTATTGTCAACCAGTATTAAAACGTTTCAATTCTGTGTGTTGAACCGCAAACGTGTTACATACCGAGCGAATCAAGAAAATCCATCCACGTTTTTCTTCCTACAATATAAATTGATTCAATAATTTCCTTTTTTACTCTGATTTCAAATTTTACATAATTTGCCCAAATAAACTTGTTTTGGTTTTATATTTTATTTTCGTGACTTATGTAAATTGTGCTTTCAAATATTTATCATCATTACATCTGCCAATTAATGTTTATATATTTCTATGCGCTGTCAATATTAGACCAGTTATATCGCAAATCTATCCTTAATCTAAGAGTCTTACAACCTTTTTTAATATCTGTACATAATAACTGTACAATAGGTATAAATTAAAAAAATAAAAGCAAGAATAGCGTTTCGTAATTAATAATAGATTTCCCGAGCAAATACAAGAGGGAGACTTTGTACAAAAGTCGATTGCATGGGTACCTCTGCCCCATTCGTGTTTCAACCGTGAAGCAGTTGTGTTTGCATGGCTGTGTTTCGGTTTAAAGAGTGGGATATGGCGTGAATTTACTGGGTACAGAGGAATAACATCCGAGTCCTCAGGAATGGCAACGCATGGGGGGTATCATGGGCGAAACAGTATACTCTGTTATGTCCATGGTACTGCTCATGTATATAGGCGACGGTTACCACTTTCCATCAGGTGGGCCGTTAGCTTGTTTGCCATTCTAAGTTGTATAAAATAAAATGATTGTCCACTTGTAAATTTCAATTAAACATCGTAAATTATGATATATTATAACGATGATATAACACAATTAAAATACAAATTTAAAATATACACCTTTATTGACAACACATAAAAAAGACGACACTTCAACAACAAAAAAAGAAAACGAGACAAACTCAACATCCCTTATGTCCTTTGCCACACGCGGACCTATTTGCACTAAGTTTGTCTCCGAGTCAATACCCATATATGGATCGGTCTGGGATTAAGATATTTATAAGCATATTGGTAACCAAGATATCGCCAACACCAACGGCCGAAATACTAACCGCATCTACCTACTTTCACACAAAAGGTGCGATTGTACATATAACACGACACAAAATTCACGTAAACTTTTTTTCGCATGCTTAGAAAGAAACACATAACATTTCGATTTTCAAAAATCGAAAACAGATAATGAAATTAACTATCCTTTCTTCTTACTTACAACTTCTTTTAATATCTGTACAATAGGTATAAATTAAAAAAAAAAACCGTGTAACTTGTAAAGTTGTGTTTGCATGGCTGTGTTTCGGTTTGAAGGGTGGGATATGGCGTGTATTTACAGGGTACAGAGGAATAACATCCGAGTCCTCAGGAATGGCAACGCATGGCGGGTATCATGGGCGAAACAGTATACTCTGTTATGTCCATGGTACTGCTCATGTCTATAGGCGACGGTTACCACTTTCCATCAGGTGGGCCGTCAGCTTGTTTGCTCCATTCCATACTAAGTTGTATAAAAAAAAATACATATTAATTTTTTAAAACAAAAATAAGGCTTTTATGGTGAATAATATTTACTATAAAGGCCCAGGCGATGCTAGTGGAATATATTGAAATAGCAAGTTTCTAGTAATTACTAGTACCACTGATATTATGTATTCTTATGATTGTGCCATTGTAGGTACATTTAATCAGTCATCCGATTTACAATTAAGTGCCAAAGTTTGGAATGTACTAATCTAGATGCGTTGTTACAGAACGGTAAATTTCAAATTATTAATGACCTTATTTTAATCCAAACAGAGCGGATTATCGAAAAAATTATCATTTATACGCCACGCCACCGTATGATTTGGTACAAGTATGACATAACAGTAAACATTTTTAAATATTCATTGGGTAGTTTTTTTTTTTTTTATGCAATACTCCTAGGCATATTTCACGGCTACAATTTCTGTGTATAATTACGTAAGTATCCAGGGCCGGATTATAAATTAGGCAGTATAGGCAATTACCTAGGAGCCCTTTAATAGCAGATGTCCCGTGCCCAGAAAAAAACTTTTTTCGAGAAAGTTTCTTTATATGAAAATTACATCTGAAGATTTCTTCTGACAAATTATTGCCTTGTTTCTTTTTTTCTTTATTATACATCGTCATATCTCACTATATTTCGTAACACATTTCAATTTATTATATGTAGAGTAATATTATAGCTGTATTTTTTATGAGTAAGACATACATTGTCTAGGGGATCCGACATATTTAATCCGGTTCTGTAACCAACTATGCACGGCATAATCATTGTAACATTATTAGTAAAACTTACAAAATTATTAATAGAAAAAGATTGCGCCACCAGCTGGTTGTCTGCTATATCCAGGATTAGTTTGCGAGGAATGCACTCCAGAATTCATCAATTTCACACTGAAAGGAGATTTGTGCTCCTTGACGCCTCCAAGCTTCATCGGATGGCCCTGATGATGAAATAAAAACGTTCAGAACTCGTTATAGCAAGCTGGAATCGCACTTAAAATGTAAGCATAAAAAATAAATATATCTATATAGTTGTTTACTCCAAACTTATATTTTTTCACACAATCAATAATCACTCAATGGTCGCGTACATTGCGGTTTCAGAGGAATTTCCTCCCGCAAACGATCAGGCTGCAGAATGAGCTCCCTGTTAAGAAACTACAGTATAGTGGTCTTCAAAAAAGGTGTATTAAGATTTCTTCAAGGTCGGCAACGCGTAACACCCTCAGTGTTGCAGGCGTACATAGGTTACAGTGGCTATTTATCATCAGACTGACGTATTTTTTTTATACAACTTAGAATGGCAAACAAGCTGACGGCCCACCTGATGGAAAGTGGTAACCGTCGCCTATAAACATGAGCAGTACCATGGACATAACAGAATATACTGTTTCACACATGATACCACCCATGCGTTGCCATTCCTGAGGACTCAGGTGTTATTCCTCTGTACCCTGTAAATTCACGCCATATCCCACCCTTCAATCCGAAACACAGCCATGCAAACACCATGTATAAAATCTACGTGTTTGAATCAAAGCTATTTAAACGTCGCGAAAACTCTAAAACCAAAAACGCAACTCATACCAAGGGGATAACAACAGGTGGGCATTTATTGAATGTATTTCTCAACCGTCGCCACGTGTCGCATCCATGCGTTTCCGGCTGCAAATAAAGGTCTTCTTTATCGGCAAACTGCTCTGTAGAATGATTGTATGTAGCGGAAAGAATGAAGTCGAGACTGTCATCTGGCAAGCTTTAAAGGAAAAATTGTGGTTATTTGTTAAATTAAAATTCTAAAGTCAGTGGCAGGTCAGTGGGGTAGTGTTGGCCCATTGGTAATGCAAAAAAGTCGGTTTAAAACATATAAGCTTAAAATAAAAAAAATGCATTCATGGAGTGCGACTCCCTTCATATTTTTTTTTAATGGATAATGAAATGGTAACCCCGCCCGTTGGGAGCCGCGTGGAGGTCGACCTGATAGGGTGTATTGCTATGGATCCCTTTCCCCCTCACTCCCTTCATATTGCGTGGCTGTAGGCGGTAGCTCGAATCGCTCGGGCCTTACAATACCTCTGCCTATTGGAATTTAGGAAACAAGGTAAGTAGGAGATATTATTGTTCGTCAAAACAAACGGTGAAAAATTCGAAAAATGATTATCCCACTGAAATGGGAAACAAGCTTACGGACAAGAAGGGGATACCGTAGCCTATGAACGCCTGCAATACTATGGGCGTATTTTCATAAATTTCAACTTTTCAACTACCATGCAATAATAGTGTACTTCTGAACAAAATGTATATCTGTTCCGCGGTATAATGACATAAGAACCTTAGAACTAATTGGGTCGAAAAATTGAGAAATATGTATTCGAATCCTGCTGCCTAGTTATTTATTGTCTTGCAACAAATTTGACTTAAAAATATACTATAATATATAATAGACTTAAAAATGTAACACCGACTCGGATGTATAGAAAAGCCTTCCTAAAATATTTTTTTCTGTACAAATTCACCACATATTATAGTCACTTATACTTGCTTTCTTTATATAAAATAAAACTGACCGCTGTAAAGTATAAATATCTGAAGTTACATATAAACTTGAAAATTTGGATTCCGAATGAGCAGTAGATTTATAAAAAAGTTACTATTAAAAACTGCTAGTAATTAAGTTTACTTTGATAAAAATATTCTTATTCTTAAAAAAATATATTATATCCAAGAACAAGCATCAAAATTAAAAAAAAATAACTTCTCTAGTGAAACACTCGTACAGACAAATACATTGTAGAGAGTCACCTGCAATAAAAGAGCAATTGTTCCAAATGCTACTAAGGATATTGCTGGAAGGCAATTGACACAGGTGTATTTTTTTTTCATCAGTGTATGATGGCGGGACATGTAACGTCTGTATATGTCCCGCCATCTTATATGCCGATATATTCGAGAGTATTTTTAGCAATGAATGAAAATACCCACTGCGTCAACGATGCCTAAATGCAAAAACAAAGGTGGGAAAAAAAGGATTGATAGTAATGGGATCTAATTTTCTTATAACTAGCAATACACCCTATTAGGTCGACCTCCACGCAGTTCCCCCTGGAAACTATCGTGATTAATTCCAGTGGAATTCGTCACGATTGATTAATGGATCTGCTTTCATCGTCACCTATCACTCTTCACTGGGGCCCCGCTAGCGTATACTCCTAGTGCAGGCGGGTTTACCATATCATTGTCAGCCATTTAAAAAAATGCTTTTAGGAAGGCAGATATTATTATTACTTACTGGAATGGATGAAAAAAGCTAAGCCTTCTAATACTGGCTAGGGTATGATGGGAAAACAATCTGGACCCAGCAGGGACACCATGTTTCTCCTTAGTGGACAAAATAATTTCTTTCGACAGCTCGCCCTCCTTTCTAAGGTCTGGTAAGAGCTGTTTATTCCGAACTTGTTTTATATCAGACATTTTATTAAAAAGTTGTTACATTCACTCTAATAATTTTATATATGATGTAACCCAAATATTAACTCGAATTTTTGCCTATCCCCAAATTTCTTACCAAGTCAAAATCGTAGTCTAAAATAATCAACAAAAGCCATAGCAACGAACTCCTTGCAAAACAAAAATTTTCTATATTGGTAACACTGGTTTCATCAGAAAGTTCTAGAGAGTGTTACCAACTTAGAAAATTTCTCCTTAATTTTAATAATGGAGGTTTAGAATCAAATAACAAAAATTGGGATAAAATCTAGACTTTTTATATCTAAAAATACAGTATTGTTAAAAATTTCCTGATTTTATAGTTTTTAGGCCATATTTTTCTTAATTGGTTCAGTAAAAATTTTTAAGTAAGAAATTTTATTCTAATCTACTTATTAATTGTAATAAAATTGTAGATATTTATTATTCTATATTCTATTATTTATATTGAATATTATTCTCTTTTGTATTCTTTCAAGAAAGAAAATAAGTTTTCAAAAAAAATATAATAGTATAATATCTCTTTTAGGAGAAGAAATTTTAAAAATTGGCCACACCGATGAAGCAATATCCGCTTTATGCTTTTCTCTTTTCCGGTAGCCATATTTACTGGATCATTCACGTTCTTAAACTCTTCTGTTATCAATTGGTTATAATTCGAAGTTCGAGGTCAGAAGCTACAAATTATCTCCTCTCTCTTCATTTAATTTATTAGTCTTTTTATTTTACTGAACAAGTGTCTTCGTTTTAGTGTAGTTCTAATAATTCACAATGAGTTACGGAAGACCCCCGCCGCGTATCGACGGCATGGTGTCCCTCAAAGTGGATAATCTTACATACCGTACCACACCTGAAGATTTGCGTCGAGTATTTGAAAGATGTGGCGACGTTGGAGATATTTATATTCCCAGAGATCGTTATACAAGGGAAAGCAGAGGATTCGCTTTTGTCCGGTAAGTGTAGTATCATTTGTGACGTCATTCCAATACCGGTAAATATTACCATGCATTTCTGATAATTAATTTAAAAATAACATTACCATGTGGTGTTTTTAATAAATTATAGGATCGATAAATACCATGCAACTCAACACATAATAATATATGTATATAATAATAAATGTTGTTTCAAAAGTGGTATTTTTAATAGTTTCTGTACATGAAATATATTCATGACTAATTATGGCGAATGAAATAAAAATTGTCTTTTTTTTGTAGATTCTATGACCGAAGAGACGCAGAGGAAGCTTTAGAGTCATTAGATGGACGTATGTTGGACGGTAGGGAGCTTCGTGTACAGATGGCCCGGTATGGGCGCCCCTCATCGCCGTACAGAAGCCGCTACGACCGACGCCGCAGGTATTTATTTGTATATTATAAATATCACAATCATGCTTACTTTTGCTTTAACATTTCATTTCAGACCCTTAAATCTGAAAACAAGCTTATATGTACCTTTTGATTATAAATTAACATGTGGCACAATGTACAATAGAATGTTAATTTTCACTTAAATGCTAATTACTATTTGTGATAAATGCCTTAAAAATAGATTTAGTTCAGTATTTTTAAATATTAAAGAAAACACTTAACTTTTTCCCCCTTCTGTTCATGTCTTTAAATCCACTTATATAAAAATACATTTTAATTAACTAACTAAATAGTATATCTTCTCTAAAATAAACTTTATTAGATATACTAATTTATAGACCATACTATTACCATATTAATGTTAGTATTGACTGCCTGTTCATGAAGTATATCAAATAATGTCGCATAAGAAAATGCCTCTATTGTATTTTAATATATTCACTAATTTAAAATTGGAGTGTCCTCTATGTTTCCTCCTTCGCTCCATCCTTCCTTCCTCCACTAAATTTATTTTATTATTCAATTAAGAACAACAATTAAAGTGATGGTCCACTTGATGGGAAGTAATAATTTTTACTTATAGACATGAACATAATCATATATAATCATAACCTCAATACATATTTAAAAGGGAGGAAATTCTTAAATACTGAATTAATTTTTATTATTCTTATTATAATTAAAAGCATTTACTCTGCCACATATGAATTATATCACTGTTTATTTTATAGTATAAAATAATAAATGTAGATTATTCTTGCATAGTAAGTGTTGGACCTACCTAGTTCTTGTTTTTTAGCCTTACTCTATTACATTACCTATATTTCATGTTCTTAGTGAATACTCGCCCTTAAAAATAACACTTGATTTTATACCATGTAACATTATAAAGAAATTCTTCAAATTTATATACATATTCATATTTGCCAATATCAATTGCTACAAACAAACCGCTTAATGAATTAGACTGCTTACATTTTAAATTAGGTGGTGATTGCTTCCGTGAGTCCTGAGCAGCGAAGGAATATACCAATGGATTAGTGAATGAAACTCATATGTATGTGTGATGGTATTTCTTTTAGCCACTCGCGTTCACGGTCTCGTTCACGTCGTCGATCCAGGTCCCGTTCGCGGTCCAGGCGGCGCTCGTACACGCGCAGCCGGTCCCGCTCGCGTTCTCGCTCTCGCTCCGACTCGAAGAGCTCACGCGGCCGCTCGCGCAGCCACAGCCGCTCCAGGTCACGCTCTAGGCACTGAAGTGTTGAGTAAGTCCCATATATTTTATCTTTACTTTTTATATCATATATAATAATTATCATAGTGAGTGGCTAGAGCTCCACCTGCACAGCTCTTAAATAGGATAGATAGATATAACTATTAAATATAATATAAAATGAATCTAATTAGTATACCACTAGTATAATAAATTATCAGTCTATTATACTAGTGGCATACAGGGAGGACTGACAGATAGGGATAATGTTATGTCAATTAATTTATGTTTGTTACCATACCAAATTACTAAGTTCTTATTCCTGTAATCCTAGAAAAATCACTACATTATCCCTTTCTCTTCAAACCAAAACAGTTATTCAAACAACTCTTAATAGAAAGAATATGGACACCAAAGAAATAGCTGTACAGACCAGTTTTATATAAAATCTCCCTTTAAAATGTAATAATAATAAAATTGAACTTTTAAAAAGATTATGATTCATCTGAAAAGTCTTTGTGGTAACATAAATTATACAGATGAATATCTTCAGCAATAGGTTATGAACCAATTTTTACTACCGTTAAACTGTAATATCTTGTTGATCCCATATTGTCCTGATCCAAGCCGAAAATAACAGTGGTGTTATGTTTTTCCAGGTTGAGGGTACCAGTTGTGAGCTGAAGTGTTGTGCCACATGACTCGGCAGCCTTTGGCCAGGTACTATGCTCCTCTACTCACTAGCCATCTTCAGACCTATGACTAGCCACTATGAACACTATAGTGGTTATATCATTCATGATAACAAATATTATTTTAAGTTTCTTAAATTTAGATAAACTATGTAAGAATTGTATGTTTATAATTTTGTTCGTTCATTCAAAAATATTTCATATTGATACAAAAGTGTAATGTAGTTGAGAGTTTGTAAAAGAAAACATCTATTTAGTCCATTTTTCTCTGATATTAATTTTAGTTATATTTTCTTTTTATATTTTAGTTATTGTATAAACGCTACATAACAATCTGAGTCATTTTAAATTAACTATTACTTTAACATTGTAATGAATTATCACAGTTTTATGTATATGATTAATCAACATGAACAAATTGTATGACCTTTAATGGTCGTTAGATATTATTTCAGGTTAAAATTAAACAATTGTTGTGAAGATCATGTACAACCCAAGGGCATATTGAGCTAAATTTGGCAATTTTATGGCACCCCCTCGTCTGTGGTAACAAACTTCTTAAGAATGAAGTTATTACTTTTCTTTATTATATTGTTGTTCAATTGTCAGTTTATTCAATGTAGTAGGTCTTATATTTTTGTAACCTTAATATACGTCTGATACGTCAGAAGTAAACCTGTCTAAAATTATTCATTTTCAAAAATGATTATAATAAAATATAAAAGTGAAGGGCATTAATTTAGAATTGTTTCAATACAACAACTGTAATTCATTAATGGCAATGTTGGTATGCTCAGGCTGTGGAGTATGCGGGGAGCGGTGCGGTTTGCGGGGGGGAGGGGTTTGCTGTTTGCTGACAACTGCTGAATTGCTGTTGTTGCCGTTCATAAGTTATGAGTAAACTTTTATATTTATACAAACGAGACACGCATAACTTACGTTTATAGTATAAAGGCTCCTCGCCAAATCTTCGTGATGACTGTAGCAAATGAACAAATTCAAATTAAAGCAATTCTCTATTTTATTGGGGAAATATTGCGATAGAATATTTGACTACTATTGAAAAAATCCATTTGACCCATTATCACTTGTACAATTATGTTATGTAATATAAATATATATCAAACTAGCTGACCCCGTAAATGTTGTTTTACCACTTATTGCTAAATATAAAAGTCGTGATTAAAATACAGGGGTTGATCGTAAAACGATGAAAATTTAAAGTAGTATGTATTTTTCAATGCTAAATTATAATATAATAAAAATACAAAAATTTGTCAAAAAAATAAAAAATAAATTTTTGGGGTGGGTCACCCTTATCACTTACGGGTATGAAAAATAGATGTTAGCCGATTCTCAGACCTACCCAATATGCACACAAAATTTCATAAAAATCGGTAAAGCCGTTTCGGAAGATTTTGGTAACAAACACCGTGACACGAGAATTTTATATATAAGATTTAAAATTAAATGTTTTGGTATTATCCGTATAAAAAGAAAATAGTGATCGAATAAAAAAACCTATATGCGGTCACGTAATACGTGTTACGTCGTACAAAAATTAACTTTCAAATACTTTCTTAGAAACCTTAATAGTACTATAGAAAATATAGTATAGAACTATCAGTGAAATATTTATTCAATACTTCGTTCCATCTTACGAGACACAGGAGTGAGGCACCTAACATTTCCTATGGTTCTATAAAATATGTTCAAACCATAGAAATCAGTTCCAAAATAACTGGAAACATAATTTTTACACTATATTTCGTAAAAATGAACAGACTAATAATATTTTCAATATAGTCAAATAACCTATGCAATATTTCTTTCCTCTTTTCTATTATATACCGATTCTTACTATCAGCTCATTTATTGTAATACTTTTTGGTATATTTAAAAAAAAATTGTCAGGTCGTGAGCGGCAAAAGTTAATAGGGTTTTGCAATTCACTGAATCGTATAATGAACAGAGTAGATAATACAAAACATTGACGTAGGTACAGCCGATCGATAGACACACAGACATCAAACTAATACATGCGTTTGTTTGGCAGGCCGGTGCTGCTCGCTGGCCTGTTTGCTGTGGCAGTTTCCTGTGCTGATTGCTGTGATTTGCAGATACACTTTATACTTGTCACGATTGACAAAAACACCTCTCCTGCCCTTCGACCGATTAAATTTTTAAAGTACATACCTACTTACACGTTTTCAGCGTAGTATTAATTTTTGCAGTTTATATTTACGTTTATATATTTCAAAGGAAAGGTTTCAATAGGTTTTTCGCGGTAAACCTTTCCTTTGAAAGTAGCAGTCAAGAAAGAAGCGTCACCAGATGTGGGACACCTGGCACCGAACTGTGTGTAGGTTTTATCTTAATAAATAAACAATAGTATTAAAATAAATTGTAATTTTATTTGTATAATAATACCTTTTCCATAATTACCATACAGAACAAATTCAATTCATGCGCGGCTTTTATTTGTGGTAATGGAGTCAAATTCGAGTGGCCATATCTGTAAAATTACATTTTTTATTTCATATTACAGCAAAATTTTTTGGCGTAAAAATCAATATGAATTAATAAAGCAGTAGTTTTACGAAATTATCAGAATATTATGTTAAGCAAAATTTTACTGAAATTGTACCTTAGAACGGCCCCATTTATTTTATGCTGAACATTAAAAGGTCGCTTACGTTTGTGTGTAAGGGCTTGCAAAGAAATAAACATTCAGTATACACTAACTGCTCCATCATGGACACTGGGCAATGGTATTACGGAATACTCTATAACACCCACACTAAGTCGATGTCCATAGTACCATTACTACGCCATTTCTCTAAACTTATTACTTACATCCGCAAATGTATGCAAGTATAACTTCGTGCTCACATCTACGGCAAACTCGACATGTCTAACAATATGTAAAAAGTGTCTTACTATTGAGGAAACATTTTTTGATAGTTTTGGTAGTAATATACAGTAGTACGTCGACATACAAGTTTAATTCGTTCCGTAACCTTGCTCGTATCTCAAATCAAAGTTCCCCATTGAAATTAATTGAAATGCAATTAATCCGTTCTAACTCCCAAAAAAACACCTCAGTTGTTAAGTGTTCCTGAACAAGAAAAATGTATTTACATGAAGAAACATTTATTTATAAATTGCATACCTTGCTCATGTTTTTTTTTATTTCACGCTTTAATAGACATTACCAGAGGGAGACTTTGTACAAAAGTCGATTGCTTGGGTACCTCTGTCCGGTTCGTGTTTCAACCATGAAGCAGCTGTGTTTGGATGGCTGTGCATTTGCATTCGGTTTGAAGGGTGGGATATGGCGTGAATTTACTGGGTACAGAGGAATAACACATGAGTCCTCAGGAATGGCAAAGCATGGGGGTATCATGGGCGAAACAGTATACTCTGTTATGTCCATGGTACTGCTCATGTCTATAGGCGACGGTTACCACTTACCATCAGGTGGGCCGTCAGCTTGTTTGCCATTCTAAGTTGTACAAAAAAAACCATATTCTTCGGAGCCATAGATATAAATGTGATAATGTTAATGTACAAAAAGCAAAAAACGCGAACCCAGCTTATCAAAAATGCTTCGAAAACGAGGGAAACAAGCACACTGAGACAGTTCTACTCTAAGGTGGGAGATTTTATTTCTTAATGGGTGAACATGAAATAGTGAGCCCGCCTGCGATATCGATATAAACTGGCGGGTACCAGTGATGTATGATAAGTGAAGATGAAATGAGGCCAGTTAGCCCATCGTGACAAATCCACAAGAATTAACCTCGATGGTTTCCAGGGGGAACCGCGTGGAGATCGACCTGATAGATTGCTAGAAAGGGGATTGTTAGACCCCCATTACTAACAATCACTCAAAACACGTATATCGAGGTACCACTGCATATAAAATTCGGCTTTTAACCTATAATGTAATCATAATTTAAATTTAATGGTGTCTGACAATAGATGACGTAATTTCTGATATAATCCCGAAAAAAATATAAAAATTACACTTCCGACAATTTTGGGAGGAATTTTATACACCCTTTTTACCTGCTACCTACCAAAGTCACGATGATCTAAACAACATACTCACTGATCGTTCTTACCTTTATTAGGGACATGCGCAGAGAAACTTTCAGCTTTTATAATATAACGAAGGTCCGGCCACCAGAGATCTTTTTTTGATGGATGAAAATGGTATGGTAACTCCGCCTGCGCTAACGGGATACGCTGGCGGAGCACCAGTAAAGGGTGACAGATGAGAATGAAAACAGGCCAGTTAGCCCATCATGATGAATTCATCAGGAATTTACCATTAAAGTTTTCAGGGAGAACCGCGGGGAGGCCGACCTGGTTGGGTATATTGCTAGCAATGGAATTCTCAGTCTCCATTACTAACAATCCCTTTCTCCCCGGCCACCACGGATTCTTGCTCTAAATCGAGCCCATTGCAATTCCTGAGCCTGTAATTTCAATGCATTACCGTATAACTCAGAGGCTGCAGGTGACTCAGGACCGTTCTTTATGGCAGTTGATGGTGGAGGCCTATGTTCAGCAGTGGACAGATAATGATTGACACGATGATGAGGACTATTTCTCGCCCTTCACAGTGTAACCTTGCAAGCAAACTTGCTAGGACGAAAGGACTGTTCGTTAGGCGATGTAACAGTCCCATTACTAATAATATACTTTATCAGGTTGACCTACACGCGATTCTCTGTGTAATTCTCGAATTTATCAGGATCAGCTGACTTTCTTTCATTCTCACCTATCATCCCTCACTATATGCAGACTAGTTTTTACCCATAAATAAAAGCTAGAGTGGCAAAAACAAGACTTAGAAAGAGATACACCACTCTGCCTTAGTACAATAAAACAATACTTGCAAAATTTATAATCCACATAAATTTTTATATTAACAAATTCTAAAATTGCAAGTTATTAGCAATTTTTCTGTGTAGATTTCTAAATTTAGAAAGAAGTTATTGTTTGTTGGTAGGCTTCATAGATCAAATTAAAAAAATAAATCTTTAAAAACTAAACTTAACAAAATTTTTAATCTGCATTTCTAGGCACTGTAAGACATATTTTGTATATCTAAATGAAATTAGATAGAGGTTTATCTGGCATTTAATCTAACATTTTTCGTAGTTTTATATACCAGGACATATTTTTACTATACATAAAATTTGTTTAATTTTCTACTATTATGTGGTACATTTTTTTATATACTGTACTCATTATAAGTAATAGTGTAAGTGAAAGATGATAAAACCCACAGAAAAAAATACTAATATTTAACTACATATTAGAGAGAAAGTAAGTATTCATATGATTATTATGTATGAGTATATTCCCACTTGTTTGCATACAACAATCTACCTTAGATTGTGTTGTGGTGCATGTAGAGTTAAAAAATTTTACTTCATAAATGTAGTGTGAAGTTAATCTAATAATCACAATTAATACTTACTTTCTCTCTAATGGATGTTATTTTTTTTTTCTGTGGGTTTTATCATTATCACCATTGATATAGTCCACACATTAGTAAACAAGTTTCTAGGGATATATATTTGAAAAATTTTAATTTAAAAAGTACTTAAATAAATACAAATAAAACAAAGATGTAATTAACATATAAAAATCATATTCCAATAGAGTGACTGAAAATAGTTTTGAAATTGACAGTATTTGAACCCTCAATAAATTTATATTTTAATAACATTTCTATAAAAATATGCAATTAACAGAACTGTCTGTGAATTATAAATAAAATATACATTTTGCAAATATAAATTTAATAATTTTATTGTCACATTATTATAGATATAACCTTATGACTTGAAGTTAAAATTAACAACTAACAGTCCATTCTTTCCAGTAGCTAGCCTAAACCATCTGCCTCCTTTATGCTCCTGACCTAGTGCCGCATAAAGTTGTTTACCATCACCTGTAAACTGCATCGAGTTAACAAAACCATTAACCTCTATATTGAATAAAGGTAACACTTTCCTATATGAGTCACAAACTTTCCATAACCTAATTGTGTTATCATAAGAACCTGATGCAAACACATCAGAGTTCAATAAAGTTGCAAGGCTCGTAATCCATCTTGGAACATCATTTTCCACTCCATGGGCTTCATTCACAGTACATAACGGTTTCTTTTTTAACACACTCCACACACAAAGTGAACCATTATCACTTCCCGACACGAAATGCTCTTCATCTAATAATTTAACTTCATCTATGGTACCAACAGGTCCATTAAATATAAGCTGTGATTCTTCAACTATTTTCCATATTCTAATAGTAGTATCCCGGCCCCCTGCTGTTATGGCACACTCTCTTGTCAATGCATCAATTGACATTACTGGAGACTGGTGACCGAACAGTGTTTCAACATATGCCATTTCATCTAAAGACCAAATTTTCACTGACCTATCTTTACTTGCCGAGTATAATTCATGTGTATTCTTTCTAAATACAACACCAGTCACTGAATCTTTGTGACCTTTAAATGTATGACAATGCTTCAAAGTATTTGGGTCCCATATCTGTATGTCAGCTGACTGATCAGATGAAGCTAGGAATTTTATATCTGTTGTTATTGCTACTGAACTTATTCCACCTTTCAAATACTTGGAATGTGTTTTGTATGTTATACAGCCGAGTTTCCGTTTCTCTTTTACACCCCATTTAATTATAGTACCACACTTGCTACCTGTGAACACAAACTGTCCATCACTGCTTACGCACACACATGTGAGCGTGAGCCGATGTTCTCTGGCACGTATCAGTCGACAGTCCCCATCAGTCGGAACAATATAGCTGTCTGCTACCTGTACCTTCAATTTGCCTTTCTGTTCTAAATAATCTTTATGCAATCTCTTCTCTACGACATCATCGAGCTCCTTTAGCTCAGCACGCTTAGCTTCTTCTTTTTCTATTTCTTCGAGATATTTCTTTGCTAATCGTAATTTTGTTTGTTCAGCGGTCTCATGTTCACTTTCCGACTCTTCGGCATCGGAGAACTTTTTAATATCCAAATCGCTTTCTGAAGATTCATGGCCATTCTCTAGGTTAGGTGCAGTTTTCTTCGTCCGAGTTTTTATTTTATCCCCTTTTCTTTTATGCACTTGTCTTGATTTACCTCTTAAGAAGAAGGAGGAAGACATTTTAAATAGTTTTAATTTATTTTTAATTCAGTTAAATGCGATTTAAAAAAGAAACTTTTGTTTTGAGTAAACTAACCTAAAAATTTTTGACAGCCTCAACAGCATGCACCTGACAGTGACAGTTACAACAACTAGTGTTTGACTAATTTTTATCCAAAATCTTGTTATAATCTAATAATTCGATAGTTTGTTTAGTGAAAGCTTTATCTACGGTCATTTCTGAAATATTATTTTTCTTTATATTATTTTTTTGAATATTATTATTTCTCCTACTATTAGAAATGCAAAGGCTGTTTGTATATTTGTTACTTAATTATATTTCAACAGCTGAAAGGATTAAAATAAAATTTGATACACAATAGATTAAGACAGATTACTTTATATACCGATTAAAGTGGGAAAAGTTAATCATTGTATAATTTAATAGTGTTGTTTTTAATCATCATCATATCAGCCTTTAACTGTTTTGTCAGTTGTTGCCATACTTGGTAGGCGGAATAGCAACCGCAGTTAGGCTTAAGAAATGTTTTAAGAGGGACGCTGCTGTCCATCCCTCGCCCTCACTTAGACGATTCTTATGACACCCGTGGGAAAAGAAGTGGTGGCCTATTCTATGCCCGAACTACATGGGAATTGTTTTTAATACTAGAGATTTTATTGTTTTGACAATGTATATTATGTGTACCAATTTAAAATAGATTTTAACTCTATAAGAAAATATGGACTCAGTAGTTAGTAGTAACAAAATGGGAAACAAGTGATCATAAGGTCAGAAACAGAACAAGTAATTGCTACGGTACAAGTTTAGCTTATAATGAATAGTCATAGACCCAAGCATAAGGAAGATTTTTCTGATAATAAAAAAGAAAACACATAAATAAATGCAAAAATAATAAATAAGCCTTTATTTAAACATTAAGTAATTATCAGAAAATAAAAGATTAATTAGTATTATTGATTGTCAGATTTCTGTGTACCATTGGTGCAGGATTCCTCCAACTTTTAGCATACAACTTTCCACCTATCTGTACTATATTATCCCTCCATATTTTATTCAGTTTGTGTATGCCTTTTTATCCAGGCAGAGACTATCATTCCATTTACCTAATGAATTGTGTCTATTCCTTGACAATTTCAGTTTTCTGGATTTATTGCCTATACATATTTGTCATTTTTCTTAGATTTTATATTACGCTCCGTTCTATTAGATACTGACAAACTGACTTTTTTATTTTGGTTATAGATATGTAAGAACCAAGTCTGACAATTATAATTGTTAGAGCTGATGATCCTATAAATTATAATCTAAGTAAATTATGTCAGTGAACCTCTTTTTTATTTATAATTATATACCGCTTGGATAAAAACCTAAGATTCTAAAATTGGACAAATGATTCAAAAGTATTCAAAATGAAAAGCTTGCTATTCAACCCACAATTGTATTAGCTCCTCTTAATTGCAGATATCCAGCTGTTATATCCATTGGTAAACTTCTTACTGTGGCAAACTCTTCAGCATTACTGTAGTAAAGTTTGGAGTGTCTGTCTATGTATGGTGCTGGTAGACCAGATATATCTGAGTACTTCTTAGTTGGCTTAAATGTTGGTGGAGCATTTATAGAGTAATCTGAAATAATAAAGAGATATGATAGAGTATACATTGCATATGGCATTAGGACAAAAAGTATCCCTATGGTACGGTCTAATTAAATCTAAAATTTTCTTTAATATTTGTTCTAATATGTTATATAGGTTAAACATCTTTACAAACTTTCCTTACCTTTCTTTAAGCAAAAATGAAATATTGACCTTGCCTGCATTATCAGTATACATAGGGCATCAGAGAAGGACAATAGTTGAGTGTGAAGATCTTTTTTATGATAAAAAGGAATAGTAACCCGCCTGCATAATAACCATAGTTATATGCTGGCAGAACACTATTGAGAGATGATAGATGAGGATGAAAACAGATCAATTAGTTAATCCATCATAATGAATTTTTTAAGAATTAACCATGATTTTACAGTGGGAACCATATGAAGATTGACCTGATATTGCTACCAATGGAGCTATTAGAGTCCATTCCTAAGAATCCCTTTTCAACCAGATGCAGCAGATCAGTTTGACTCTCACGACAAATTCAACAATTAACCACAATGACCTCAGTAAGAATTGGAGTGGAGATAGATCTAAGGGTAATATTGCTAGGACTTTCCCTACTTACAACATTAGTGTGGTACTGCCTGATGATGGCTCATTATTATAGAGCACAAGTGCAGCATAAGTGAAGATTAATAATAAACATGAGTTGCAGAATTAGTCCTCTTCCAAGACTGTCTTGAGTAAGAAAATAAAATATTTATTGGGACACTCTGTAGATATTTTTCGGTAGATTCGATGATGCAAAATGAGGTTATAATTATTTATTAATTATTATCTAATTACCTAATATGCATATATAAAATCACATACATAATACTGCTTCATTAGGCCATGGTAAAGCTCGTTCAGCTGTCAATATTTGCTTTAATGATCTCCACATTCGTTTTTTACATCCACTTTTTACAATAAATTTATTTTCTGTTTTAAAACAATAATTATTTTCTGAATCGGCAGTCATACTAAATACCTTTGTAATAATTAAATACGGGTTCTTTATGTTAGCACCTAGGTATTTAAAATTAATTGAAAAAAAAAATTATTTACTATGTATGTGATAGAAAACAAATACTAAAAAAATTCATAAGGTAGTCAAAATAGACGAGTTGCCATTAATAAAAATAAAAACAGAAGTTCGTCGATTTAAAACAATACGTACCTAGCATAGATTAAGAATAGTACCTGCGGTTCTAAACTAAAACTTTTGGTTGACAGATGATAAGCATGAAAAACGTGCGTGACGTCAAAATCTAATCAATCACAAAAAGTGAGGTTAAGAAGTTTTATTTAAATGTGGATATTTAAAATCCTAAAGTTTTTGCATATTTAACAGGATGGATATTGTCAATCAAATATTATTAAATGAGCAAAAGAAAGCTGAAAAGTATAAACCAATCACTGTTGACAAGCATTTGGATTTAGAATTTGATTTGGGCACTCTTCTTGCTTTTGATACAAATGATGTGGACTCAAAGTTACTGAAGTAAGAATTTTATAATGTTGATTTACAATATTATACAATATCATGTTCGCTTTTCCACGTGTTTTTATATTAACAATGAATATTTTAACTTATTTACAGATCTAACAAAGATGATTACTTACATTCACTAACCCGGGATAACACGCAGTTATTGCTGAACAAGATATGGGAATTGCCCACTGAAAGAATCGACGAGGCCATAGTTGTTCGGCTACCACAACCTACGACTGTTCTACCTCGCGCTAAGCCTGTACCCAAACCGAGACCATTGACCAAATGGCAGGAGTTTGCTAAAGCCAAAGGTATCACGAAAAAGAAGAAAGACAAACTACAGTGGGATGAACAATTGCAGAAATGGGTGCCCCTTTATGGGTTAGTTTATTGTTAATATTATTTAGTGCTACATTGTATGTACTGTATGGAAACGTTAAAGTTCATTAAAGAATTTATTATTGTTTCATAAACACTATCATTAACTGCCCTTGGTTAATATTAAGGGTAATCAATGAAAAATTATTATTTTACAAATTAATAAAATACTAAGAGTGGTAATCCCTACTCTTAGTATTCTAGTAATTTATTCTTTAACATATACTTTTTTTTTGTATTTTTAACATCTTCCATTTATTTATTTAACATTGTCACAGAAATGGGATTAACTTTTATCTACACTGTAGGGTATGCTAAAATTGACTTACAATTAATAATTTACTTGTTTAACAGTTTTAGGAAAGCAGCTGCTGAGAAAGAGAAAAATTGGCTCATAGAAGTACCACAAAATGTTGATCCTATGACTGACATGTATGAGAAAAAAGCTTCTGAGAAATCTGAAAAAGTGGCTAAAAATGAATTACAGCGACTTAAAAACATAGCTAGGGCTAGGAAGGTCAAAATTCCTCGAGTTGGACTACCAGTTACATCTGACAAAGCTTCTGCTACACAGGTAAGACTTAAGACTAAGTTTAGGGGAGGAGTTTTGTGCCCATCCCAAGATAGAAGTGAAGGTTCACAGATGTGTCTAAGAATACATATGCATCTTTTTTAACCAAATAATTCTAAAAACACCAGTGTGCTATGCACCAATGCACACTAGATAACCGTTTACGACCACATTAGATTCTTGGTTTTTATAATTCTTCTGTGTTTCAATCAAGCATTTATAGACTGAAGAAGCTTTAGTTTAAGCTATAGTCATATGCATATATCAAAAGAGATTATCAATAAATTAAATAATAATTTTAAATTCTCAAAATCAGCCTTTTTAAATTATGTTATATTTTATAACAAGTAATTTTATTACAAGAAATCATAGTTCCCATATGTGTTATGGATAAAGAGACAATATTAGTTTACCAAAAAGGTTTATCTTATTTCAGTTGGCGACAGCAGCTACAGTTGCCAAAGCATCAACAGCATCTTTAGGAAAATTCCAAGACAAACTGCCAAAAGAGAAGGAAGCACGAGGTAAAGGTGTCCATGAGCTTATACCAGGCAAGGAGAGGAAGAGAAGAGCCCCAATACCTACTCCACAGGCAGAAAGAGAAAGTAACCTTAATCTTCTTGACTCTATTTTGAATAAGCGACCCAAGATCGATATGGAAAAAGCTGTAGCCAAGCACATTCACAATGAACAAGTCATGTAAGTATTAAATAAAAATTAAAAGAATTTATAAACTATAATCTTATTTATATGTAACTTTCTATTCATGATTATCAAAAATGGAAGTTCCTTCTAAGAGTCTTATGTCCCATCATTTTATTATAAATGAGAAAGTTTCTTTGGATGTCTACTACTTAATCATGCTTAAACAGACTGAATAGGTTTGAATGAAATTTGGTGCATAGATAAGTTATATCCTAACTTAACACATAAGATACTTTTTATACCGATTTATATGTGAAAATCTTTGAGGAACTGCTAGTAATTATTAAATATAATAAGAAATATAAAAAGACAACAATGGATTTATAAGAGGTATTTATAATTCAATATGGCTCATGAAATATTGTATTCAAATTTTTAACAAAATAAGGTGCTAATAAGAAACAGCGTAATGGACTTGTTACACATCCCTAATTTGTGTCCATATTGATTTGCTAGAACAAATAAGGTTTCAATTCGCAAATCAACCTGATAAAATTTCGTTTAATAGCATTTATAGATTATATGATGACCAAACTTTTACTAAATGCAATATTATTTACAGGAGATCAGAAGAAAAGAAAAATATGAAACCGTCAAAAGGCAAGCGTAAGGGCAAAGGTAATGCTACAAACTTCTCTGCAAAGAAACCTAAGGCTGGTAGAGGACAGAGAAATCCTAATAAAAAGACTCCAGGCAGAAAAAGGAGATAGTTACAATATATTGTGATAATAAGTTACTGTGGAATTAATTGTTGTACTTTTTCTTTTATTATAACAGTCAATAAGTGGAAAGTAAAATATCCATATTATATAACATGTAAAAAACAGTATAATTTTTAATAAACAGTCAAAAGACTTTATTTGTTTAAATCCATAACAGACTCAAGTTTTGTAAACCAAGGTTTTATAGGATAATTAATTTTAATATACTCTTGTATGAAAACAAAAGATGGTTGAATTCATCAATCCTAAAATGGATTTCTGTTTTCTATTACTCGTGGATGTCACTATACAACCTTTATACATCTAATACTCATCCGAAAAAAGTGAAATGTTTATCACTATTAAATATGAATATTAAACTGGATTAAAATAAAAAATACATTTTAATGCATATTTCATTTATTCAACAAAATATTACATCACTGGCTTCCTTTGGAAATGTTTAAATCTTAATACAATTTTTAACATGATCTTTACATAGTATATAGCAATAGCAATCAAACGCATCAGGACCACAATCCAGCTATTTACAAATACAGCTTTTGGGAGGCCCTCACTAATATTCGTTAAAAATGTTTCTTTTCTCTGAATAAAATGCGATATTCGTTGACTCCTATACACACATTTTTATTATTGTGAGGAACCACTGCTTTTTTCATTTTTCCTCATCATATCAGTGAAGTATTTTGTAAATAGCGGTGTTGAGATTCTGATGCCTCTAGACAAAGAACTTTTCAACTAGGGATATCACTAACATGAATATGTCTACTTTGTTTAGTTTTTAAATACATACTTTAAATACATATTTTAAATATATGTGATCAGAGATGCCTCTTTGAAACTCCTATACATAAACCAGTGTATAATCAAAGCCTATTGTTACACTAAAACCTTATTTCCCATACCAGTACAATCACTGTCATACTATAAGGAGAAGGTTTGGTAATACAGTATATAAGGTATATCTCTATACGATAACTACTCAAACATGCTACATTGCTACGAGCGAACAACTATAAAGCTTTCTTGGAAGCATCTACAACACTATTGCATTACACTTAATTACGGTATGACGTTCACATGTGGACGAATAAAAAAAAAAATAGTTCAGAGGGCAACCGTTGAAATATCTGATGCTTACATCATTAATACCTTAGGTACATGGGTACAAAACTATATCTATATTGTGAATATACGTGTGCTCTATTATTATATTTGCTAATATACTACCTACCATGCATATATATTTACCACCTATAAGGTAAACTAAAAGTGAGCTCAAATTAAGGATTACACTAATTGTATACTTCCTAAATACCTATTACAAATGATATTAAGAGTGCAAAAACGGGGTCGATTCTGAGGTGCCATTCTCTAAAACTATTTTAATAGTTTCGCGAAATTACTTACTGTTTTTGGACCGTTATAAAATAAATTTAAAACAATTTTGACTAATATAAATAAAAAAAAAAAAAACAAGAAAAGATTCTTCTGTCATATTAAATTAAAATTTTAATGTTAGAGACAAGTTTAGGGAATGGCGTCTCAGAATTGAGCCCAATAGTTATTACCTATAAATTAATACATTTAGCTTATATTTTATAGTCTAATCCCACTATGTGGTGTTAATAGTTTTTTTATATATTTTGGCGTCATATTACTAGGATATTATAAGAGATATTATGAATTATGATCATAAGGGTGCATCGATAGCTTTCAAAATACAACTTCATATTTGACACCTCTAAGCAATAATTAGAGGTTTAGTCCACACGTGAAACGACATATCTATAAGATCTACTTATATTTTACTATTGCTATCGATCTCGATTAAAACTATCTAAACAAGTAGATATAATTGTCACAAAATAGGATTTCTGATATTATGTTAACCTTACGAGATAGTTAGGTCGTGTCTCACAACCGCGCGATAAGCGATAATGCCGATATTCGGAACACATTGACTTAGGTATCTATTAATCTTATCTAACGACTGTGAAACAGGATCCTATAGTAACAACAGAATAAAGACAGTACAATTAGATTACTTAAACGATATTGGCAAATTGATTATGTATATACCATTTTTTTATTAAACGTAAGATACAAAATCTATCCAACACAATTCTGAAGATCTTTTCCGTTTTTAAAGCTCTATTGATTTTAATTATTCTATCTTAATTGTCTAATAATTTATCATATAGAATACATATCACGATTCTCGAGTAACGAAAACTGATACTGGCATTTTACCAATGAATACCAATTACCTAGTGAAAAAATTAAAAAATTACTTATGATAGTACTAACTCTTCCAGTGGGTGGAATTTATCTTTTGATGAGGGAAACGAGTCCACTATGTCTATGATACTATATGTACATCAGTTTATAATAACCATAATAATTTAGAAAAAGTTAACGAATAGTGTTTTATAAATTGCTTGTGTATTTATATTATTGATTTTATTACTTTTTTTCACTATTTCAATGTTATATTACTTTTTATATTAATACCCGTCCACTATGTACTTTTTATTATAACAGATTGTGATTTGTTAATCTTTGTCGGGTGGCTACGATACAGGTTCACCTAGTACCTAGTGTGGGGCCCATTGTATCTTGTGTTTGTAACTTTGTTTTTTGTCAAATAATAATAAATTTTTAATTTAAAACACATTATTTTTTATTCACTCGTAAAAAATGAGAAAGATCTTCAGACAACCCTTCTCATACATTATTTACCTATCTAAATCACTCCATATTTCGAACGAAGAGAGTGCACACTACTTTGAGGCTATCTCGTAGTTCGTTCTAAAAATTCGATAGTGCTTGGCATTTTATACCAGATCAGTCGATAGTTTTTGGAAAATTAGCAAAATACTATTACGACAATAAGCTTATGTAGTGAAATAAAAAAATTAATAATACACTTCTTGCTTTACATCTACCACTTCCCATATTTGTTTATAATATCTTACATACAAAAGTCTCATGTCACGGTACTTGTGGGCGAATTCCTTTGAAACAGCTCAATTGATTTTTATCAATTTTATATATTTATCAGGTATGAGAATAGGTCGTAAAGTATATTTTATACCGCATCATCAAAACATCAGAAAGCACCTTTGCACAAAAACCTGCTTTTGATAAGTGGCATTTAGTTGGTTATATATTCATTATATACTGTTATTAGTAACATATAAAGTTTAATTATAAAATTTAGATACAATCGTAATAGTATTTTGCCGTAAGAAATTTGATTAATGGCTACCTATAACCCTGTATTCAATTGAGGTTTCATGTTACTGACGTTGTGGTCAATTTGAACCTTCAGCTGTTCATATGGGACATATTTTTGAAACTAAATAAAATCACTAAAAATTCATTTATATAAAATTAATATTATAACAAATAGTATCTAAATTTCCAGACTTATCTAGACTTCATACAAAGGATAATTATATCCATCGTGGACAAAAAGTCCCTCGTCTGTAGACTGTTAAATTCTGACTGACATATAAACCTACAACAAATCAACCGGTCGGCGGGACTCGTTTTCATTGCGTCATGACTGTTCAGTAGAGCGCGTAGTGCACACACAGTAGCTGTTAGCGCTGTATGAATTTATCTTGTATAGGTTTATATGCCCTTTTGGAACAGTGTACTATTTATTTACTATTTATATAAATTATAGATTCACCATTCAGGTGAATATCTGTATTCTCTTGAAAATGATTTGCAATAAATAATAGAGTCCAAAACATGTCCCCATTTCAATACGTGTCTTAAACAGTTAATACACATACCAATATAAAAGATTTAACTTATATTCATACAAAAATTAATGTATATATTTTTCTAATTATTCTGTAAATAATTAATTATTTAAAACATTTAAAATGTTTGTCTTTTGCCATATTGTAATTATAGTCATTATATAATTATATTAAGTATAATGATTGTCACATAATTGTAACAATTTTAATTAATATATTTCTTTTCTCGATTATATCGATTTAATCAATAATTATTGATTTTAAAAAGAGATATAAAATGTCCATAAAATATAATAATAGATAAAAATCAAATTATTATTTAAATGTAATAAATATTTATAAAGATAAAATTTAATTGGCACCCACAACTAATTATGAAGGTTTACACTTACATCTAAAATTTAAAGGGCGAAGGAGATCAATTCAAGGAATAGAAAAGTTATTCTCGTCTAATAATAATAATCAGTTACAACATCAACAATATTTTAAAATTGTAAATAATTTCTACTGTAAAAGTCTACAATCATACGATATTTTCTACATTTTTTTTTATTAAAATTTTAATTTAATTATTTACTCATAAAGTTGAACTCCAAATTCCACCAATTCAGCAATCTCCAGCATCAATAAACCAATTCAACCTAATACCGATTGCAATATCCTATTGAATGGGTTTACATATTGTTATTAAAAATCCTTGGTAAAATAAAGTATCTATAGCCAAACTAAAAACTTTAATATAAATCCTGATCTATAGTCTGACCAAATACTGTACGTAAAAATACCGCAGCACTTCAATTGTGACAACTATGGGAATTTTAATATTGGCTCTTGACAGTGAGGATTTTTTTAACATGTATTGTTTTTTTTAATTTGTTCTGTGATAATCTCCTATAAAGAATATTATATTATAAATACTAAACTTAAAATCATTTTAAAACTAAGTATCAATACTATCTATAGATACTAAATAATTTTCAGTCCAAAACTTCAATACACAGTTATATCAACTGTGTATGGTTTTCTTCAATGCATTACTGTTACTGTCAACTTTCTGTCAAATAATTGTATATTTGTAAGGGAACATGCTAGCTATTTCAAAAGAGTATCGGACTCAAAAATACGTGTAACTCGACCAAATGACAAATTATGTGTACCAAAGTGTAGATTAGATTTACATAAAAGGAATGCATATTGTATGGCTATTAAAGTTTACAATCATCTACCAAATTACATTAGAGAAATAACAGCTCATACAGTGTTCAAACATAAACTTAGGAATTGGCTGTTATGTAATAATTTTTATACCATCAATGAATATTTAACTAAAAAAAACAAATGTACTTGACAGTCTATAATGGAGATGTGATTGACGCTTTGGCTCTTGTTTTCTTTTCTGTTTACTGTAATAAATTATGTGTGTGTTAAATAGTATGACTAATAAGGGGAAATATAATGTATAATTATGTAATTTTTTCATATTATTAATATTTTGCACGCCGACATAGAGGCAGAATGTATATGGGAAATGTAAACCTCTTTTATCGAAAACTACCTACATTCTAGCAAAATAAATTCATTTCATTTCATTTCAATTAACATCTTTCTAATCCCATATTATCTACTTATTTATTTTATGCATGGTCAAGCATAAAAATAAATTAATAACAAAACTATAATCACAAATTGAAGTGCTACAGTATGTGCGTATTATATTAATAATAAAAATAATGTCTTATGGACTTCATTTGGTGGAATCATTGAATTGATTATTGGAAAATAATAAATATACTTTAACTGACAATGTCATTAAACTAATCCTTGCAGTCAAATTCACATAGAGGTACTCTTAATAAGTTACTTTGGTATGTTAAAAAATATAGTATCACTTAACATTTGTTATATCGTCAAAACTTATTTAATCTGAAAATATGTAATTATTTTGCCTATCACAGTTACAGAAGGTAGCAACAAAATATATTTGTAAATATGTTATGCCTCTAACATTATCAACTTTGCATTTTAATTAGTGTATCGAATGCTTTGATTACCAATGCAGTTTTTGCATATTGTGTATACATCGGAGTCGGCATCGTGTTTGCCCTTATAATGACAAACAATGTGCACCAACTTGAGGTTCTCCCTAGTAAATATTTGCAGATAATACCTATCTGCATCTATATAGCCAATCTTAATGACATTCTCGCAATTTATACATTTATTTTCACCATTATAGAATCGCTCGATTGATTCGAGAATTTTTGGTATAATCGATCTTGACAACTCTATCTTATGATCCAAATTCCATGTTTGAAATATGATTCGCTCTTCGCGACTCCTATAAGGATTTATAATATGTTCACCCTCATAATCGCAATAATCTTTACTCCAGAGCCCGCCGCAAGCGAAAAGCCCACTTTTGTCGCAGAGACACTCTTTTTTATCGGCTTTACGATTGAAATACGCTTCGTTGTATTTGGAAGTCTCCAGAATCTTCCTAAGGTCAAGTAGGAACTGATCAATTAGTTTCTTACCGCGCCCGTTGGTCTGTATGTAGTGTTCCGATGCTTGTAAAGCGCTTTTGGTTTTATAATAGTAGCCTCTCATTCGCTCTTTAACACGCTTCGACATGGACTGCTCTTTTGTCTTCTCGCTGGGTTCTAAGCCTGGAAAAAAAATTCTAATACTTAGAATGGAAAATAAGTTGACAACTCACCTGTTGGAAAGTGATAACCATCGCCTATAGGAGGGAAAGGATTATTGTGGGAAAGTAATGGGGACTAGCAGTCCCATTACTAGTATTATACCTTTTACTTTTTATAATCTAGCTAATAAAGCAATTAAAGTGCTTTCGTCTTTTGTATTAACATTTTTAAACTAAACAAAAAATAGCATGGTAGGGACAGGATTCGCTGGCTTGATCAAAATAGACTAGGCGGTTTTTTATACTAATTCGTAAATATTAGTAATAAGTATATAGCAATGACTTCAGCTTGGTTTTTACAATATATTATACAAATTGTAATTTGTAACAAAAAAATAACAAATTAATATATTTACCCCCTTATCATATGGATAAGAAAGAACAAGATAAGAAAGAAAGAAAAAAATAAATGATCATTTTTCATTTATCAAATATAAATGTAAAATGATCATCGAATGGCAGTTCAGTTTACGTGTCGTGCGTCATAACATTTGGTCTCTGCGGGGAGAAAGATTGTTAGTAATGGGGACTTCAATTTACATTGCTAGCAATATTACCTGTCAGATCGACCTCCATGCGGTTATCCTTAGAAACCTTCGTGATTAATTATTGTCAAATTTGTTGTGATAGGTCAACTGACCAGACATCATCATCACCCTAACATCCTTTACTTGTGCCCCACCAGTGTATATAGCATAGACGATAGCGTGAGCGATGTTACCATTCCATTATCATCCATAAAAAAATCATTTGATCTCTTCACTATCACTATATATACATTTTCTTTCCCTTGAGTAATATTTTTTTTTTTTTTGTATTTTTCTAATTCAACTGTCAAATCTTAAAATCATTAAACGAAATTTCTAATGTAAGTAGTGTATTCATTTATTTTAACATTTATTATATAAGTAGGAAGGTATTATATGTATTTATAGTGTATGTATTTGTGTAATATTTTATTATATATTTTAATATTTTATTTAACTGTATATTTGTTTATGTATTAATAGTTGTAGCACTTCAGCTGCCCGCTAACGAAATGCTTTCTTACTGTACTGGGTTGACTGGAAGAGATCTCTGTCAGAAATAAGTCCACCCTTGCTCACAACATGTATAAATAGATTATTTTATATGTAACTTACAAGTGCAATAAAGAATATATATATCTGGATTATACAATATATAATAATATTTATACCTTCAAACCATGATGGATCCTCTGCCCGTTCACTTAGCATGGTGCGGGTATCATCAGACGCTGCTATATATTTCTGGAATGCCTTAAATTTCTCCTTGATATTTGTACTGAGGAATTGCTTAGCTGCAGTCCCAGTATCAATATACTCCTTTCTTACTGATCGAATCATATTATAGAAGTAGTCAAAATCTGAAATCCATTCAATTATTTACAATACTAATATACACAATTTCAATAATTGAATAATATTGTAATAAAATCATTAACTATTTCTATAGTAAAAAAAAGTTAGTCCTCCACTCTCCAACTTACTGTGCCTAATAGGGTCCATAATTAAAGTTGTTTTAATATCCACCAACCACATTATGGAATACAGTAAGAAATAAAAAATAAATGATATGATTAATGATTTATTTGGATGATTTTGGAAAGATGTAAAGGTACCCAACCAGTAAGCACCTTCCAGTAAATTATTCAAATACCACTATGAAATTTTGTATCTTATTATGCAGGTACTATATGAGATCGAGAACGACATAAGAGTGTTTTCCCATCAGTGAATATATCCCTTTCACACAGACGAAATCTTAGCTAAAAGCCGGTTTCATAATTAAGCATGTAATTTTTTAATAGTTCTATATGTGTCTAAATCATAGAGACATACCAGTTACCATTTTTTCAGTATCCTTTAACAATATAAAAAGTGTTTGCGGCGGTAACGAGCCGAGGTAGTCGTCGTCATCCACACGCGTGCCATCCTCCGCCACAAAAAGACGACACTCTGCGCAACTGACATTGAACTGCAAAATAGGCGAATTTGTGCCAAGGTACCGTGATATATGTCAAGGCCACGTCGCCTTGACCCACATTACGATTGAAGGCTAAAGTACAATCTAACAGAAATGTTACTTCAATGGCTCATATACATAAAGAAAAAATATTGATCCATAAAAAATATAAAATTTTAAAGATTTTTTTACACTTACACCTAACTTTTTGCGCGATTTTTCTATCAACTCTTCCAAATTTTCGGCGGCGATGCCAATTTTTTTCTCTCTTTTAACGTCTGTGACTTTGTATCCCTTCTTCATGTTGAAAAATTAAATTATTGGAACAGAAATTATATGTAAAACAAAGAAAAACACGCGTCACAAACCGGCAAGCTTTCCACTTATATCCCGCCGTTCGTTACTCTACTCCGTACGAGACTAGACGACAGGCTGTACGCACAGATATATAATACCAATAGCCCATGTAAAACATCCACCCTAAGTCCCCCCTCCCCCTGAAGCCGGCGTCCTTATACCCACCCCATTCGGGACTTCATTTACTGTTTACACTTACCACCCAGGAATCTACTTTCACCCCCGCCTGAGTCGCCTAACGCATTAATCTGTCAACCACCCACTTTAAGCCTACATCCAGTTTTGTTCTTTCTCTTTTCTTTTTCCTGCTTTCCTTGTTAGAAATTTTAGAAATAATAAAGATAAGCTCTTTTCTTGTTTTGACCTATTATCTACTGAATAAATTTATTCTTGATTTCTTATTCATATAAAAGTAATTCAACAAAACTACATCAAAACAATAATAAATAATTTAGATAAGAGAAGACAATAGAAAAGAAGAAGAAATATTTTTTTTAATAACTAGAGAAACAAACCAGTATTAATAATCAATTATTGAATCGATTCATATTAGTATTAATTTATCGATTCTTTCCATGAGGGCGCCACTGTGTTAAGATATAAATAAAGTTCGTGTTTATATTATTTATTAGCGGTGTGCTAGTCTGAATAACCTTGTTATCTAATCGATGGAGTTTTGCGGAAGACCAATAATAATATTTTATATTTAAATATTTTATTACGTATGACGTTACAGAGAATATTTTAATGACAAGACAAAAGTAATTTAATTGAATTGAGCAGTAGGTTTATGTTCGTGTACAACGTCTTTCTTACATTATTGATTAATTACTAATTTTATAATTCGGCTACTAAATTAATTATATATGAAAATCTGGCCCAAATAAAAAAAAATATGAATAAGGAACATTATAAAGTAATTTTGGAGAAAAATACTATTCCCTCCGGACTAAACACCAACAAGATAATGATCCAAAGCACAGTTTAAAATTATGTTGGGGCTATTTAGACAAAAAGCAGTCGGAAAAAGTGTTAAAAAACATGATATGACCACCTCAAAGTCCCGATCTTAACCCTATAAATCTTTTGTGGGAAAAGCTTGACCGAAACGTGTAAGAACAATGTCCTACTTTAAAGCAGACCATGTGGAATACATTAGAAGAAAGCTGGAGGAATTTCGCAAGAAACTATAAACAAATTAATTGCTCATATGCTAAGATTTGTAAAACGGGTCATAAAATGTAAATGAGGATATTTTGATGAAAAATCTCTCTAAACTCTCTTGTGTGTGTTTTCTTTAGAACATTGTATTCGTCAAGACTCCATGTAATTTTTGAATTTCAAATCTTATGTGTAACATTAAAATAAAATCTGTTTTTCATAAAGTTTTTAATATGTTGACTTTAATTAGTTTTCTTATATTTTTACTAGCGACCCGCCCCAGCTTCGCACGGGTGCAATGCTGATACTAAATATACCTACCTACTACAGAATGTCCTTATAAATAACGTTTACAGCTTTTTTGTCATTAGGCAATACAAACATGATAAAAATGCTATAGAGCGAAGCACGGCCTTTAATGCGCCGCAGAACCGCTATGTCCCTGCATTTTAAATCTTTAATATCGTCGGAAATATTCATTTAAATTACATGCTGTAATGGACATATGTATATGGACAATATATTTAAGATATTTAATTGGAGAAAAATTAATGCTGTATTGTTTAAAATCATTTTGTAAATAAGCCATTCTTTCCCGTAAAATATAAAGGATCAAAATAGTTATTGCAGGTTATCGTTACATATACCATCGCGGACTTTTTTGTTGATCTTTTTAAGGTGTACAATACTGTAGTACATTATTTTGATTTATCTCGTGGGGTTCAGCCAGCGTTTGCAATGTAAGCGCAAAAAAATATGTTTATTGACGACATCACATTAGAAACCTCTAAATTTATCCATGTTTCTCTACAATATTATGCATGTAATATACATATAAACCTTCCTCTTGAACTCTATCTATTAAAAAAAATCGCTTCAAAATCCGTTACGTAGTTTTAAAGATTTAAGCATACATAGGGACGGACAGACAGCTACAGCGACTTTATTTTATACTATGTAGTGATGTAGTCATCATAATGATGATAATGATAGTGGTCTCAAACTTTTGACCGGCAGTGCAAACAACTACTTTAGTATAGACTAGTAGAAACGTACATTGAATGAAATTATTAGTCAGATGAAATTAGTAGTCGAATAAATAAAATTAGTAGCCGAATAATTGAAACACTATTCAAGTAATATAAAGAATTGTTGAGTCGAATAATTAGTAGTCGTTATAGTAAAGTCGCGCATCGATAGTGGTACCTATCTGAGACAGACGTCTTCAATTGCACTTTTCATCTGTCATTTTTATTATTAATCTGTATCTCTCTATTTTGTTTAAATATTAACCTGTTTTTTCTGCCTGTTTTCCCGCCATTACGCCATTATTCGTCATTTTGGTCTGTGATTCCTTATTGTATTGTCGATTCCTATCTAAAAAGAATTACTTTTTTAGGTTAATTTAAATTGAATTATTTCCATTTTCAACTATTGTACCATAGTTTGTGAAAATCATAAATTTTCATATAAAACAAAAACCAAACCTTTTTTTCCATCATGAAAAGAGGTGCTTTAATAATTATTGAAGGCGTGGACAAGACTGGTAAAACTACACAATGCAAGGAACTCGGTAAATAATGGATATATTTTACAAAAGAAACTGTTAGTTTATACTTGAAACTGAAGAATAAATGTAATAGTTCTTAATTATATATAAGTAGGCATAAGGGTATACTAATTTTCTGAGGAATGCGGTTTGGAGCAATTCGTGTTGGAACTAGGTTGAGCCTTCCGCATCTCGTCGATACGCGGGGCGATCCCGTGTGGTTGCTCCAATATTCGGGGACTTCCCAAGAACTTAATGCCATTATAACTACTTATATAAATATAACTAAGACTTTTACATAAGGAGAGCAGAAAAAGTTCAATTTTCTGCTCTAGGGTATGTTCTTAAATTGTACCTTTAACATTCCTTTCCTCACTGCTTATCTTGTAATTTTAATTTTACCATATAGGCTTGAATAAATTACTGGCTGAGGTGGCAAATCTTGTATTGCCTCCTACCCTCATCATATATGTAAAATAATCTTAAATACACAAATGATGATTCAGGTACTAATTTATAATTTAATTTCTTATTTTTTTTGTTACACTTGGTATACTATACTAACTTCATAGTTTATGCCTGTATGTGAGGTTTGTCAGGTCAACCTACATAAAAACTTTATGTAATGCCATATTACCCAGAATTTGCTAAGAACAAGCTTAGCTAAATATGGTTCAAATAACAATATTTGGCTATATTTTTTCAAAAAAATTTGATATACAAATATTTTAAAAAGATCCCCTAAAATAATTTTCTACATTTCTCAAATGTGACATATTGGATACTGTAGAAACATCCTAAAATTGCAAGTCATATCTTATACCTACATTATCAATTTTCTGAGAATGCTTGTAAAGCTAGAAGATGGAATATTTTTTAGAGAATATATATAATAATTATGATATCTGATTTTCAGTGAAAAATTTAAACAATAAAAATGTGCATGCAGAATACACAAACTTTCCAGCAAGGTACACTGAGATTGGCAGAACAATTCACAATTATTTAACATTTAAGGTAGTTTTTTTTTTTTTTTTTTTTTCAAATTTATTGATATTACATATATAATTATAACTGGACAATGAGATTGATTTTGAGACACCATTTCTCTAAACCCAATATTTCCATATGATTTTTTGCAAAGTTACTGTTTTGTGAACTATCATAATATTGGCTATTGAATTTTGTAGTGATCTATTTCATTGCTGCTTTTGAAATCCATGCATACAGATGATATCAGCTGTTAACTGTCCACTGATGAACACAGGCCTTCCACATAAGGAGAGATTTGGTGGGTTGGTAACCACAGTTAGGCTTTAGTGATGTTTTAAGATAGATGCCACTGCTCCTCCTGTCACCTCTTACACTACTGATAGGAATGAAGAGGTGGTCCATTCTATGTAGGGACCTACACACATACAAAGTAGTGGGCAAAATCTAGATAAAACATTCATTTTATCCTTATTATATATGCATGGTATAAAAATAATATGAGTTTTGGGTAAGCTTTATAAATATTATACACTAGGTAATGCCCATACATGGTTAAGTCTACATTTCTATTAGTTATGGCACTATGTTTAAAACAATTTATCTCTTAAAAAAATTAACTGCATTTATATAATTATACAAAATTTAATAATTGATAAAAAAATTCCAAAAAGATAAACTGTCTTAAGATATATATTTTATTCATAATTGGTTTTTATTTTTGTCAGATTGTCACAATAGCTTCATTTCTTAATTTTTATAAGTTTTTATTTATTGTCACATACAACAGACAATAACAAACTGAAAAAAATATTGTAATGTTCTAGAATAATATTTCCGATGAAGCTGTCCATCTTCTATTCTCTGCAAATAGATGGGAACGAGCTCAGGATATTATAAAGATATTAGAACAAGGGACAAGTCTTATTATTGACCGGTACTGTTTCTCTGGGGTTGCATACTCCGCTGCTAAAGGTAAAAATAGCAGATAATATAGAAATCTTTACTGTACAATGGCAACTAAAAAAAAGCTATATAAAAGATGATGTAATTGTTACCAACACAATAAGAACTGCCTTATTTTTTTTGTGATGGACAAATTCAATACTTAATGGTAAGAATAATACACTTGAGGATGAATTTATAAGCAGGAGGTATAAAAATTCTTCTTACATTTTTTTTTTTATCTTTCAATACTAAAAAGAAAATTCTTTAAATTATATGGCTAAATTTTAATTTGTTATTCTTAACTCTTTCTATAAAGTTTTTATACACTTGTAATTAGGTATACATGTTAAAAATTTTAAACTTACTATACTTTGTTTTAGGTTTAGATTTAAATTGGTGCAAATCACCGGATATTGGTTTGCCAAAACCTGACAAAGTATTCTTTCTTACAATGCCTCTGGATGTAGCACAAGCTAGACAGGGCTATGGATCTGAAAGGTTAGTGTTAGATTAACACAATCTGCAAACTACCACACCTGCTGGATATATATGGTTGTTTTTTTTATTATTTTCAATACAGATATGAGCAGCTTGAATTTCACACAAAAGTAGCTGAAGTATTTTCACAATTACAAGACGATACTTGGGATGTCTTAGACGCATCCAGGTAAAATTATTATATGAACTTTTTTTTTTTAACAAAAAGATATGTACCTAATTATTTAAACATCATTACAGATCCATAGAATCTATACAAAAGGAGTTATTTGAGAAAACGTTGAATATTGTTAACAATGTTATAGACAAGCCATTAGGTAAGGTATGGAGTGAATAGGCCCAAAGGTCTAATCTCATAAGAACAAGTTGATACCAATATATTTTTGATATATGATAAAGCTAATATATAAAGAGGAACACAATGAATAATTGTGTGAAACTATTACTAGTAGTCTGTGTATCTACTATGTGCATTCAATCATGCTGAGGTTATCTGAGTTTATTTTGTACTTGTTTTTTTGTTTTAAGTTTTGCTCTGAAATATTTTAATTATATTTCATTTTTCAAAATTTAACCATTATTTTGATTGAAAATGTATTTAAAAATACATTATTGAAAAATATATATCGTTAAATATTTTTTGATTTAAAAAGGTGTATAAAATTAAAAGCATATATATATGTATACTGGTGTAATTAAATATAATTTACCAAATAAAAATATATATTGAATTGAGTTTATTTCTTCAATTTCTGCATAAGTAATCTTGCCCCTTCTGACTCCTTTACTTTCAGTATATTGCTGTGTGGTTTGATTTTGTTTACAAGTTTGTTAGCGATGGTCTCATTGTTGCTTTCAATCAACTTCAATAAAAAGAAACATCCTCTATTTGTAGGTAACCATGTGGCTAGCTAGGAAAATATGGAAGAAAAAAAAAACATTAATTTTATCACTATCTTTTGCCCGTAACTTACGTATTCCGGGATTTTGGAAGTAGATAACCATTTTTAGATGGTGTATCAAGATAAAACACACCATGCCAGATTTTAAAATAACGATTAAAACACTATTGAGAAAAATTTGGTACAATAGTTTTTGAGTGATACCACAAAAAATATACAATACTTCTAATAATTATTATTTTGGCTTATATAAATCTAGACCTACAGATCTAAAAAATTTAACTTACCGTATCTTGGTTCAGATTATCTGCAATGGTTTCTCCAAGTGTACAATCATTCCTATCTTTGTCTAAACTGGCTAATTTCTTAAGACACATGTGGATGCCTGCATCTTCTATTGCTAGTAGTTCCTTTCCATTCAGCTCTATACGCCAGTCAGGTCGACATATAGCTTTCGAAAGTGCAGTTACTATTTCTTTAGTTGATTCTAATAAAATAAATACTAGTGTTAAAGATTTGAAACATGTTAAAATTTTGACTTATAATAAAAATGAAGCATGAAAATGCTAGTTTAATAATAATTACATTGGTATCGGCAGAAATGATATGTTTATGGTATTTTGAAATATTTATCACATATTATTAAATCAAATTATAGTATCTCGAGTCCATCCTTGGAGCGCTTAACCGTTCATACGCAAATAGACGAATGCTAAATAATTAATATATTTAATTTTTTACATGTTATTTTTTTTTATTCGACTGCTGATATACCAGAGGGAGGTGGTTTCATTTGTCTGTATGGTATTATTTGAAATAATAAAATAATAGCATAATGAAATTACTGGGTGGGCATAACACAAGGGACGCCTTGCGATGACCTTGGTATTCTTCATGTCTTAAAGTGATTCTATCACCTTGTTTACTTTTATATTTAGGATATAATGTCTATAATGCCATTTTCAAAATTATTAAAATATTTAACCAGTTATGTCAGTTGCTTTACTCGTATTAATTCACTTACCTATAGATAAAACTGCTACAGTCAATAGCATTATAGTTTTATCATTGATCCAAAACTCAGCATCTGACTCTATATCTTTCATCAAAGCAGGTAAAATTGCTTCTCTCAATTCTGAAGTACGGATATCACTATCTTTCTTGGAAGTACCACTGTTAGCCCCTTCTTGAAGAAATTTTATGAGACTTGGGTGGAAGGTTGCAGAGTCTTTTGGCTTCACTAACCAGTGCAAGGTCTGTAAGAAAAATCAAGTGATATTTACACAAAAATTTATAATTATTTATAATTCATATATAACCAATAATTATATATAAGCTATAATCATATAGTTAATTTTAAAAATAAAAATTTGCTGCTGCAGATTTATTACTTTCGAATACAAAGAATATATTTTATTTATACTGTTAAAAATATTGTATTCGCACAAAACTTACCATAACGCCCCAATGATCTTTGGCGATATCCTTCAAATTATTAGCTAATGTGGATACAATAGCTTTCTTGACTAGAACTGTATCATCGACAGAGTCAAATATGGCGAGAAGAAGTCTGTAGCCAGTTTTGTGTTTCGATAATGATACTGCATGTTCTTTAACTACCTTCAGTATAGTCTAAAACAAAATTATAAATCATCAAGTAATTCTAATCTGCTAATATTATAAATGTTAAAGTTTGTAAACGTTTGTAAATTGTCCATAAACTTTACATGGATGTAAGTTTTTGGTATACAGATGGAACATAATATGCTGAATGGACAAGGCATTGGGAGTATAATTCAGATAGGCAACCACTAGACACAAGTGGTTGAAAATAGGCGACCACAGACAAATGTTGATTGAATTTGTTGAAGATTTTCAAAGTTATTTTAAGGATTTCTTTTTTGTGAAATATATGAAAATAAAATCATGCAATATACTCGACAATAGTAATAAAAAAAAATTAGAATCATTAAAAATAATAAAAGTATTGAGCTGTATAAGGTGAAATCATTAGCATCTTTTCATATTTCAGTATTTCATAGCAGCACTAACGGAACTGAACATATTTACTAAATGAATCAAAAATCAAGAAATATTTTAGATCCTAAGAGAATATTAACTTACAGAGCTGGATGCGTAATGAAAGGATTAATATTTTTTAATGCTTCTCTATAAATAATAAAAAAAATATTATAAATATTATTTATTTACACTTTATTACACCATTAATAAATAGCAAATACAAGAATTAATGAGAAGTGATACAAAAGGCGATCTTATCGCTTAGCAATCTCTTTCAAACACCTTTGTGTAGAGAATATTGAGAAAAAAGGGTAGATGACGCACTATTATTATTATATTTTTTTTATACAACTTAGAATGGCAAAAAAGCTGACGGCCCACCTGATGGAAAGTGGTAACAGTCGCCTATAGACATGAGCAGTACCATGGACATAACAGAGTATACTATTTCGCCCATGATACCCCCATGTGTTGTCATTCCTGAGGACTCAGGTGTTATTCCTCTGTAAATTCACGCCATATCCCACCCTTCAAACCGAAACACAGTCATGCAAACACAACTGCTTCACGGTAGAAACACGAATGGGACAGAGGTACCCAAGCAATCGACTTTTGTACAAAGTCTCCCTCTGGGAAATTTATACAGATACTAATATATACATAAACATATATGTACATACTTAAACTTAATAGCACACATATAACAGGAGAGAATGATGAGAGAACACAAGAAAACAGTACTTAAAGGGAGATATAGTAGGATTTAACAGAGGTTTAAGGCTAGTGAGAGTTTGAGCACATCAAATACAGGCAGGTGGTGAGTTCCACAGGCAAACTGCCCTGGACCGTAAAGGATTTAGAATAAAAAAAAAAAAAGTAATAGAATAAATAGTAATAAAATAAACTTTTTCTTAAAAATTTGTAACTACCATAGTAATGGTAGGTACAAATTTTTATGTAAACCTTACCTTTTTATCTTTATTAGTTCCCTGCCATACACATATGCTTGCAGCGTTGACACCTGGCAAGGAGTTGCTAAGTGGTACGATTAATGGACTCAGTGTGGTTATCAACTCCGTGCGTTCTTCTGGATTACATTCACACATATAATCATACAACACTGAATGAAGTAATCTGTAATATAAAAATATTACAGATTAAATTATATTTATTACAGTATTACCTATAGTTTATAAATAATTGAACTACAGACAATTATATTAATTTTCCTACATGTCAAATCATTTATAACATTTCAATATTATTAATTATAATATATATATATATATATATATATATATATATATATATATATATATATATATATATATATAAAAATAAATATTTAAATAAATCTTCAGTACATCCTCTCTTAACTGACTAAATACCTACAGAGAAGAAAGCAATGCTGTAATAAATGCAATTCTAGCTTGATTTTAGTAAATCAAGACCACCTGAGTTTGTACAGTATATAAACAATTTTAATAGAACAATATTAAACATACTCGCTGTCATGAAGATTTTTATCTAAAATACGTTGTATGTTCGCTTTACATGACTGCAATATGGCTATCTTCATTTCTGGACTGTCTTTGTATGCATCACTTAGTGTTTTAACTTTATCATCTTTAGACTGAAACAAAATATTATTTATTAACATAAAATACTTTATACAAGTGAATTTCAGGTGTAGGAAAACTTTTAAAATAAACTACTTTTAGATGGTGTAAAAATAATATAGGGAAAACTGAATCCAATTTGGTGCAGTAGTTTTTGCATAATGCTGAAATAACCATATAGGAAAACAGTCATTTCTAAAAAATATTTTTGTTGTTAAAGTTTCCATCTTACAAGAATGAATCCATTCTTGTCTACATTAACCTTTTTTAGGGATCCATACAAACTAATACAAAGGAACATTGATTTATTTAAATATAAATTGCTCACTTTACTTATAGTTTCCCAAAATGTGTAATGAATCAATGCACATTTTGGGAAACTGAAGGAACAACTTTGAACAAAATGAGGTTTTCTATTGCTCTTATTAAGACCTTTCATATCAATACCTCTTAAATATTTTCAATATCTGTATAACATCTAATTATAATTTTATTAGTAAAATAAGTCTTAAATTTAGTTCGTTATACACATTATATTACATGCTGTTACAACATACAATAATTTCAAAAATATCATCACACTAGACCAGTGATTCTCAACCTTTTTTTTGTTGCGGCACATATTTAACGATTTCAAAATTTGGCGGCACACAAAGAAAAAGATAAAAATTATTTACTTACTACAACACACTGCATAAATAGTTTATGACAAAAATTTTAAATATTTGCAAAATTTGGCAGCACACAAAAGTGCCGCGGCACAGTGGTTGAGAATCACTGCACTAGACACTGAATAAGATTAGCTTACATTTTTGTATATCTCCCCATAAAATTCCTGTTGCATGTGCAATTTTTCTTTTTTTGTAGCAAATTCACCATATGCATAGTCCAACACTGGCGCACTTATGCTGTGAGCTGCCAGAGAAACAATGTGACCAAAGAACTTCTTGATAACCTCATGACGGATAAAGTCCGTGCCATACTTCAAAATACGCTTAATAGCATGCTGGCCATACTTTGATTGAACCATGGGCACCATAACATCAAGCAATTCTTCTGTTATCTCTGTTTTAATGTCTTCAGGACTATGTTTGAGGAGAACTTGAATTACACGACTTAAATCATGTGTGAGGGCTATGTTTTTATATTGTCCTTTCAATAAACAATGTAACTCTTTACATGAGTTTTCACGGAAATCTGATTTTACCACTTTTCTGAAATAAATAGATTAGTTTTATGTTCTGATACAATAATAGATACTATAACATACAGCACAATAGTAACAGTATATTTTTATTCATTTTAATTTAACTACATGTTATAAATCTATATAGGAGTAAAATAAATTGCTACTTTATTTCATATGTTACAAATCAGAAATAATTTTGTTGTAATAAATTCTCTTAGAAAGTTCATATAACATTCTAGGTATGTAAAGAAATGACCACATAATTATACTGCAAATTTCTCATAATCTGTTCTCTGTTCTTGACACATTTATTCAACAATTTTATTAAAATAACTGCTTGTAAACATAACTAAAATAGAACACATTTTTTTTTAAATTGCATAATACTAATTTTTTGTCCATTTTATTACTAAATAACAACATGAATATGAAGTATAAAAAGATCCATAAAAAATAATGCCTTGCTGAGTAAAAACTAACAAATCATCAGAGGAAGGCTGTTTTGGTTTGCTACGAATACCTTCTCTGTCCCATACACATTTCAGCTATGATACAAACTATTTTGGTTTGAAGACAACAGCAGGCATATTTCTAAATACAAAAGCATAAGACAAAAATAGTAGTGTATGAGATGTACCATGAGTGAGCATGGTGATGATATTCATTATGCTGTTCAGGTCTGTTAAGAAATGGCATAATAGCATTTCAAATCAAAATGGCAATTATTGTGTAACAAATGCCATTTTTTTTTAAGACACACTAGCAAAGCAAAACTACAAATGTGACTAACCTCTGTATTTGGGCTGCCAATAATTTAGCTTTGTGTGATATTTCAAACACTTCAGCTGTCGCTTTTGCTTTCCGCCTTACAATCCTAAGTTGTTTCTTTTCTTTTTTCATTTCTGACCATTTTGGCTTCTCTCCTTTACTCTGATTTTTTGGATTTTTATTGTCTTTTATGAAACCAGGTTTTCCTTTAGTTTTTCCTTGATGTTTAAACTGTTTAGGGCGTTTCGCCACATTTGAATCTTTTTCATCACCCTTTGCAGCATTTTTCTTCATTAATTTAGGTGTATTTTTATTATAATTTTTATTAAACGGAGAGCTACTATCATTATCAGTTTTAGAATTTTTAGCCTTTTTCTTAGGCAAGACAGGGTCAGTATCGGTGCTCTTTCTTTTTACCTTCTGCATATTTTATGTGATAAATATTGTAATTATAGTGATAAATTAAATGGAGTTATGGAAAGAAAAAAGCGTTTCAAAACTTTATGACAACACTAATGGGTTATCTACCACGTGCAGTGGTACCATGTTGATTTTAATCTGTGATTTTTGAAAACAATTGACACTGACAGTACCGGCTTGTGTCAAACAGTATGAATGTGTGTCAACAGATAAAAAAGTAAAGGTATAAAAGTATAAGTTCTGTATATTGATAAAAGTCGACATTGTCCTTATATTGACGGAATTGTTAATAAATTCTATGCAACCATATACTAATTTAAGTACATAATCTCTACCATAAAGGTAGGTTTTAATTTAATAATGTTATATAGCTAATTTAGGAACCATAATGTCACAACAGCTTTTACCATTGGGGGTATTGGCAGTAGTTGCCACGCTTGGGAGGCAGACTGGGAACCGCAGTTAGAGTTGGGTGACGTTTTAAGAAGGACATTGCTGCCATTTCTCGACCATTAATATCCCTTAGTAGCCTCTAACAATATCCACGAGAAAGGAAAAAGTGGTTTATGATTCTATACCGGACTGTTAAGACCCTCCTTGATTTTTTTTTTTTTTTTTTTTTTTTTTTTTTTTTTTTTTTTTTTTTTTTTTTTTTTTTTTATAGAACTTAGAATGGTTCAATGGCAGGCGACATATAAAAATTACTGATTACACTTTTGTCTTAGATGCTATGAATATTGAGTGAACTTTCTAACTGACTAATATTAACTTGTGTAGGTAAACCAAAATTTTGGTCTTAGTCTTCCTTAATACTGATCTTGATCCCGGCGTTGCTTAATACTGGTGAGTGCTACTATTAATTTCCTATATTACGGACCACACGGCAATACATAGTATATATGTATAATAACATATACAAACTTATAAAACAATGTTTATACAGTATAAAAATAAATAAATAAAAATAACCTTTATTCTTGAATTATAAATTCTTTTTACATTATACATAGGTATAAATAACAAAACTCATGTTTGGCAGCCGTATGTTTGCACCAGCAAAATGCAAATATTATAACCTTTTTTCTTGTCAGATATTGGTACTGACTTACTTTGCATTATTTCTTTTAGTGGCCAATAATGAGACCAACTGTTATTTATTCTTTATTGTGTCTCCTTAGACATTTATTATTTAGATGAGATAATTTATCCCAGGTATGTATTCTCTCCTACATATTCAAACTATTGGTCATTAAGTCCTTTGATATTTATTCCATAACAACCCCAATCCAGGTTTCTAAATATGTTCTCTAAAATAGTTGAGAAAAGTTTTAACGACAATACACAGTATAAACATAAAGTAAATTTACTGCATATTCGTCAATAATAATAATTCTAAGTCATTATGTAAAATTAATATTACTCACGAAGATCTATGTACTATCTTTGGACAAGATCATGATTGCGAGAGTGCATAGTTTAAAATTAATTTTTAAAATTTAATATACTGGTTGCATAGTTAAATACTAGCGGTATTTTATACAAAGTGACATAGCTCTGGCAGTAACTATAAACATCAAACGTGAATGATGTGATTTCATGACTGACTGTTGAATTTCTGTGAAAAACAAATACAAAATGAAAATTTGTTATTTTTATAACTTGAATTTATTTGACCAATGTATTTTTTTCATAAATAGAATTTTTCAAATGTCCTTTTGTTTTTATCATCAAACAATATATCTCTAAAATATAATTTTTATATTTATAAGTGAGATTAGTATGTTTTTAAAGTTAAAACAATTATTTAACCAACCATTCCTATCGGAAACACAAGTAAATTAGAATGGTTGACATAAACAAATATCTTGAAACTCAACTCGCACTCGCACAACAAAAACGTCACATTAAAAATTTTAAGAAAGAATCTGTCTCACTGAGAAGTAAGACTGCTGCAGAAATAATATCGAAGAAGCAAAATAAACATTTTTCTAAGTGTTCCAAGGATGAACTCAATATAGAACATGGTGAATGCTCTCAAGTTGAGACTTCAACTAAAAAGCCATTTAAAGATGTAGAATCAGATGAAGAGGAATATTTGCCATCTGGTGATGAAAGCAATGATGAGGTATCCATTCCATATATATCAACAACTGCTCGAATAAAACAGAATCTGAAGAAAATAATTGATGATGGTGATCGAAATCAGTATGATGCAAGAATAAAGTGTTGGAAGGTAAATCAAGCCGCTGCATGTTTAGGCAATTATAAAGGAGATATTATTTCTGCAGATATTAAATATATTGTGGATGGAAAAAGTGAGTTTGATAAAAAACATGAGTTACAAAATGGTTTGTATGTACCGAATTACATTTGGAGACAGCTGTATAAATATCAAAAAGTTGGTGTGAAGTGGTTATGGGAACTCCATCAGTTACAGTCGGGAGGTTTACTTGGTGATGAAATGGGTTTGGGGAAAACTGTTCAAATTATTGCATTTTTGGCTGGCTTATCGAATACTGACATTGGCAAATGGAATGGACTTGGACCTTCTATAATTGTAGCACCAGCAACAATAATTTATCAATGGGTTTCACATTTTCATTTCTGGTATCCTGTTTTAAGAATTGCTGTACTGCACCATTCAGGATCTCATGTTGGAAATCACAATAAGCTTATTAGAGATGTGTATCAATCTCATGGTATTTTACTGGTCACATATGCTGGTATTGTGAAGTATTCCAATGAATTATTATCTAGGAAATGGCATTATGTTATTTTAGATGAGGGTCATAAAATTAGAAATCCTAACACACAAGTCAGTAAACTTATTAAAAAGTTAGACACACCACATAGAATTATTATAACTGGATCACCAATGCAAAACAGTTTACAGGAACTATGGTCTCTTTTTGATTTCATGAGCCCAGGCTTATTGGGAACCTATAATGCCTTTATGGAACATTTTGCATTACCTATAACTCAAGGTGGTTATGCTAATGCTACTCAACTTCAAGAAGCAACAGCATTGGAAATTGCTAAAGCATTAAAAAATATAATAACACCTTATATGTTAAGAAGAACAAAAACTGAAGTTCAAGATCATATAAAACTCCCTGAAAAAAATGAACAAGTTTTATTTTGTGCTTTAAGTCAAGAACAAAGAGATCTCTATATGGGTTACCTTATGAGCAGTACTGTTCGTAGTGTTCTAGACAAAGATAATAAATTTGGTGATCCTCTCCGGGCTAGAATTTTAGTAGCTTTATCTACTTTAAGAAAAATTTGTAATCATCCTGATTTATACCTTTATGAAGCACAAGAAAATATTGAAGATGTAAATGAGGATAAATTTGGTCATTGGAAGAGATCTGGTAAAATGACTGTTGTAAATTCTTTATTGAAAATTTGGCAAAAACAAGGTCATAGAGTCTTAATATTTTCTCAATCCCGAGCTATGTTGTGTATATTGGAGCAGTATTTACAAAATCAGAATTACAAATATTTAAAAATGGATGGCTCAGTAAGTGTCAGCCAAAGACAAAATATAATTAAAAATTTTAACGAAATATCAGAATATCTTGTATTTCTATCTACTACAAGAGTAGGAGGATTAGGGGTAAATTTAACAGGGGCTGATAGAGTTATTATATATGATCCAGATTGGAATCCAGCTACTGATAACCAAGCAAAGGAGAGAGCTTGGAGGATAGGACAACAAAGAAATGTTACTGTTTATAGATTACTTTCAGCAGGTACTATAGAAGAAAAAATATATCAGAGACAAATATTTAAACATTTTTTAAGTAATAAAATATTAATAGATCCTAACCAAAAGAATGTTTTAACAACTAGCACTCTCCAAGGTTTATTTACTCTGGAAGAGCCAAATAGTGAAGGAGATACTGAAACTGCTTCTCTTTTTAAACACACAAAAATCAGTGTTACTGACAAGGACAAATATAAAAACACTGATTCCACTTCTGTCTTAAAACTAGAAGAAATGAGAAAAAAAGCAAGAGAAATAAGCAGAAAGATATCAAAAGAAACAGAAAACTCAAAAACTCCACAACTAGAAGATCCTAGAGAAAGATATAAGAAAAAAAGAGAGCTCATACTAAATCCTCCTAGAATTGAAGAACCAGAAATTAATTTGGTTGATGATAAGGTAACTAATGCTTCATTTGACACAGTGATATCGGAAATAGAAATAATTGAAATGCATACAAAAAAGAACTATGAAGAAAATTTAATCCAAAAAGTTTTAAACAGTCAAGAACAAGTTTCGGCACAAGAAGAAAGCACTGAATTACAAAATGATGATATAAAGAGTAAAAATGATAAAGTACTAGATATAATTGAAGATATTACTACCAAAAAACATACACATTCTAAAGAAGAAAATATAAATACAAATTTAAATGCAATTGAAGAGAACTGTTTTTCTGAATTAAAATCAAACAAACGAAATAATAGAAAGCGAAAGCGAAGAGATTCTGAATCAAAGTATGAAATAGATAATTTATTAGCAATTAAGAAAATAAAGAATAAGAAACATAAAATTAATAAGGACAAAATAAGTAATGATGATGATTATGTTTTAACTAAACTTTTCGTTAAAGCTAGTGTCAAAAATGCGTTACAACATGATGCTGTAGTGGGATTGGCTGAAAAGGAGAAGAGGCATAAAATGAAAGAGGAAGCTTTAGTTAAAGCTAAGTTAGCTGTAAGGGCTATAAAGTTTTCTTCTTAATTATCCACACTGTATATAATTGTTGCCTTACTTTTTTCATATTTGTTTTAATACTATAAGTATCAATGTATAATTATAATATGTTTTGCTACATTTAAATCTTTGAATTTTCAATCACCAATCCTAAACAACCTACAAACCTATTTTAATTATTAGTGTGTCCCTGTCTTTCAAATTGAAAAATTAGCGCAAAAGAAAAGAACAAAAAAGCTTAAATAGGTTTACGAGAAGTTTGACGTTTTTATGAATAAGGGCCTTATTGTCGTATTTTCTTAACGTGATGAATCTTACATTTGACCGAGGAGCCGCTAAATAAACTTGAGAGGTTACAAAATTTAGTAATAAGACTTGTTAATATATTAATATATATTGGAATACCGCGCTCGTTTAAAGTGGTTTCCAATCCGACTTCGTCATTACATACCTACATATAATTGTCTGTCCTTTATAATATCCTTAGTGATCCTAATTCTCATACCTACCTTCGTTCCCGGTTCCAATTGTTACCTTCTCCTTCCAGACTTAGACGTCTTGCTTAAACTAGTCCAAGGTACTAAAGTTTACCAGCTATAAAACTCATTTTATGGGTCATTCATTTGCATTCTGTGCTGCACAGTTATGGAATAAACTTCCCGTGGATATTTAAAATATCCGTCCATCTATCGATTCCTTCAAGAAACGATTAAAATTATATTGTCGTTTCAATTTGAATACCTACTACTATTATTAATTACGTTTGTTTATTTATCATTGTGTTCCCATTTATTTAATATGTATATATGTATTCTTGTTTATGTAGGTTTATATTTATAGGTATGTATGGTATATATATATTTTTTTAAAGGGTAATAATGGAATAGTAACCCACTTGCGCTATTGGTATACACCGGCGGGGCACCAGTGAAGAATGATAGGTGAGGATGAAGCAGGTCAGTTAGCCCATCGTGACGAATTCAATAAGAATTGTTCACGATGGATTCCAGTTTAACTATTACACCGTTTTGTCATTTTCTTTCACATTGGGAATTTAGTATGTTTTTGTTTTATACAACTTAGAATGGCAAACAAGCTGACGACCCACCTGATGGAAAGTGGTAACTGTCGCCTATAGACATGAGCAGTACCATGGACATAACAGAGTATACTGTTTCGCCCATGATACCTCCCATGCGTTGCCATTCCTGAGGACTCAGGTGTTATTCCTCTGTACCCAGTAAATTCACGCCATATCCCACTCTTCAAACCGAAACACAGCCATGTAAACATAACTGCTTCACGGTTGAAATACGAATGGGACAGAGGTACCCAAGCAATCGACTTTTGTACAAAGTCTGCCTCTGGTAAAAGTATGAAAAAAGGTAAAATAGTTTAAAAGCTAAAACAGGTTTATTAGAGGTTTAATTTTTTTATGAATAAGGGGATAAGTTTATCTACTATATAGTGGAATCGTTAGAGTCGATAAGTTTGCACTTCCATTTTTGTTGCATGTAAAAAATATACAAACTTTAGGAATAAGCCAAGGACTTTTAGAATTAAGTGTATACTGATAGAATAGGTGAGGTTATCATTGCATTATTATCTACTAAAAAGTAATATAGGTATTATGTAATCATATCTTATCACTAGATGTCGTTGATGGAATTGAAATATAATATTTATAATCTTTTATTTTTTAGACTTTGAATATACTTATTTCATTATAAATATAGTATATTACATTATAAAAAAATTAAAATAAATCTTTTTCAAACAATCCTATAAATCAATGGACTTTGAATAACTATCCAACATCTTTGGGGATATAAAATTTTTAATTCAAGTTACTCTGTGATATTTCTGATTTTTTAATCTGTGTTCTGTGGTTGTCGAAATTTGATAGACTCTGATAGACTCTTAAATACATTTTTGGAGGAGAATTGATAAAATAATTATACTTTAGTGATGTAAACTTGTTAGATCCCTATTTTTCATCTTAAGCTCATTAGAAACATTTAGCTTATATGTTCTGGACAAGTGTGCCTCGTCGTTGAGTGATCTGATCTTCGAATATCTTAGCTTTACCTTGCGGTTGCACAGCAGACTGAAATCGCGCCGCTGCTATGTCTGGGCGAAGAAAACCACCACCGCCGGGGTTCAACTTCGCCCCAAGAGAAGAGACACAAGACATGTATGTGTGATAACAAAAGAATATGGCTAGTATATTAATCTGTAGTAAACATGTAGTAAATGACCACCTACACAGGAAAAATTTTCAAAATAATTACTACATTATACATGAGCCTTTAAAGGACTGATCTGTTTTGTTATGTAATAATATTTATTATTTATTTACTCATTTATTAGAATGTCATTACAGGCAGGTCTTGCCTAATACAACATTTAACATTTATGAATATAAAGTTGTATTAACATAATTAAATATAAATAAGTTACCAAGAGATACAAAACTTTCAGGCTATTAGTGTTCTATTGTCCTATACTCTAACTTATATAAACTGTTCTCTCAGCATATGATTTCTAATAGTTAAATATTACTATTCAACTCTAGCACACTGTATATATAATCCTTGAAATGTATAATTTATATAATTCAAATTTTTTTTATATTTTTTTTATGTGTTATATATAAATATTATTTGAACAAATATAAACTTTCATTTTTCACAGTGTACCACCTCGCAATTTAGAAGAACGGACTACAATAACAATTGGTGAAAATACATTCACTGTACACGCTGATGATCTGGTGAAGATAGGTGACTTGGGCCGTGGGGCGTATGGAGTTGTAGACAAAATGCATCACAAACCTAGTGACACTATTATGGCAGTGAAGGTATTATTTCTATGTAATATGAATGTTAAAATCTATATAAATATCATAAATTATTATTAAAACAGAAGCTATTATTCTTAACTTTGTGCTGAGAGGCAACAAACTGGTTGTTTTTGTTAGCAATGTGCATATGACATCCTTAGTGCTGCAGGTGTCCATAGGCTACAATATTTACCTTGCAGATGGGCTGTATGCTTGTTACCTTTGTGGTATAAGAAAAACATATGTATTACAAATTAAAATTTATCCTGTTACATAAAAGAGTTATATGTGCCCATCACATACATACTTCTTTTTTTAATTATGCTATTTAAATGCTGTATATTGACTATATTAATGTCTTCTATTATGTGTGAACCTCAGCATTCCATGATTATCTTTGCTGTTGCTTTACATAGAAGTGTTCCACAGTCCATGGATATCTATGTAGTATATATATATGAGTTCTTCATTTACCATCATCTTTCCTGGTTGTGTTACATTTTGCTCTCAGTAATGCTCAAATAGTTGTTTTGTGTCTGTTTGAAGGGGCGAACATGGCAGTGAAATTACAAGGTGCAGAAGCATCTTAGTTCTTAGAAATGTGCAATAAATGAGGAATAGGAAGTATGCCATGGGTATCACAGTGTATTGATGTACATGGTGCTGATGATTAGTCTATAGGTAATGATTATCATTTTCCATCCATACCATCCAGGGCAGTTAACTTATTTGTCATTCAAAGTTGTATAATTTTTTTTATCATTATTTTTTTCTATAATTTCAGAGAATCACTTTTAATAATCAATCACTTGAAGTAAAACGCTTGTTAATGGACTTGGATATATCTATGCGAGCCAGTGCTTGTCCCTATACTGTCCATTTCTATGGAGCTATGTTCAGAGAAGGTGATGTTTGGATTTGTATGGAAGTCATGGATACTAGTCTTGATAAATTTTATGTAAAAGTGTACAAAAACAATAGAACCATCCCAGAAAACATACTGGGAAAAATAACATTTTCTGTAGTCAGTGCTCTCAATTACCTCTATTCTCAATTGAAGGTAATACACAGAGATGTTAAACCATCAAATATTCTGATTAACAGACAGGGTGAAGTGAAGATGTGTGACTTTGGAATATCTGGTTACCTTGTGAACTCAATTGCACAAACTATAGATGCAGGTTGCAAACTTTACATGGCCCCTGAGAGGATCGATCCATATGGCAATCCCGCACATTACGACATCCGCAGTGACGTTTGGTCCCTCGGTATATCTCTGATTGAGCTAGCAACAGGCAAATTCCCTTATCAGTCATGGCCTACACCATTTGAACACCTAAAACAAGTCGTCACCGACGACCCACCGAGACTGCCGCCCGGAAAGTTTTCGCCTGAGTTTGAAGACTTAATCACTCAGTGCCTGCAAAAAGATTATCGCAAGAGGCCAAATTATAATGCTCTTTTTTCACATAAGTTTTGCGTCGAGCATGGCAACAAGGAGACAGATGTCGCCTCATTTGTCCAAGAAATATTGAATTTACCTGATGATTCCTAGTAATAGGAAAAAATGTGTTTAACTAATACTAAAATTAGTAGTAAGTATTGTTATTAACCTTTTAATTTATAAATATGTTAATATAGTGAAGTATTGAGTTTATATAATATGTAGATGAAAATCTGAACGTTAGTTGTGTTATACAATATCACTTGTCCAGAATCAATCTATTATTTGTTATAATGTATATATTTTTAACTGTGATGAGTATATGCAATTATGGATAGAGATGGCTTAAAATTAATAATTTTGTAATACAACAATGTTGACTGGAAAATAGGTATAATAAACATCACAAACTAATTGGTCTTAATAAAAACATTATTTAACTTTATAACGTGTATTTTGTCTTTATTTATAATATGTCAAGTGTGAGTAAAATACAAGTATTGTATATAATGTTTATTGGAAACAGTCAAGTCCCTGTAAAATAGTCTTATAATAAAAAAATTAAGTACAAAATAGCATATTAGGTACCGTGTTAAGTACATTGTCACATTTTCTCTTAAACATAATATCGTCGTTTTGGCTTCGTTAACATTTTCAAGTCTATCAAAAAATAATACTAAAACGTAATTGACTAGTAGTTTAAGTCATAATCAAAATGGCGAGTTCATTCCCAGCTTTGTTCCAAAATCTAACCTGGCCCGTCTTCGGTTGCGGATGTCGGCTCTGGAAATAGAATAATATAAAATTAGCTATATGCTAGACAGCATTAAACCATGACGATATTTCGTAAAAATAAACATGAAATATTTTAGAAATGCCAACAAATCCTTTATTATCTTAATACTGTATTCAATACCATAGGCGTAGTTACAATTTATACTTAATTTCCGGCTATCACTAGACTCTGGTATTTATACATTGATTAATGTATAAATACCAGATAACTTTTATATAATATAACTTTTTTGCAATTTTGTTTTCCGTCCTAACCAACTTCTAAAAGAAAGAGGTGCTCAGTTCGGTTGTATGTGTTCTATGTTTCTACATCATACTCTATCAGTTGTAAACAGATTTGGAAAATATTTTTTTATCTGAAAGGATATACATACAGATTGGTCTTACAGAAATTTTATCAAAATCGCTTCAGTAGTTTTTAAATCAAAATAAACTAGATTTTTTTGTGAAATACAATTATGAAATTTAACATATTTTCCAAAGAAACGTGGACAGAAAAATTTGATCACCTGAACGCTGACTACAATAAACTTTACGCCGCTATTTGAACCATGTTTCTATGGTAAAAATATTTATGTTAATGGGTTCTACCCACCAATAATGTTAATGTTTTCATCTCATCATTGCATTCCGTTACAAGATGCTGAATCATATATTATTTTAATGCTTTTGTGTTAAATAAACACAAACAAAAATACGCACTTGATCTCCTGCCACTTGATAAATTCATTGAGCACAAAGATGAACAGCAGGGAGATGACGTAGCCAAACGCGAGGGGCCACGGCACGTGGTACTGTAACTCGCACAGATGCCAACTCTCGCAGAACCCGTACTTGTTACTGAGCATTGTGACACTGAATATACACTGTAGTAATATCCTGAAAAATAAATAACATACTCATGCTAGGTACACAATGTGGCAAATGTTCTAGAAGACCCCCCAAAAAGATCTATTTTTTACGATTTTTCAAAGTCATATTAAAGTTAAAAAAAATGTTTTTCTAAAAAACCGTACCAGAGCCTTATAGAAGAATTCATTTAAGTTTCTGAAACCCATCGTCGATTTTCTGTGTAACCATTGGTTGTCACCATTGGTTGAGATATTGATAAACAAAGATAAAATGATCCATTTTCATTCAAAGTCCGATAGCTCAGCGAGAACTGGTCATGTAGAGACCAAAAAGAAACAAAATTAAAGCTAAATGAATAACCTATTTAATCCATAAGGTGGTCAAGTTGGAAATATATTTTTCAAGTTCGTACACCAAAAATAAGATCGAAAAAAAAATGCAAAAGTTATTTTTCATGACATTCATTAAAGTTGCGCGATAAGTATTATTAAAAAAAAAAATTTGCCAGATCCAAAAATTAGAAACTTCAAACTTCAAATTGCTTTTTTCTTATTCCAATACGACAATTTTTATCAAAAATACAGCCATTTGAAAAAATCACCTAAAATTTAGATTTTTTTATGCTTTAATATTTTTCGCTAGTATATATGGGATGGAGAGGGATACAGGCTACGTATTATTCCGGTCAGTAAACATATCCCAGTCACGCGGACGAAATCGGGGTGTTAAAGCTAGTAATAAATATTTTTATACTTACAAAACAACAACACTTCCCGACCATACTTTGTTGGTCCAAAAACTTCTTTGCCAAATAGACGATTGTCGATGTACAAATGATAATGAGATCACAACTGCAAACAAATGTTCCACTATTAATTGGTTTAATTCAAACATTTACTTATACAAAAGTTTAATTAGAATGTAATAGATATACATACAAATTTTATGAAAAAAAAAAAAAACTAAATGTCAGTGGAATCGGTATCAATATCAGTTGCGTGGTCTAAATAAAAGAAACAAGCGGAAAAAAATTATGTTACAAATGTAACATAATTTTTTTAACAATACAAATACAATACATTTGTAAAGACAATATTTTTCAGCCATCGTCATGTTTATAAATATTAAATTTAAAACCACTGTCGAATTGTTATTTTAAAACGACATCAAAAAGAAAAAGGTTTCCAATTCAGTTGTATTTTTTTTTTCAAATTTAAATCATCTTTATTCAAGTAGACTTGTTTGCAAGCACTTTTAAATCGTCATTTTTTTCTGAATGCAGGGTCTGTGTTTGTTTTTATGATGACACCTCATAACTTCACTAGTTGTAAACCGATTTGGTTTTTTTTTTTTCATCTGAAAGGATATACTTACCAGACTGGTTCCATTAAAATTGGTTTAGTAGTTTAGTTTCTAAATAAAATAACTGGTTTTGCCACAATTGAAGTTTTTTTTTTAGACTCAATTATGTTGAAACAATAGATAATTATAATTTTTCATACTAAAGTCATCTGCTTGCGGAGCATACTATACCCAACATACTCGAGCAGTATTTAAGTATCTCCGTCCCAGTCGTATTACTGCTGTGAAGCATGCGCTTGCGTAGCTGTTTAAGTTTGAAAAGTAGGGCATGACAGTGAAATTATAAGGTAATATTTTAGTACTCAGAAATGGTGGCGCATGAAGGGTTTTCATCGGCGTACATCGTATTCTCTGTTGATGGCTATAGCAGATGGTTACCATTTTCCAAGAAGTGGGTTTAATGGCAGCATGTAGTGGCAAACTGATACCACTACATGCTGCCATTAAACCATACTTTTATTAAAGAGAATAAAGAGAATCAGCAAAGAATAATATATTTTATGTTACAATCAACAACTATATATGAACATGTAGTTACCATAGCGACCTAAACACAGATATATAACTACACTGATTTAAGATCACTAGACGTGCCACATACTGGAAGTGCTTCCATAACAACTTTCACTCTTAAGTAACTTATAAATTAAACTTATTGTGAAATAATAAATTTAAATTGTACCTAAATGCAATGTTATCAACGCGAGTGTGATGTGCTGCGCGAGATAGAACCCGTCGTAGAAGTCATCGCCCCAGCCGTGCCAGCTGCGCTGCGTCAAGTCTATTGCCGGCTCGGCGTCCAAGTTCACCGGGTACACGATCCAGCACGACGTGGAGTTGGTCGCCGCGGATATTTGCTCGCAGAAAGCGCGCAACGTGAACCCGTATAGCATCAGGATGGATATAGCAGACGGTAGGAACTTGCATGCGTAACACCAGAACACAAACACCGCCATCTGTAAATACATTATGTGAATTTTTATTTGGGTTTTGCTTTAATTGTTATTAACAAAATCGAATTACTATATACGTAATTAAATAAGTTGTACAATTGGCGGTTCTGAATGTATATTTTCTATTTATAACACCTCAGAATTATATATAAATTATATATATAATAGTCTTTCAGTTTTATCTTATAAGTAATCTGGTGTGAAGTAAACTAAATATCACTTGCTACTTGGGTTATAGAAGTGGCACATAGTTTGTATGTGTAGTAGTAAGTGCGTGTAATTACACCAAAATTCAAAACGTTTTAAATTTTATATTTAAAACGAATCAGCATTGAAGGGTACGTACCTGCGCGGTCATATGGAGGTTCGGGCGAGTGGCGGCGCGCTGCATGATCGCTGCGTCGAGCGGCGCGAAGACCAGCGTCGCCGCCAGCAGCGGCACGCACACCACGCCGGCCCACGCCGCGCCCCCCGCGCTCAGCGACAGCGGCAGGAACGCGCACAGCGACCCCACCTACACACACGCACACACACAGCGGCCGCCGGCCCCACGCCGCGCCCCCGCGCTCAGCGACAGCGGCAGGAACGCGCACAGCGACCCCACCTACACACACGGCACACACGCGTACAGCGGCCGCACGCACACCACGCCGGCCCACGCCGCGCCCCCCGCGCTCAGCGACAGTGAGCTTGCCTATATACACGGCACCCAAGCATACAGACAATATAATGTAAATTAAAATATTACTCAGAATAACATACCTGCAATAAAGCAATAAAACAGGAGCTGCAAAGCCAGAACTGCGTGCTGTTCCACAAGCACATCATGAAGTGGCGTGACATTGTGATTAGTGTGAACAGCGACACGTCGGCGTCGCGCGTTATCTGCACACACACATACATGTATATTATATTATTAGACATTTTTATTAATTATAACATAGTATTTACTACATAACTAGGAACAAAGCGGCATACAAGCATACGTCATTTTCGTTATATCTGTGTTTGTGTAAATATTATTTTTAATGACATATGTGACGGTATCATAAATAAAGTTTATATAATAGTATGTTCAGTTAGTATTAGTATACTCTTCACAGTGAATAGACAATGACAAATTTCAATAACTAACATAGAAATATTAAAATATTTAAAATAATTAATCACATATGAAGGTGTTCACAATGTGTACGATACACAATAATGCTACAAGCATTTTACCTTTTTACTACAGTAGTTAGTAAATGGTTGGTTTTGCCATTTGTTTTGCAGCTTCATGCGCAGCGTGCAATTATGAAAATTGTTATTTAAATTTTAACAATTATAAATTAATTAGAGACTTCTTTATGAAACATAGAAGCAAACAAGCTGCTAGTTTAGAATAACAAGTTGACGGCCAACCCGTTGGAACGTGTAATCATCGCCCACAGCCATGATCTGCACAATAGATATTATAGATTACATTGAAGCTACCTATCCCCTAATACCTTTATCCTTGAAGATCTAATCGGAGGTATTAGGCAAGGATAATCATAAAGACTGTTTCTACCTACAACCCAGCGATAATATTTCTAAAATTGATATTTTGTTCCAAAAAAGAAGTCGAAATACAAAACAAAATTTTGTCCAACTCTCAAGTATTTTGTTAGATACAAAACCTGCCTGTATAAATTATTTTGGAGTGCAGTATGGGCGATAACATAATCTATATTTTCTTTCAATTTTATCTGGTCTATAGAGCTGCAGAATTATATTTTTCATTTTTATTATTATTATTATTTCAGTCGATTGACTGTCCACTGCTGAACAGTTATTCCAGTAGTTGCCACGTTTGGCAAGCGAGTTGCCAATCGCAGTCAGGCCTTTATGCCGGGACCACACGGTATATATTTTTAATATTTATATATAATTAAATGCCACTGAACATATTAGAAAATGTCATCGAAAACTTAAACTAAGCTGAACTAGTACTACAGATACTAAATAACTGATAAGCAAGCTTACTTTCCTTCTAATAAAAAAAAAAGAAGAAAGAATTAATGGAATAATCATTAAATTATTGACAGTTGGGCCGATTTTGGGAGATATTTCTCTTATCTCTTAATATAATATTATAATTTGATAATTTCGCAAAATTACTACTTTATGCACCATCATGTACTAAAATTATAATAATATTGCCTTAAATCTATTAGGAAATTAGGTAATATGGGACTATACAATAAAGATTTTGCTGTGATATCAAATAGAAATTTTAGTTTTAGAAATAGATTTACAAACATGGCGCAATGGAATTGACTTCAGTACTACGAACTATTAAAAATATCAAAATTAAACAAATCCAAAATCCAAATATATATATATATATATATATATATATATATATATATATATATATTATTAACTAGGACCCTCATTAGACACTGGAAACTAAACAAGCACATGGCCCAACTAGACTTCTGCCCAAAAAGTGTTTGCAGAATTTTGTCACAATGATGAAGAAACATCGTAGTACTGAATGCGTCGCTGTAGCCCACTCATACATAAACGATATATCTCTTTTGGAAAACACATTCTATATCCTGAGAAGATAAAAAGCGTCGCTACAATAAATATCTAAAAATCCCTGTCGTTGATAGGAATTAGCAGCGAACTTTTAAAAAAAGGGCGAACACAAAAGATTATGGAAAGGTTGCAGTGTCACAGGTTTTTCTGCCTGAAAAAGTCCGTCTTTCAATTAGTCTTTTGCTAATAACCTAACAGTTCTATATTTTAAGCCTCTATTAGGCAAGTAAAATGAGTTATCTCTTACCGATAATGAGCAAGGTATCGAATTGAGTGAGCGCGCCAAGTCTATGGGCCCAACACATTTTCCGGGGACCTGGTATGGTGGCATTTTTTGGCACAACACTGGATATAGAGGTTCAACGGCTATGCTGAAATAGAAAACATAAAAATAAATAAAAACACATCATAAAAATTATTTTTAAAATGTACAAATAAAGCCATTTCATGTGTAACCCCACTTGGACTAGTAGGTAAATTTTGAGAATCCCCTTTGGACCCCCTCTCAAAAAAATAAAAATATTTTTTCAATTATTTCCATTGCAATATGTGTAGGTTAACAATATATAAAATAATTCCAAATTGCAAAACAATAACATTAGTAGATGCTTAGATATAGCGCTGTGACAGACGAATGAAGTCGCATCATAAGGGTTCTTTGGTACCTTTTTGGTACGGAATCTTAATGATTGTCACACGCTGCATACTTTGAAGGGTACGTAAAACCGTCATTTGGTAAGCTATATTAAAGGCATAACGAAGGTTTCCTAGAAATACTTAACACCAGAGGGCAGTATTAGTAGTAGGTAACAGTGTCATCAAAAATAGCAAGCGAAATCTTTAGCATTCTTTTTGTTCTGTAAAAACGAACATTATTCATGTTTAGTAAACAATATAATATTTAAATAGTAAATTAAAATAATACAGTATATAGTAATAAATAATACCTGGCATCCGCCTGCATAAATATTTCCATATTTAAACAGTTGGCGGCCGATCCCATGACGCAGACCACTTCGCCGTATTCCTGTTCGTGTAAACAAAATATGTTTATTTGTGTGTGTATATACATATATATTAAATGATATTTGTAAACCAAGTATCTGTTTAAGGATATATAGTACTTATTAGGTACGAATATAGTACATATTCTACAAAGAGTAAGTGTAAAACAGGCGATAAGTCATTCGACTTGAGCAAATTGAAAAATAAATCACGAAAAATGTGATATTACGTTGAATTTTATGTATATGTATAGTAAAATGTGGGCACGTTGCAAAACGTTAACGTCAACGGTCGACAAATGCCTCTTACAAGCCCATTAGTCGCGAGTATATATTTTTATGTACCTTTAATACAGATAATTTATATAATTTATAATAATACATAATTTAACACAGTTTGCCAACTGCTTAACTACTAAATACTTAAAGTATGGCTGGCTGGGTCTCAGTCTAGTTCATACAATTGTTTTTCTATACATGTTTTTAATTTTATTAATTGTAACCTGTTAAATATTTAATAAAATAATATAAAAAAGTTAGAATTAAAACGTAGTCTATGGTAAATTTTTTTGATGTAACCATGTAATGGGCACTTTATACTTGATACATAAACAAATATCATTGGACGTAATACATTGGTATTGAGGCGGACGTGTGCGACTGTGCATACCTGCATGATCTGCACCATGAGCTGCACGGAGCGCGCCGTGCAGTCGGTGAACAGTGACACCAGCAGAGGCACGTTATCCACCTGCTCGATGTGAGGCCTGATGTTCTCGATGCCGCGCGGCAACTTCGCCTAGACACATTTTTATAAAATAAGCATACAGAATAGGCAAAACCTAACTGCCGTTGCCAACACGCCTACCAAACGTGGCAACTACTGGCACTCCCCTGATTAGGGGAAGGTCTATATTTAGCAGTGGACAGTTAATGGATGATATAATGATGATGATGTTGATGATAAAGAATAAGCGTGATACAATATAGGACAGTGACAGATATGTATGTATGGTTTTCAGGGGAAACCGTGTGGAGATCCACCTTTTTTTTTATACAACTTAGAATGGCAAACAAGCTGACGGCCCACCTGATGGAAAGTGGTAACCTTCGCCTATAGACATGAGTAGTACCATGGACATAACAGAGTATAGTGTTTCGCCCATGATACCCCCCATGCGTTGCCATTCCTGAGGACTCAGGTGTTATTCCTCTGTACCCAGTAAATTCACGCTATATCCCATCCTTCATACCGAAACACTGCCATGCAAACACAACTGTTTCACGGTTGAAACACGAATGGGACAGAGGTACCCAAGCAATCGATTTTTGTACAAAGACTAAACCTGACATTGATTTTTAAGGGGCTTTTAGTCCCTATTACTCATTGTTCGGCGGACGTGTACAATAAACTTACCCTATTGCTCATGTCGAAGTTAACCGGTGCGGAGTGGTCGGTGGAGTCTGTAAGGCAGGACAGCGAGCGGCACGCGTCCACCGGCGAGCCCGCGCCCTCGCCCTCGTCCAGCAGCGAGTCCGAAGATGGGTGGCTCGTTGCAATACTGCCGCGCTGCATCGATAATTTATAAGAGACGACAATTCACATGATCATTTGTATATAACTTTATCAAAAATATAAAATGTAAAAAAAGTCTAAATCTCGCAACGCAGTTCTTCCACTAAAAAAATTTGTGACATCTCATATAAAACCGAGCCACTTATTTTTTTTAATGGACTATAATGGAATGGTAACCCCACCCGCGCTATCGGTATACACCGGCGGGGCACCAGTGAAGGATGAGAGGTGAGGATGAAGTAGATCAGTTAGCCCATCACGACGAATTCCACAAGAATTGTTCACGATGGTTTCCAGGGGGAACCACGTGGAGGTCGACCTAATAGGGCATATTGCTAGCAATGGAGCTGTCAAACTCTATTGATAACAATCCCTTCTCCCCCCCCCCCCCCCATAGCCACTTATTAGGTACCTATAGAAGCACCTATTCAACAACTTTGTTATAAATTGTTATATAAAACAGTTATTTATAAATATTTATAGTGATTGATACGGTATCAATATTTGACAGTTACAGAATATTAGTCTTTATTTCTGTATTAATTATAATAACCTAAAAGAGGTTTTATTAACTAAGTGTATTTTATCACTTTCTTCCAAATTGAAATATTATATATTCATTATTGCACTTGATTCCGTATGAATTATGTACAATGAAGATTTTACAATAAAATACAATTGACCAAAAAGATACAGCGATTAGTTTAACAACTTGTTAGCAAGCGTGGGCTTATCGCTAAAAGAAATCTCATCCAGCCAACCCAGTGCAGTGAGAGAGAAAATAATTAATTGGCGGGTAATTTAATGCAGGAAATGTACAGGTAAAAATAATATAAATAAAACAAACATATAAAAATTGTAAATAAATAAATAAATATTAAGGCAAAAGAAAAAGGCAAACCACTTAAATAACTAAAAAAGGTTTTTGAGATGTTTTTATAAGGATAAGCCCTTTAAGACATAAAATCAACTCGACAACACTGTCATCTTAAAGTAGCATCAAGCACATACGTAGATGTATCACGTATGATATGTAGGTACATACCTTCAGACCGCTGTGCGTGGTTATAGAATGGCGAGCCTTCTTGATCTCGTTGTCAAATTTGACGGTGGTGTGTTCCAGGTTAATCGCCCCCGGGGCCGACATCGACATCGCCTTCGTCGACGCCATCTTGTGGCTGACGTCACACACACACAAACATATATAGCAATGGTCAACGATCGCACATTTGGAAAGTATACCACGAGTATAAGCGTAAGGCGAGCATAAGATGTCAGTGGCATGTTAGATCCTTAGATTATACAGATAGTGTCTCTATATAAAGGCTTCAAGAAAATCGAGTCAATTTTTTTATACAATTTTGCGTGATAAATAGTTGAGTGTTATAACTTCTATATTTATTTTGTTTTTTAACGCGTAAAAACTAATTTTATTTATTAATATGTAAATATAGATACGTATACATATACATTATACGCGTAAACATAAAGGATACTGATGAAAAAAAAATAAGTCAATTAATTAGCTGACAAAAAGTTGACCCGTTTTTGAGAATCGATGCTCTATTTATATAATCTAAGGTTAGAACATAAATTTTGTATTACATTTGTTACATTTGTTTTTTTTTCTTTGGAGCAAAATTAATAATGGTCAATTTCTAGCAAATTGTTTATTAAACTAATTATATATACTGTATTAAAAAAATTCAATACACTAAGTATATTTAATTTTTCCAAATTTTTTTTTTAGTATCCAGTAATGTTACTGTAACAATGAAGGTTTTGTAATAAATTGATGATTTGGGCGTGTTTTTGTATGTGTATAAAAATTTAACAACTTCTATGTCAATTGTGGATATCAATAATTTATATTATTATAGCACTCTTTATTATTAACTGTTGAAATAAAAATTAATTTTGGAAATATATTTTGATGTACACAATTGATGTAACATACCAAAATAAACAGTGGCCATTCATAAATGATAGTAATTCCTTTTCACAGGGACAATGGAATATTATATAAAATAATAACATTAAAGGGGAGTAAATACTAAACTACGTTTATCTTAAAAAATATTACATTCTTAATAAAACCACTTGAATTACTATCATTAGATGAAAATAAAACTGTGTCTTCTTATCCTACTTTTTATATAAATAAAATATACTCACTTCAGTCCCAAGGATTGTATAATTTCGAATGCAAAGAAATTGAGCCATTGTTGAATTGAACCGTTAACATTCGGCTATTCTATTCGTTTCGTCTTATAAACCAATCGTAAGCGTGTTTAAAACTGCTTCTCAATTATTTATTTCCAATAAATTGAATACTGTAAATTAGATAGATAGATACTCTTAAATATACTCTATACTCTACCCACTTACACTATCTTATATTAGGAAATGCCCAAATAAAATATTGATATTGTCATATATACAAATATATTTACTAATACAACACGAGTGGTTCCATTTCTTTGCTCTCGAACACAGCATGCACGGTCTGTAAATCCAAAGCGGGCCAAGCAGATAGTCGTGCAAACGGATACATAATAAAAGCTTAAGTATAATGAATGCAGAGGCCGTTCAATTTTGTAATACTTAAAGCTATCTTAACGGGAACAATAATATTCAGATTTGTAGAGCAATTTTAACAGTTTAAAAAGTAATTAATCAATTTAAGAATAATCTACATAACTTTTTATTAAATAAATTTTACTATTTGACGAAGGAATATTTAAATGACAAAAGAAGTATGAGATAATTTTATTTTATTTTTGCAATGTAATATTTAATATTTATGGGATTTGATGTATAAAAATAATAAATTAACTACGAATTTATACGCCGGAAACGGCAAGACATGTTTGGGATATTTATTACAATTTAAGACGATATTGTGTTAATAAATAAAAGAATTAAATTGAATAGATAATATTAATTTTACAACTGCAATTATTTTTTGCACAGTTAATCAAAATATATTTATATAGACAACATACAAATATAAATTTACTAGAGGGAGACTTTGTACAAAAGTCGATTGCTTGGGTACCTCTGTTCCATTCGTGTTTCAACCGTAAAGCAATTGTGTTTGCATAGCTGTTTCGGTTTGAAGGGTGGGATATAGCGTGAATTTACTGGGTACGGAGTAATTACACCTGAGTCCTCAGTAATGGCAACGCATGGAGGGTATCATGGGCGAAACAGTATACTCTGTTATGTCCATGGTACTGCTCATGTCTATAGGCGACGGTTACCACTTTCCATCAGGTGGACCATCAGCTTGTTTGCCATTCTAAGTTGTATAAAAAAAATTCATTGTGCTATCTATAAAGGCGGCGTTAACAATTACCATCAGATATTCCGTCAGTCTTTGTATTGTTTTTTACTATATAAAAATAAAAGTCAACCAAATGACGTGCAAATATATTACCTTGATGATATTTTAAATACACAACCAGGACTCAACGCGATGTAGAAGCTTTTACAGGTAAATAAAGCTTACATACCAGGCCCCTAGACAAGTGGCAAACGAATTCATCGATGGAATCGACATCGCTAGTGAGTCTGTGAGATAGAATGAGACAGCAATGTCGGATGTCTCATTCCAATTCACGGACTCGCTAGCGATTTTGATTCCATCGAAGAATTCGCTTGCCACTTGTCTAGAGGCCTTGCTTCTATATTGTTGACGTTTCGACGTGGATTGCATCACGTCATGGTCACGACACTACTAATATATTTTATTATATGGTATTATCTACTTGTAAAGGCTTTTACATCGCGTTAAGTTCCGATTGTGTATTTAAAATATGTGTAAACAACGTGAAAGTTTAAAATTAACTACCTTGATGACGTCTCAAATATATATTAAAATACACTATACAAATTATCTGATTTTATTCCTTGAAGCTTTCATCAATCTGTCTTTTTGGAGGGGAAAAAAAATACTCTTGGGAAGGGATGATGTTTGATTCGTGCAGAAAGCATATGGAATCCGCCACCAGTGTTAAATGCTCTTGATAATGTGTGGTTTTAGTAGCACATCAAATGAATGCATGCAAACAATGAAAATGACAATGAATTACATGACTAAAAATTGTTTTTAAACCATGCAGTGCCAATACATTGGAAATCAGAAATATACGTCAAAGTATTCATAGACTTTGAAATGTAATTTTATAATTATGGAACATAAATAAATTAAAAATGTAAAATTTTAATTATGAAAATTAAAAAAAAAAATCGCGTCAAGTTTAACCCTTAGCGACCGAATGAGGTAAATATTTACTACAGGCAAAAACCAATGCAATTTAAAGTTTTAAAAACTTGGAATATGTTATAGAATGTCTATGAATTTTATAAAGATCTAATTCGTTATGGAAATTCTAATATTGTATATAAGAATTTCCAGTCCGACTTTTGAATGGGGTAAAAAGTACCCCAGTATGTACGTTATGTCACGGGACCGAAGTTTGACCGCCAAGGGTTAAGAGAGTTCATAACATTTGCGCACCGAAGTGTGGCAACGTCGCAATTATCTGTCAATTTTTAAAAACAATTTAACATTTTACAATGTTTCTGAGTGATTATTTAAAAAGTGCTCTGCTACCGAACTAAAACGTCAATTCTATAATACGTTGCATATAAATCATTAAAAACTTTGTACTTACTTCATATTTAAAGGATAAGTTTTTGCCATCAAAATCAAAATAGTGACAGCTTAATAAAAATATGATTGCATGATTCATATCCTAGTTTATTATAAGAGCACTTTTTAAATAATCGATCAGAAATATTAAAAAACGTTCATTACTTTTTGAAATTTGACAGTTAATTGCGACGTTGCCACATTCGTTAATACCGAAAGACCCTCGGTAGACTCATGCACGAACCTTTGACTTTATATCTCCGATTGCCGAAGTAAGTGTGAGCGTGTCGTAAGTGAAAAGCGAGAGGGCGATAGAGACAAACCTATAGTAAAAGCCGAGCGTAGGCGTTTCATATTTATCGATGTTTCTAGTGAGTCGCGAGGCCGTGTTAGCGCGCTCCTTGCCCGCATTCGGAAGGTTTTGCGACGACAGCGGCGAACCACTCTTGCTGTCGACAACACGGGCCTTCAGTGGCAGTCGACAGTCGGGGCACATTATAACAAATAATCCTACTACCTTCATCAATATTATAAATGTGAAAGTTGTTTCCTGTTGGCGCCTTAATGGCTTAACCAATGACTATGAAATTTCATACACGTACTATATGGGATGAAGAAAATAGACTTTTTATCCCGGTCAGTGAACATATCCAGGGCACGCGAACGAAGTCGTGGGTAACAGCTAGTGCTATTAATAAATGTTTGCAATTAAAGTTCGTAAGGATATATGTGTGGATGGATATATTTGTTATTGTTTTAAGCAAAAATTAATAAATGGATTTGAATGAAATTTAGTGATCGAATAGTCAATATCCTAACTCAACATATAGAATACTTTATATATTAATTCACACCGTTGAAGTCGCAGCAGGCGGCTAGTAGTATAAATATGAAAGTGTGTTTGTTTGTTACCTCTTAACATTTAACATCTCAATCAATCGTTATCAAATTTCGTAAACACGTAGCATTTGGGATAAAGAAAAACACAGTTAAAATTTGACAATATTTAAAATTTGAGATTATATATTTCTATAATTTAGATTATAGAAATCCAATAGTGAAGCTACATAAAGACAATTTATACGCCAATGTTCACATTTGTCTGGCCATTAGATATTAAAAAAAAAAAAGTAAAAATGGCAGCTCATTTGAAATGCATGGAACTGTACCTACAACAAATCTAAGAACTATGTGATTCCTTGTTCGTAACAATAAACTGTGTAATAACCGAATTTGTTCGTTAATTTGTAAATAATTTTCAAATTCCTTTTTTAATTTTCATAAAATAGCTTTTTTATTAGGTCATTTAAAAATGGAACAATATCATTTTAATTTACCACGACTGTCGACCACCAAATTAGCCAGCGGCTAAAACCTCGTTAGTGACAATATTAAGTCGATGATCACTGTACCCTTAATTTGAATAGAAACCCAAACTCTTCCCTAAACCCTAAGAAGTGGAAAAATATAATGTCTATTTGAAAATTCATATATAATTGAAACGCAAATAAAATGTAATATTTATATATTCTGTTCGTGAATTAAGTTCATGAATCGAGATGTAAAGTTTATAATTACTGATATAAATTAAATTATTATTATTTTAAAACTTATTAAAATTATCATTATGTTTGCGTTTCATTTATAAAACTAACATGTAAACTATATAACACTCAGAAGTTAAACACATCGAATTACCAATAAATATTGAAATTAAAACAACAGGTTTCATGTGTGGGTAATGTAACGATAACTGTGTGCGCGTATTCATATGTACAGCACTCGATTATTTGCTGATGATGAATGACTTTGTTAATTATATCATAAAATGTTAATTTTCTTCAAGCAAATGTCATATAAAAAATATTTATTAGTCTTCGTCTGAATCCGTGAATCAAAATCGGATTCAGAACACCCAAACAAAACAAACTGTCAAACAAAACAAGTCTTTTAACACTAAAACCGTTTGAATTACCGCTGAAGCTTGTTTACTCTTGCTTGCTTAAACCAGATTTACTGATACAAAAAGAAGATAAATGAGGATGAGTTATCTTCTATCTCGTTCACACTTAGTGGTGGGGTCGAGATAGAGGATTGAATCTTTGGAGGTCATATTTATAGTAATGTGTTTTTGATTTTAAATCACTTTATTTTATATATATGTAAAGCTGTTTTTGCGGTCATAGAATATAAATTAATCTATCGGGCGAGTCATATAGTATTTTATTTACTAGGATTAGAGTATTATATGGCTCGTCTATTAATAAATCACAATTATAGAGAAGAAACTGATTCCAAATTTAAAATACTAAAATTAATTACTATTTACCTGGCATTCTCATCGTTCATGAGCGAGATATGGCAATTCCAGCCGGACTCTAACCCCATCTTCTCGCTAAATACCCGCGAGCGTAGTTCGTTCTCCTTGCTGAAGTGAACAAAGCGAATGCAGGCGCGCTCTAATCGTTCAATCAACTCTACCATGTCGCTTTGCGCCTGGTACTGCATTGTTACCATTCCTATAAATATCTGAAAGAAATATCAAAATTTTGTTCTGAATTAAAGTCGGTTATACAATATATAAAGTTGGAAATGCCCAAGTGATACATCTAGTATTGTATGCCTTTGTCAGCTGTAGTTGTTGCTTAGCATCAAATGGATAGCATTTTTTTTTTATACAACTTAGTATAGCAAACAAGCTGACGGCCCACCTGATGGAAAGTGGTAACCGTCGCCTATAGACATGAGCAGTACCATGGACATAACAGAGTATACTGTTTCGCCCATGATACCCCCCCCCCATGCGTTGCAATTTCTGAGGACTCAGGTATTATTCCTCTGTACCCAGTAAATTCACGCCATATCCCACCCTTCAAACCGAAACATAGTCATGCAAACACAGCTGCTTCATGGTTGAAATACGAAAGGGACAGAGGTACCCAAACAATCGACGTTTGTACAAAGTCTCCCTCTCCTCTCCCATACTTTATTGCCAGCACAATTTTTATATAAGATAAAAAATATAATAATATAATTACTAGTTTTCTATGTTAAGGATCATCTGTTAATAAGTGGCAACTGTCTCCAATAGACATGAAGAATACTATGTATATTCCAGAATGTATCCCATTGTACCTGACGGGCTTAGGCTACTCTCAGACAAAATTTACTATTATTAAACAATAATTCTATAAAAAAGATTTTAATTCATGTATTTAGAGATATCCAATAGAATATACGAACATACTTGGTCACACTGCATGTCGAAGTATCCTTCGGTGTCATTGACATCTTCTTCTGTCACATCAGTCAATAGCAATGAATCTGTAATAAATTAAAAATTAAGACTATTTTATATGAACCTAATAATGTATATACATTTTTTTTGATGGGTCAAAATGGTATAGTAACCCCGCCTGCGCTAACGGGATACGCTCGCGAGGCACCGGTGAAGATGAGATAGATGAGAATGTAAACAGGCCAGTTAGCCCATCATGATGAATTCATCAGGAATTAACCATGATAGTTCCCAGGGGAAACCGGAGGAGGTCGACCTGATTGGGTATATTGCTAGCAATGGGATTCTCAGTCTCCATTACTAACAATCCCTTTCCCCCCAATGTATATACATTAGGTCTAGCTGTATGAACTATTAAGATGTTATTGTTGAATAATAACTTCCATGAGCTTTACTCACGTTTTAATCTCGGGGATGTTTTATGTAATAATAGTTTATGTAAATATTTATTTAAATTTCTGTCTTGCACTACTACTGCCCACTCACTACTTCCTATGCCACTGCGTTAGGTTGACTGGAAGAAATCTCTTTTAGAGATAAGTTCGCCTTTGCTAACATTGTTATTAACTTATTGTTGTTAATGTATGTTTTGTATATATATATATATATATATATATATATATATATATATATATATATATATATGTATATATATATATATATATATGTTTGATTAGTTTTGAATTTAATTGGAGCCTGATGCTTAATCGGGCATCCCCAAATTTAAAACGTCTATACGTAAAAAGCCGACATAAATAAATACAATGTTGCGATGTTGATAATTAAATAATTAAACTGTACTGATAGCATCAATGTTTCAATAATCAGATGCTTTGCAAAAACATATTCGGTTCTAAAAGCGTTTTTTTTTTTTAATAAAAATGCCATCACCCCATGGTAAATAATCATAAATACCTCCCTCCCTTCCCGGTCTCTCCAAAACAGACGTAAATCTCTACTAGTACTCGATTTTGTAATAAGCTGAGCTGTCACCATTCAAGGGCTAGATAGTAGGTGTTGTAATAATAGCCTAATAGTAAAACAGAACAGTAGAGATTGTAGATCATTAAATCAAAGTACCATTATGCAAAAATTCATTTAAATCGGTCCAACAGTTTCGTAAATTAGCCCCTACAAATAGACAAACAGAAAAACAAAATATTTTAAAAAACCTGAATGTGTTTTTTTTTATTCAAATTTTTGTTGAGGCTTTAGTACATTGGAGTGACTATGCCAGCCTCATGGGGATTGTCTGAAAGCCAGTCTGTCAGGGACACCTTTACCCACAGATATAGCCGTCTTGCATTGCGACTGCCAGGTTGACCCAGTATTAAATTGACATTACCGTTATATAATGGCATATCGCCCAGAATCTGTTGTTTCATGTTACAATTCCGGCCACATTCCACCAGCAAATGTAGAATGTCTTCTACTTTGTCACAATACATACAATTTGGTGATTGTTTCATTCCTATAAGATGATATAATTTTGGATGTGTTCTACTTCATTTCTAACATCCCCCTGAATCGGTTTTTAGCGTTTTTTACACTTTTATTATATGTATAAATAGTGAGCCTATGAAGGTAGGAGTAGTTATACCACAATAGGCAAGGCTGCTAGTAGGCGTTACGGTATACTAAAGGTGAGGGTGTACGCTACCGGTGGAGTGGAAGTGCGGCGGGGGCTCGTCGGTCCACTGCTGCGAGAGCGGCGCGTACAGCCGCCGGCTGTCCATCGGCAGCTCCAGGTACTGGGCCGCCAGCGACGGTGTGATGCTGCGCGTCAGGGGCCTACCGAACAACGCGTGGCGTGAATTTACTGGGTACGGAGGAATAACACCCGAGTCCTCAGGAATAGCAACGCATGGGGGGTATCATGGGCGAAACAGTATACTCTGTTATGTCCATGGTATTGCTCATGTCTATAAGTGACGGTTATCACTTTCCATCAGGTGGGCCGTCAGCTTGTTTGCCATTCTAAAATGTATAAATAAAAAAATAAAAAAGTCGCAATTTCATCAAAACTGCCGGTCACGCGCATATCACATATTTTAATTTACATGACTCACGCACTACCGACATAATTCTTAAATTTTTAAGGTCTACGTATAAAGTCTTTTTTTTAAATATTTATTAATTTTAAAGACGTTAGATATTTAAATACAAAACCCATGTATGAATAAGATAGAATTTTGAATGAAAATAAAAAAAAAAAAAAAATTATAATATTTCATAACAAAAATAATAGTCGCGACAATATCGTGAATTATTAAAAAATCAAAAATAAAACGTTACAAATACTTTTTTTTAAATATTTTATTAATATGAATTGCGAATTTATTATTATAAATAAATTTTAATTATTAATCATGCTGGTATAAAAATAGTTTTGGAAAAAAAACATCATTATTCAGCCGTTAACTGTACACTGCTGAACATAAGCTTCCTCATAAGGGGAGTATTGCTAGACGTTGCCACACTTGACAGGCGGGTTGGCAACCACAGTTAGACCTTGAATATGTTTTAGGAGGGATGCTGCTGCCCATTCCTCGACGTTTAACTTCTTTTAATTACCTCTTACGACACCCACGGGAAAATAAGAGATGGTCTATGCCGGGATCACAGTGAAAACCCTTAAAAATCAAAAATTATAAAGTATCGTGATATTACAAATAATAAAACTAACTTGTAAGCGAAGGCTGTGCAGTACGCTGTGAGCGAGTTCCTTTGGTAGAAATCTATGATCTTCTTGCGGTCGGACGGCGATATGGGAGTGAGATCTTGTCCGTTCCAGTAGTCCACACACGCGTCCAATATAATATCTGCAGTACCCTGTTACATAATATTATTAAGATTTTAAATCCTAATAAATATTAAGACTTTAATATAATAAATTTGAAGATTTGTAATGATAGACAGATGAATGTTTGTTACTCTTTCACGCAAAAACTACTTATTTATTTATTTATAGAATTACCAACATAAGATACAGCTAAACATTTTAATACAATACACTGGTAGATTAGATCTTACTGTTCTTACATTTATAGGCGACCACAGCATGCCTTGTGTTTGACAAACATTAAAATATAATTAAATTATTAAATGTCATTATATGAGTAAAGATATTAACAATATGAATAATAATATAATATAAATAATGGAAATTGTATTTAAATTATTATAAATTATAAACAAATATAATGTAATGGGGAGGATGGAGTTGAATAAAATTTAATACACGGATAGTTTATATCCTAACTTAGAACATAGGATACTTCATATACTGATTCACGCGGGTAAATCCATAAAACATAGCTAGTATTCTATAAGTTTAAAGCATCTAAGCTTATAGAATACTAGCTATGTCTAATCTAATAAAAGGTCATCACCCATTTTTATATCACTTATATAAATCACTTAACCTTACCGTTAGAGCAGGCGGGGTTACCATTCCATAATAACCTATTAAAGAAAAAAAAAACGTACCTGCGAGAGCATTTGCAGCTGATGTCGCGGGTCACGCACTAGCACGGAAAGCATGTGCGGTAGCGGAACCTTCACGCGCGTGCTCAGCTGTAGCGACCGAACAAATCGCGTCTCGCGGCGGATCGTCTCCGCTTGCTAAAAATAACGTTAGCAATAAGTTTGCGATAGTCGAAAATTGCAAGATATTTGCTGTTAGTTTTTATTTTTTTTTGTATATATCACATAAAAACGATTATATACTTCTTTCTACGTAAATTGCTTGTTCAATATGTTTGTATTGTTTTTAAAAACATTTTTTACTTTACTCTTCGATGTGCTGGTTACAGCCACCGTTTATCATTACACCGCTCGTCATCCGAAGGAAATTTATGCTCACACCCAATAGTAACGCACCGTGCAGTTTCAGAGAAACTTCTTTTTTTATACAACTTAGAATGGCAAACAAGCTGACGGCCCACCTGATGGAAAATGGTAACCTTCGCCTATAGACATGAACAGTATCATGGACATAACAGTACACACACATACTGTTTCGCCCATGATACCCCCCAATGCGTTGCCATTCCTGAGGACTCAGGTGTTATTCTTCTGTACCCTGTAAATTCACGCCATATCCCACCCTTCAAACCGAAAAACAGCTATGCAAACACAACTGCTTCACGGTTGAAACACAAATGGGACAGAGGTACCCAAGCAATCGACTTTTGTACAAAGTTTTCCTCCCGCGAACGCTCAGGTTGTGGAATGATCTTCCTGCCGATGTTCTTTCTAGAGACTACAGAATGGAGTTCTTCAAAAATGGCATAATAAGGTTTCTAAAGAGTCGGAAAATCGCGCTGTTGTTACAGGTTGTTTGTTTGACATAATATAAAAAATATAGCTTTATTCATTTTAATATATTAACACCAAAATGAAGGGGAGAAAGGAATTGCTACTAATGGACACTAAGAATCCCATTGCTAGCAAGATACCTAACCAGGTCGACCTCCACGCGGTTTCCCCTGGAAACTATCATGGTTAATTCTTGATGAATTCGTCATGATGGGCTAACTGGCCTGTTTTCATTTTCATCGATCACCCTTCACTGGTACCCCGCCAGTATATACCGTTAGCGCAGGCGGGGTTGCCATTCCATTTTCAACCATAAAAAAAAACACTAAAATGAATGCAATTGATTAAATATTAAATTATAATATTACCAGTCTTCTAAATATCGGCAGACATTCTTGTACAGTATAGGAGTCGGTAACTGTGTCAGTGAATCCGATCTGCTTTGCCAGTTCGCAGAGGCACCGTCGATTTGTCACAGGCACCAAGTCTTCGCTGTGAGGAGACGCACGGTTCAAGCATAACAGAGCTTTACAATAAGGATAATATATAGATTCATAATATGTTAATCGAAATGGATGGCTATATTTGTGACGAATGATTTTTGTGACGTGTGACGAGTGACGACTAGAACATCTAGTGTCCAAAATAGGCCAAACATCACTTTAGCTGAGTGAATTTTAATACATAATAATAATAATAATAATTTATTTATTTGCTAGAAATGTGGTTATAATAATGGTCTTAAATATTTACACATTCCGCCTTATCTAAAGGCATGCAAATTTAGTATTATAATTTTTTAAACCAAAACAAATCGCGCCATTTTTTCAATGTTGCAAGTAATCAGATCGATTTTTAAAATTAAATTGGGAATTATAATCTGATATAATAAATATACGTATGTATTTACATACTGATTACAAATTAATATCGTTTTAAAACAAATACATATTTTAAGTCTAAACTAAGATATAAATCAACGTTATAAGTAAAAATAAGCATGCACTATTTATCCTGTTATTTCAAATATGTTCGTAAGATTTGAAGTTTTTATTTTTCAACTTAACACTCCAATATATTATTTTCCTACTTACTGAGTAATAACTGTATATTATGGTATCTCTATTCACGCACACATAGATAAGAAAGTTGACCTATTTTCAACGAAGCATTTAGCACGAGAAAGAAGAGATTGAAAATAAACGGGATTAAAATATAATTGCAAACAATATACCCTTATCGCGGGTATCCCTATCCCAAAGAGGGTTGACGTCAGGCAAGTGGCCGGTCGTAAAACTAAAAACCAAATCTTTTTGTAATATGGATAAAATCATATTACGCCGACCCCAAATGATTGGGGTAGGATAAGGGTAGGAAGATGATGATACCCTTATCGCGGAAACCTTCTTATAATCATCGTGATTATTTCTTGATGAATTCGTCACAATGTGCTAACTGACCTGCATTCATCCTCATTTATAATCTGTCACTAGTGTCTTGCCAGCGTATACCAATAGTCTAGTGTTATTAAATTCATTATAATTGTTGCTTCATTTCTTCGTACTGTATAATTATGTTAAAGTGAATGCTGCGAATACCTTTAATAGGCATGTGTATTAATATTGTATTATATTTAATGTTTGTTATATGTGTTATAATGCAATTTGCTGTTGGTGTTCCTTTAAATAAATAAATAAGGGAGGTTACCATTTAATTTTTATCCATTAAAAAAGGAGCCAGCGTACCTGTGCAGTGCCTCGGCGGTGAGGTGTGCGCAGAAGTGTGCGTACGTGTGCCGCGGTGCGGGCGCGCACGTGTTAAGCAGCGCCGCCAGCCCCAGCGGCTTGAGCCGCGCCAGGTGCTGCCGCCACCGCTGGTCGTCGAACTCGACGCAGAACGGCGCGTTCTGGTCGTGCGTCAGGTCCAGCACCTGTTCACACAGTGACACACATACAGGTGTACTTAAACAGTGAGGACGCTCCGTGAGGCATGTGAAGATTCAAGGAAGCTTCTGTGCTTCTGGGTGGAGCTGGGCTGACTGTACTAGCCACGACTCATACGCACAACGGCCCAAACGGCTAAGCGCAGAAAAAAAGAGTCCAATTTGCATTACATTACAGATATATTTACGCTAGCGCCACACTAGGCCGATATTCGGTCGCCGATGATCCGCGACGACACAATTTACTAACACCGGTTACCCAGTACGTAGTATCTGTTAAATTTCTTCTCAATATATTATATAAACGTTCACAACAAGTTGAATAAAAAAAAAATAAGATTTTTAAGCGCTTTGTGTACTTAAAGAAAATTTACTTTGATATAATATCCTAATATGCTCGCGTCCAGCATCCGTTTGGGCATCCGCGTGTCAATTTTGTTTTTGATTACGTAGATAGAGTATCGAATGCAAAACACAGGTCACTTTAATCAGTTAAGGTTTTAGTTGAATGAATTTCAACAATTTATTTTTTTTAACCAAAATTTTACATTATGGTAACCCTATTATATTATTCTGATAAAAAAGTTGGCCTGTTTTTGACGAAACATTTGTACGGTAACTAGGGAAGATCGGCAAAAATGCTTTGCATGGGAGTCCGCGTTAATACAAAATAATTTTTTATTGAGATCATGATCATGAGATCATGTAGGGTACATGAGACTTTACACTAAAATTCCCCGAGTCATCTATATGTAAAAATAATTTATGATTGTGTCCCATTAAAAAATCGACTCAGAATTGATTATTTATCGCAAAACATAAACGAAAAAAATACGGTTAAATTAAGAATATCTTCCATTTTTCAAACCATTTTAAAATATAATGTTTTCTATGTATTTATTAAGTATGATAATAAAAATCTGTTCATACATAATTTTTTAGTTACATATATCACACCCTGTTGTTTTTTACCAATTAGTTATAAACCGTTTACGTTGAGAACTATAATATACATTAAAAAATATGTACTCTTGTTTGTTATTATTATTTTTTACTTACCTCAACGATAGTGGAAAGGATCAGAAGGTTGTTTGTTCTCTGTTGGCTGATTAAGCGTCGTCTGACTCTGGTGACCCATTGAATCTACCAAACTTGTATTGCTCGAATTGTTGGAAGAAGAATTCGTGTTACGGAGAAAAAATACCTTCTCAGCTGTCGGATTTGGCCACGACAATATGCCTTTTTTGTCGATGCAACAAAGAGCCTACAACAAAAACATTAATCATATTATTTGAAACTAGTGACTCACCTGGATTCAAATATATTTTTTTTAAATATAGATAGATATTTTTTATTGTTTCCTCCATAAGATTACAATAGTAAATTCATTATAAATACAAACAATTACAATATAATACAACCCCATGTCACTTTCTGTAAACGTGTTTCATTATCTATTAAGTGAAAGGCTTTTAAAAAAATCGGTTAAGTAGTTTTTGTGTTTATTCATTACAAATAAAAAATTAAATTTTTCCTCTTTATATTAAGTAAAATCTTTATTAATATTATTGACAAGCTTAGCCCGCGACATGGATTGCATGTCCGAGACATAAAAAAATAATATATTATATTTATTTATTTATTTCTCTCACAAAATGACAACATAATAAAATTTACAGCTATATAGGTTACAATTTCTTAAATGACATACAGGTACATATTTTTAAATGACAGGGAAAAAGTATTAGTCCTTAGCTGTATCTTACGGCTTTGCTTGTTTCAATTAGAATAAAAAAATAATATATGTCTAAATCTAGGACATGGTCTTACTGTTAAACATATTTCGCCTAGTGCCTACTCTTAGTTCATTTAAACCTGTACACTTATTTGTGTGTATATCAACATATTATGCCAAAAAACAAACTAATATTAAGAGAAATCAAATAAGGTGCAACGTTACCGATAACGATCCTAAGACATGGACGATATTAGCAGTCCTCGACACCATATTTTCTTTACCAGTGAGTGTGTTAAAAAATGTTTTTCCCAAGGATTTGAGGCTCTCTGGTTTCAAATTGGATTCACTGAGCGCTTGAATGAGCGGGTCGCTGGCATCCTCCGATATCGAACATGACTTAGGACGTATGTATTTTTGACGTGTTTCGGATAGAAGTTTAAACCTGCAGATAAAATTATTAACCATCAGATTTTTTTTTTGTTGTGTATTGAGCGGTAGAATCGTACAAAATAAATGTTATAACAGTATAGTAGTAACTATGCTTAATATAAAAAATAGGGGGGAAAGGGATTGTTAGTATTGGGATCAAATAGCCCCATTACTAGCAATATACCCTGCCAGGTCGACCTCCACGTGGTTCCCCCTGGAAACCGTCGTGGCTAATTCTAGTTGAATTCGTCAGGATGGGCTAACTGACCTGCCTTTTCATTCTCACCTATAATCCCACACTGGTGCCCCGCCACCGTATACCAATAACGCAGACGGGGTTACCATACCATTATCACTCATTAAAAAAAATATAAAAAATATTTTAAGTTTAATGAAATAATATAAATGTCGTATCTATATTAATATTTTTTACGTACTAGATGTGTGTATACTAAATTAGGCGATAACCTAATCTACTCCATCTGAATTCCAATTCTGAGTTCCTGTATAAAAAGTAAAAAATGACGAAATAACTTAGGATTTAAAGAGGTTATCTGTCATTAAATGGTAATCGCTTTATTATAAAAGGTAAAATCGTTAGAGATACATAAAACTAAGGATTTTCCCAATATATCCCGTGAATTTACAGGGTACAGAGGAATAACACCTGAGTCCTCAGGAATGGCAACGCATGGAGGGTATCATGGGCGAAACAGTATACTCTGTTATGTCCATGGTACTGCTCATGTCTATAGACAACGGTTATCACTTTCCATCAGGTGGGTCGTCAGCTTGTTTGCCATTCTAAATTGTATAAAAAAAATATCTAATATTATAAGTAGAGCATATCGAAAAAAAATCCATGATACAAAAATAACAAAATTTGGATCTCCCATCCTAACTCAACAGCAGAATTTGCTGTAATAATTTTAGGAACGATAAAATTTTTGTGTTGTGTTTCTAGTTATGTTTCTTTGGTTAAAACATTAGCTTCAAAGAATTTTAACCTGTATAGAGAACAAAAAATAATAAAAAAAATTTAACATTTAGTAGTTTTTTTTATAAAACTTGTAATAAGAAATTTGCCATAATTCATAAATAGAAGGGGGGGAACAGGATTGTTAGTAACGGACCGTGTTAGATGGACAGTTGTTAGACCCCATTGCTAGCAATAAACCCTCTAAGATCGACCTCCACGCGGTTCACCCATGATTGATCACAACTTGGTTGAATATGTCAATCGGCCAACTGATCTGACTTGTCTCATCATTTTATTCTCCATTGGTGCCCTACCAATATATACCGTTAGTAGAGGCAGGTGCATCATTCCATCTTCAAAAGTATGTGTACAATATTTAATTACCTAGCCATACCGTAGCAGTTGAGGGTAACCCAAGCAATGGGGAAGACAATCTGTAGTACCGGCAATGAGGCGGCAATGGTCTGTAGGAAGTAGATCTCGGTCCAATGCGTGACGCCCGGCAGGTGGTACACGTGGCGCACAAAGCTCGCCACCACCACCAGGGATATCACCAGTGGCAGCACTATCCCTTCCATTATTTTTACTGTACACTGTAATATGAATGAAGGAAAATTTACACATTAATTGGATAGAAGGACATTGATTGCACAATATAAATGCATTACTTCAGGACACCTGCATTTAGAAGGGAAAGATATTGTTGATACAGTTTTAAATATTTATTTTCTCAAAAGATTTACAATCACTAACAGAAAAAATAGAAATTAAGAAATAAAGTCACATGTTCCGGCTAATTTAGTTCTAATATAGGTAGAATTACGAAAAAAAAACAGTATTTAAAGTTGAAAAACTAAATAACCATACGCCAGTGCATAAAACAATAACTAAAGGAAATAAATAATGGGGTCTAACAGCCCCATTGCTAAATATATACCCTAACACGTCGAACTCCATGGGGTATTCCCTAGAAGGCATTGTGGTGAAATTATTGATGAAATAAAATATTGGTCTGAATATCTTTTTTCATGTTTAAAATCAAATGAAACTTGACTGACTGACCTTTGGGAACTAAAAAGAAGGTAATCAGGTAATGTGTATGTTTACAGGGTATTTTATGTAATTTATAATGTGTAGTTTGTATTATTCTTTGTGTATACATATCTTATGTGTTTATACAATATATGCAGATCGTATGACTGCCTAATTTTATTTTTAAAATAACACAATTTACATAAAAAGGTTTTGCTGGAAGAAATCTCTTATTATTATAGATATAAGCTCGCCTTTGTACATTATGTTTATAATGAATTGTGATTAACCATATGTTTTGTGTACAATAAAGAATAAAGAAAGAATAATTAGTAACTGTTTTCATTAAAATTAGTTAAGCGACTTCAGATATTAGCGTGAATGAACATTGTGACACGGAAGTTTTACATTTTAACCCCATTATTCATAAAAAATAAACCCTCGCACAAACCTACTTTAACTATTACAATGTTTTGTCACTTTCATTCATACCGAGAATTAAGGGTAGAAGAAAAAGACAAAAGAGTTCAATAGTTAAAATAGGTTTATGAAGTGTGACGTTTTTATGAATAAGGGAGTATAAAAAAAAATCTATTCTGCATGAAAAGTGGTAAAATACATAATATTTGAGTACTGTTCCCACTCTTTACCAGAATGTGGTATGCAAAATTCATTTAATTGTGCTATGAACATAAAAATCGAATGACATGCAATAATATAGTGGAAACATGTTTACTTATTACATATAATATATGATTACACAAAAAGATTATATGAATAAATATTTTTAATAAAACGACCGACTTACCAAATACCTCTGTTTCTCAAATACTGTAACTGGTCTAGTCGTTGCTTGTTGCAGTGCCAATTTCAAGTTTTTCAAATAAGGTGTCTCGCACAGACGATATGCTTTGTTTTGATGAGGTGTGCGTATTTTCGGTGTAGTTAAAATCTCCGTTTGCTGGAAGTAGAATAAGTTCAACCATTAATTAAGATAACATACCGAAGGGGAGAAGGGAATTTGGCCTCTTAATAAGGCACAAATGTACAACCAGACATGCTTTAACCCTTAAATGCCTGAAGTTCCAAATTTGATACCCGGGTTTGTATTGTTTCATTGTTAAATAAATTTAAATATTTTGATTACCGTAATGCCTAAAGTATCAAAAATTATACCAAATGTTTTTTTCAAAATAAATATATAAAAATACCGTTTTGATTTTTTTTACTATTTTTCCCCATTAGTAAACACAGTAAAGGATACACTTATATATTTTTTTAATTTGATTTAAAAAATCAGGCTTTTAAAGGTTAATGAAGCTTCGGTTGCAGCCTGAGGTGAGGCGTATGTTTTATAATAATAATAATTACTAATGAAAAGCTATCCAAATATACAGACAACAATAGAATATAAAAAAAAAAAACAATGGAAAGCGCACTCCATCCCCATAGTAGTATCGCCTACAGGTATCGTACCCAAAAATATTCGGAAACATTTAGATATCTTACAAATTCGTTCAATACAATAGATTTATTATAGAAAGCCGACATCCTCAATACCTGTTGCATTGTTAGAAAATTTCTTTCATCGTCACTGTCATTGTCCTCATACAAAATTAGAGTCAACCATGCTTGGCTAAAGGCCCGCATGGCTGAACATTTTACCCCCATAAAAAGGGAGATGTTACATACAATATATTATATATACACAATGAACTCTTTAATGCGCACAAAAGAAAATTATACAAGGAGTGTTTGTACAGAATGCACAGAAACTGCTATAGATATGTATATCAGCATACTACACAAAAAATGTTATTTAATTTATGTAAAATATGTATGGTGTGCCTAATTCGAAATAAATAAAAAAAAAACAAAAAAAAAAAGTAACAAAAGGCGGCCATATTGATAAAAGCAATATCTTACGGACAACTTTTATCTTGATTTGCTATCTAGAAGTGTATACTTTATTGGTTTTCCTACTGTTGAAATCAAGCGTAGGAAGTAGTGGGCAAAAAGATAATAATAAAATAAATCTAGGTGATATTATTTTCAAACCTATGTAAGGGAAATATTGCTGAACAAATGAATTTTAAGATCTGCTACTGGCAATCACCAATATTTAGTAAATAAAAATTCATTCATTCATTCTAAGAATAAAAAGAAGAAATAGAAAAGAACCTGTGAACTAGGCTGGAAAATTTGTCCAAAGAAAAGTTCAGAGTCCTCTGGCTCTAGACCTTGACAGTGTCCTGGGACCTCCTGACCTGGTCGTAGCACAATAATGTCACCTTTTACCAGAAGTGCCCATGGTAAATTCACAATGGCAGCTGTGTACAAAAATAAACAAATAATTAACTTTTCATTACATTTGGATTTGTAATTAGTAAAATATTATAATAATTTTAAATCTAACTATAATAATACAAGTAATATTGTAACTAAAAAAAATGTAGTCTGTACATTTTTTTTATGTAACTTAGAATGGAAAGCAAGCTGATGGCTCACCTGATGGAAAGTGGTAATCATAGCCTAAAGATATAGCTGAGCATACTGTTTCTGCATGGAAGATTTAAGAAAAAATATATCAGGGTTCTTAGTAAAACCACTAGAGAAAAAGGAAACAATAGCTTTTAAAAAATTTATCTGTAAATTTGTTCTAGCATTATGCAAAATATACTGCAGCAAATTAAACGCGGTTTTCAGAAATTTATTCCTGAAGGTCAACCACTAGATGATTCTGAAGCGGGCATGGTCCACCCTGTCCCCCTCTAAATACACTTATGACTATAAAGAAAGTTATCAAGTCTCATAAATACATTTTTTTTTTGTTATAATTTAATTGATTATTATTTTTTAAATGATTTTCTTAAGTTTTACCATCTCGATATGTCCACTGGAGTGTCACACAAGGTGAGAATGGAGCACACAGATGAGGATAATGTTCTTGGTCCCATTTTGACTTCTCTATAGCTTCATCTAGTGTCTCTGTGGAAAATAAACATTATATTATACTAAAAAAATATTTTCAATTAGTTCTTTTAAAAAATATGTAGGCTAACAATACCTAAAACTTTTTCAAAATTTCATGTTGACAGTATTTGTAGCAGCTGGGATAAAGCACAGTAAAAGATGGACAAACACATACTCGCTCCATAAGAGTTTCTTTGTAACATAATTCAGTATAAAAAACAAAACAAAGCATGCATACATATGTATATCTTATTTTTATAGGTACTATTTAAAAAATTATTTTACAAAAATCTTACCCAAAACTTTTTTAACTCTATGTGGTATTTCATTTGTATGTAGATATTCTTCGTTGTATGCAACCAGAAAATTTATAACCAATATAATAAACAGATACAATGCTTCCCATAGTAAATATGCATGGGCTTGTACAGATTCACCTACTAAATATGTTAATATCAGGAAAATTATAAATAATAGTGTTATAGTGTAAGCTACTCCTGACAACAGCACCTTCTCGGATGAAAATGATATCACATTTCGTATGAGTGCAAATCTAAAAACATAAATTAAAAATATTATTTCACAGTATTAATTTCAAAAGATATAAAAAGAAACTCCATCCAGATAATAGCCCATTATAACCCCATTGCTGCAGGTCAGAATTAACATTCTTCTTGCCTATTATAGATATTAGTTACCACATTAGTCAAGCAGCTTAGCATAAAAAAATTATTTACTTGAAAAAATATAAGCCATATTTATATATATACTATTTTTATACAGCATCGATGAAGCCTATGCTTCTCATCATAGTAGCCCTTAACCCACTTAGTATCCTTGGGTACCAATGATGGGTGATGAAAGATGGGTGGGTAGATGGTGCATGAAGGCTTCCCTGACTAACGATGAGAAAAAAAGCAAGCCACCACCTTTGATAATAACCATAAAAAATTATAGAGGATAAACACTATCAGCGCCTTTATTAAATCTCAGCGAACTCCGACTGGGACCACGCTAAGGCCTATACTGTATAAGGAACAAAGCAACATCAAGTTATATACAATTGATCATGTGGATTATAATAACCAGACACCAAGGGGCAGAGGTACCGTTAGTAATGGCGAAGTCAGTCCTGCTGTTAGCAATATACCCTGTCAGGTCGACCTCCACGTGGTTCCTTACAGAAACCAACGTGGTTTATTTCAAGTGAATTTGCCATGATGGGCCAACTGACCTGACTTCACTTTCATCCGTCATCACTCACTGGTACCCCGCCAGTGTATACCGATAGCGTAGGCAGGTTCACTTTTCAATTTTCACCCCATAAAAAAATAATCAGATACCTACAAAAGTTGAGGATTACATATGTAAGTGATAACATATGCCTTGGAATTACTATACTGAGATAGATTATATTAAAGGGCTTTTATTAATGATTGTAACACACGAATTATAGTTACTTATTGTTTGAAGAATAGTTACAAGTAAGTATAATAAAATTAAAGAAAGTAACCTCACCGATTTTTCTGTTTATGTTCTTCTAACACAAAACGCATATCATTGCGTAATTTTATTAATGCAGTTTTAGTGGAAAATCCTAATATCTGTTGGTTATCGTCCATTTCTTTAATATAATGTTTTAATCATGTTTTGTTTGCAAAATAAACAAATAATTACGTAGGTACTAAAGGAAAGCTACATACAAATTCGAACTGAACTGGTTCGACTAAATTAAGCAAACGATTAAAGATTATTCGAGTTTCGTATTAGATGGAACTCAAATGTCAGACTCGATCAAATAAACAACAATTTCATAATGTACACCCTCATAGCTGTTCTATGGCATTCTTTTTTTACGCTACTATGTTAATGACAATTAGACTCATGGATCCGTATTTAAAATTAGATCTAGATATTCCTTAATAATGACTAAATGGTATCAATTTTTGAAAATGCTATGGCATCTTTCTTAGGATGGATGATGAAGATGAGAAAGGATGTTGATAAACCAACTTACCTCCTTACGTATTTATTAGTAGCAATACTTATCTTCCATCTCTCTTACGGTGAGTTAGAGCGATGTAAAAAATGCTGACAGAGAGAGGTAAATAAACGTTTCTAACCTCATTTGAAATACAATTGTATGATTCATGGTTTATAAGAGATTGCAATTAAAATAAACAATTAATAAAACAATTTATATTCAACTTGTATAAAAAAAAAAACATACTGATGATCAAATGCTAATGTGCATCTATATAGGTATTAATATTTTTTTATAGATGATAATAGAATGGTAACTCCACCTATGCTATTAGTACATTTTAGTGGGGTACCAGTGAGGGCTAACAACGAAGATGAAAGCAGGTCAGTTAGCCCATCGTGACAAATTCAAGTCAAGACTGAACTATTATTCCAGGGAGAACAGACTAGAAGAAGAGTCGATCTAACAAAATAGTAATTCATTTCTCCACGCCCCCAATTGGAGTTGTAATTAAAAATATAATAATTACCACTACCAAGAGAAAAGGATCTTGGAGGAAATCCCTTTGCTTCGGTTTCTTTTCCGGAGGTAACTATTCTTTGGCTCTTATAGGTACGAAATAAAAACAGGAGAGCTTATAAAAACTAAAGTATGATTTGTCTAATTTTGATTACAACGTAATAGCAATGTATCACCAAGTAGTAATTAAAAGTATAACAAAAATAAACAAAAAAAAATTAGGAAGCTGTTTGGTTTTTTTATAGTCTGTAATTTTTATTTCACTATAATGGAAGAAGATTTTCTAAAAATACAAAGTAATAATTTATCTAGAATTTATCTTACCATCACTATTACAAATAAATAAATATAATATGCACTTCAAAGTTGTAGGTAATTTGTGATTAATTCAATTGTACGAGTACATTTCTAATTCGTGAATTCACTTGCTCGTAAATATATGTATAGGATAAGTGATTATATGTAAGTCAAAGTTATCAAAGTAAGAAGAATTAAATTTTATTTGGATTATAAAAAGTATATTTTAATGGATGATAATGGGATGGTAACCCTGTCTGCGCTAACAGTATATGTCGGCGGGATACTAGTGAGAGATAATAGGTGAGAATGAGAAAACAGGTTAGTTAGCCCATAGCGATGAATACACCTAGAATTCAGCACGTTGGTTACCAGGAAGGGCCCCGTGGACGTTGACTTGGGAGTATATTGCTAGCAATATATAGCTAGTGCATCACCTATATCGATATATTATATTGTTCCTATGAGAATCTCCTCTCGGTGACGGTGGTAACGGTCAAAATTTTAACTTTGTAAATCATCAAAATTTTAACTAGCGGCCAAGTTTTTGAAAATATGTTAAACCGTCATGGCAAGAAGATTTAGTGGATTAATGCGTTCTGATATCTTCAAAAATAGGGCTTGAACTGAAAACTGTTGCGCTCACATAGGAACTATTATTTGGTATTTAGGGTATACAAGACATCTGATACAGCCAATAAAACTTCTGTTCTGTTGAACTTCTGATGAAGAATCTTCAAAGATATAAATGGCAATTAAGTCATCAATATTGGGTTGCTTTAAAACATACGCCCACTTTAAATAACGATGAAACTATTTTTCGTGACTGTACTTGTGAACCCTTAACCGTCAGTATGTGATTCATCAATGGATGCATCATAGCCCTAATCGGGACACGGTTCTTTCCAAAAAAATTAAAAAATCAAATACATATTTAATACAGAAACACAAATAGAAATTATTATTTCTTTCATTTTTATACTACAGTTATCACTCTATTTCTCCCGTTAGGGATTGAAATTTCAAAAACGCTGAAAAACATAGGTATTTATTATTGCTTATAGAGATATTTTAAAAATTCCTTCAGGATTTTATTAAAAAATTTTTATTAATTTATTTCATTACTTACCCATTATGTACCTTAGTATATGTAAACCAGACATGGATTTTATCATTATTAAACGTGTACTATAATTTTATGTTTATAAGCGAGTAATCGAGTTTAGTATCGATTGTATACTGACACTGACACTATACAACACTACATGAAGTGGATAGTCCAAAGCGAACGTAAGTACATTTTGTACGTCTATCCGTAATACTCTCGGTCATTCGCTTAGTAATCGTAACTAGATAAAATCAAAAATATAATTTAATCGTTACAAAACCAACAATACATTTATTGTTATTATATAGAGTTGTGTGAAGATGCTATTCAGTTTGTGTATGTCATTGTGTTGTGTCTAGTGTGTGCCATCGCCATAGTGGGATTAAATGAAAAATATAAGAAAATATGTGTCGATCGCTTCTTATTTGGATTAAAGTTATCCTAATCGTAATGGTATAACAATAAATAAGTTCGGCAGCTATGGCTTACAATCAATCATATAAACTGACAACAAAATGCAGGGTCACAACAAAAGGACCAAATTTTATGCTGCTGTTTTGGTATACCTTCATTATCTGTTTATTTAGTCTACCGTCTGTAATGTCTTTTTGTGCTAGTGGTACTGTCGAAGTTATTTACGGAAACCCTCTGGAATTATACTGCAGTAGTGAAAAACCATCGCGGTATCTCGCTATTTTACAAGGCTCTCAAGTTATGAATAACACTGTCAGAATTAATGACACCACAATAAAATTGTATATAGAGAAACCAGAGAAGACTTCAATGACATATGCGTGTCAGACTGAAGACGGTGTTAAATGTTACACCAGAGTGCTGGTTGATTCACCACCTATGAATGTGACTGATTTTACCTGTATCTCTTATAACCTAGATTACATGAACTGTTCATGGACTGCACCGATCAAAATTGCTCTTATTAATTATAGTTTGAAAGTGCTTGTCAACAAGGATTACAGAGTGCCATGTGAAATAAAAGTAGTTAATACTTATTCACATTACTGTGTATGGGATAATAGAGAGCATGACAACTATACTGTATATAGGGAGACCGAGGATACATATTACTTTCAACTTACAGCCAGCAATAAATTTGGGTCCCGGGTTCAGAATTTTGAAATAGACCATTATTCATTTGTTAAACCTGGTGCACCAACTAATGTTAGAGTAATTACAAAGATGACAAAAAGCCACAGTGTAATGTTGCAGTGGGATATTCCTAGTGTTTTAGCTCACCTGTTAAAGTGTGGTGTGGAACACAGGATGGAGTATCAGATAGCTAAAATTGATAGAACTGATGAATTTCGTAGTGTAAATGTTACAAGCCTACCGATAAATAATACGACTTACAAATTTTTGCTGAAGAACTTGCCATATGCTCATATGCAGTATGAGGTACGTATATATATAAGATCCAAGAAAGCAGTGAAAGAAGAATTCTGGTCAGATTATAATTACACAATTTTTTTCACGGCTAGTGAGAGACCTAGGCGATCGCCAGACGTAATAGCCGGAGCATTTACTGAGACCCAATATGAACTTGCATCTACATCATATAGAAACATCATGGTCTATTGGAGGCAGCTTGAAGAATATGAAGAAGCCGGGGAAAATTTCACTTACAAGGTATATGTAACAAGAAACAATAAAACTGAAGTAAAGTTCCCTAACAAAACATTAAGTTTAAGTTACATAGCACTGGACAAAGTTCCAAAGGAACCAATGCAAATTGCTGTAGCATCGAATAATGTAAATGGATCTTCTATTAACAGCAGCCACCTTTATATACCAGCTGAGGTTGATAGAAATTTGAAAGTATCTAGATTCACCCAAATAGCTTATGATGGAGGGATTTACAGACTGTCGTGGGTAACAAAAGAAAATACAACTAAAGTGGACAACTACACTCTTTTATGGTGTCAACATAACATTACTAAAATTTGTTCAGGACGCCTAAATTTTAAAGTATTAGATGGTGACATAAACAATTACAAAATAAATTTGACTAATGAATACAGATATCAGTTTGCTATATCTGCTAATAAGGGAATGGCCACAAGCGGAATTGTTTGGGCTACATGTGACATGTCAAAGGATACACTACAAGTGTATAGCTTTCCTGTTTCAATACAAACGGAAAGTACTGGGAAATCATTTGTTGCGATCTCGTGGTCCTTCAGTTGTGAAATAAATCAAGAACCTAATCCTTCCATTATAGGATACAATATTACTTACTGTGTTGGTTTAAAAACTCATAGTGAATGTGACCCATCATATAATTCAAGCAGCATTATTATTAATGATTTGCATCAAATGAAACTGAACATAACTGGTTTACGGCCATTTAAGACTTATCTTTTTACTGTTTCATTGGTCACAATTTATGGAACTATGAAATTACCTACAATAAGATCAGTTACTACTACTGAAGATACTCCAACTCCTCCAAGAAATATAAATATTTTTAATGTTCAAAGTAATTCATTTGATATATCATTCGATCCTCCTGATCCTAGAAATGGAATTATTGGAAACTATAATATTTATTGTAATGGAAAATTTCAAAAAGCAATAGATGTCGAAAGTGGTAGTAATGATTTAAACAGAAGAAATGTCTCATTGACAGGCTTAGATCCTTTCACTAATTATACTTGTACTGTGAATGCTTGTAATATTGGAATAAAGAACTGCTCTCAGCCAGCTCCAAAGAATGGTATATTTGTTCGAACAAGAATTGGCGCTCCAAGCCAAATACAAACTGTTAATATTCATAGTAAACCTGATTATATTACATGGGAGACACCTCTAAAACATGGTGGAAATATTGATTATTATCAAATAAGAAGAACTATAGATGGAAAAGAACCGACTATTCACAAAGCAAATAATTTGTCATTTAATTTGATGTTATGTTCTGGTGTACAAAACAATGAAACATTTGAAATTAGGGCTGTAAATTTGGATAACGATACTAACCATGGAGTTATTGCTTTTGATGAAACTGTTGTTACTGTACCTATAAAGAGTGAAGAAAAGGAGCTTGAATTTGCAGGTGAATGGAGTAGACCATTTCTAAATACATGTACAATTAATGATAACACTACAGTAGTTGTAATCATATTGATAGTATTTGCATTAATATGTGTGGGATATGGTTGTATAAAGTTGTACCAAAAGTATAAAAATATGGACATAAAACCTGTCATGCCAGAAGGCTTATTAATACCAGGCCCAGAAAAGTATGTTTTCGAAGCATTTAATACATTGAATAAAGATATCAAATTGTCTTCAGATGAAACATTGCCATTGACAAATACTAAAACTTTAGTGGCTCCTTCAGAAGTTACACAAAAAGATAACAGCAATTGCAACTCAAGTAATCAAACAGAAAGCAGTGGTTTATCAGAAACATACCACGGACCCATAGATAGACATCCTTCTACGTCAGATGATGATTCAAACACATCTCTTAATCTAGAAGATGCTTCGAAAATAGAACACTTTTCAAAAGATGAAGAATATTCTTTTACTGATTCTGACGATAAACTTTATAGGGATAGTTTTAACGAAAAGCCTTTTGTCTCAAACCATCCACCCGTAATAAATCCAAGTACTGGTTATGTTCAATCTGTTCCAACACCACTGAAACATCAAACACCCAAGCTTTCAATAGAGCCTTCAAATTCAAGTTACGTGAAGGCCGGACTTTCGCCGCCGATATTTACTACTGGAGTACTCCCACCTATAGTGAAAAATCACCCACCTACCTCTTCAGGATACGTGCTTCGTGAAGATGCTCTTGCGAACTCGATGATTATACCTAATTTGGGATCACCTGCTATGCCGTTCGGACCAGAGAGCTTGCCGACCACGCCAAACTTGCCACACCCTACAAAGCAAAACCCAAACAGCTACATTCAGCTGCAGTCATTAGACGCCTTGTCTAGTCTTAAGCCGACCGAGCGTAATATTGTGCCATCAATGAAACCGACTTCTGCCGTCATCAGTCCCGGTGATGCAGTTATAAATAAGCATTTAAGCAATGTGCTGTCCGCCAGCCAGCTGGCTGATGATCCGCCTGTCTTAGACCCCGCGATGTCACCGAATGCGTATTGTCGTTTCTCTTGGAATACGGATCCTGCTAACGACAATCTAAAGACGTTTTACTCGCCAACTAGTGACACGTATAATAATTAATTAATAGGTTGAACATATATAGTGACAAGTGATATCAACACTGAATGATATATTATGATAGGTATTATAGACTGAATTGTAAATATTGAACATTGTAAGCTTTAGAGAGCGAATATTGAATAGGACTTAATTTTTATACAAGAATGTGGATGTGTTGTCTAGTGATAATCCTTGTGCCTTATTAAATTATTTTAGGTGATATGAAAGAAACTCAATAGGTAAGAAATTTATTGCTTTAATAGGTATAATAGTTATTAGTTTCGGTAATTTGCATTTATACCACTAAGGTGGCAATCAAGCATACGGCCCATTTGATGGTAAGTGGTTACTGCAGCCTATGAACACCTACAATACCAGGGGTATTACACGCACGTTGGCGACCCTGAAGAAACCTCTTTATCCCCCTTTTGAAGAACCGTATACTTAGTCTCTTGGGAAAACTTCGGCAGGGAGCTCAGTCCATAACCTGAATGTTCGTAGGAGAAAACATCTCTGATTTTCTGAAAATTTAATTAAAATAGAACAAATGATTATATAATAAATAAAAAAATATCAAAATCAGTTCAGCAGGGTGACAACAAAATTGAATTGAAATAAAAAGAACATAAATTTTATCCCAATTCGAATGGATTAAAGTTATCATATTTAATTTACAAATACCCATAGGAATGCAATAGAATAAGTTGCAAATATTCAACTACTAAAAATTTTGCGTTTGACATTTTTAAATAGCAATTTCCCATCAAAATCCAAAACTTTCTATTGGCATACAATTTACATGCACATTTTAGTTTGCTATAGGAACACTTTTAAATAATCAAAATTACTGAAACATAATTTCGACGTTATGCTACATTTCGACAAACTTTGACTTGAACACTCTTATGATTTTGTTTAGTAACAATATGATAAGCGTATTTATCTGAAATTAGTACAAGCAAATATTTACACTCTACTAAATATTAGTTTAGTGATATATTAATTTGTTTTTCGTTTATCGTATTATACTAAGTATTATTAATTACAAGGCAAAGTATATTATTACGGTCACATGTGATTTAATATTACTGGTTTTTGAAGTGTTTCAGGCAAAGATGATACTTTTTTAAATTTCGTGACGTAGCTAACAGTAGTTAGCAGTAACTAGCCTCTATTACAATGTAACAATATATTTAATGAAAAAATTATTGAGCGTATAAGTACGCTCAATAATTTTATAGATAATCAAAAATTGCATAGATAATCTGGTGCCATATTTGACAGGGATATTTTATATAACTTTTTGACAATACCTAAATTTTTACGGCTCATTCTCAATATGAGAGCTAAGAATCCCTTTCCCCTCAGCTTTGATTAGTTAAGCCGTTTTGACGCTATAAGTAAAAGAAAAAAAATCTCACTTTTATATTTATAATATTAGTAAGGATTAATGCATAATTAAAAATTTTACTATGATAGTGTATTAATTATATATCATATATTTTTTTATTTTGTCTTTTTTTTCTTGAAAAGTGTGCACTAAAAAGACGAGATTTTACTTTCCTCGTTTACTTTCTTTAAAATTTACCTACCTGCTACTACGCCATTCTAATTTATTACCTTTTGATGGGCACATACACTGAGAGGGAACTCCTTATCTGTACCCTCCATATTCCCCGATAATAGATTGGAAATTGCTAGAAATTTTAATTACAATTGTTTAGGAAACGCCTACTTAGCGGATACTATGGGAAGGACAACTGAGTTTCGTAAACAAAAAATTTATAGGGTCGAAAGATGAGAACATTGTATAAAAAATACACACACTATTAAGAAAATCTTTTATTACTTAACATACTAATTTAAACAAAGAACCGTGACGGCGGGGGTTGTTAAAATTTTTAAAATGTTTGTTGCAGTATCTGTTAACAGTTGCAACGAGTTATATGATAATAATGGAGGGTATCTATAAAGTGAATTTAATCGCAAGCGACTTGAGTGCAGAGGAGACCGTCCTGCAGATCGCGGATACACTGGACAATCTGAATGGGATCATAGATGACGTATTTTCTCGCCTCTCTTGCCGCATAAAACAGAACATAGACAAAACTAACAAATTGAAAAATAGGATAGAAACATCAAGAGCGAAAGTAGAAAAGCTGACCGGAATACAAAAGGCTATTAAAGTGTTCTCCAGCGCTAAGTATCCAGCGTCTATTGTACATGAGCATTACCAGTCGGTATTCGGTTTAGATGGTTATCAACACCAACCTAAGAAAATAACTCTGAGCGGTAAAAGCCAGGGGCAGTCGGGCAGGAAGGAATCGCAGGTTTGTTTAATAATCCACATACCAAATATAAAACCTATATATTTACATAATACATAATTTCTGTAATAATGTTTGCTAATTAGTTCACAAGCATTAGACACAACACTAAGGTGGTATTAATTCTTTATAGGACAAAATTCATTTCTACCATGTAAAAGTGGCCGAACCCAAAATACAACCGAAAGATGATTTCGATTTCCACTCTATAATTGAAAAGGTGACGACTGTTGGGGAACTTTTGATTTTCAACACCAATGAGAGTCCATATCTTGACCCTCCAACCAAACCAGCGTATGTGCCAACAATTAGTACCAACGTTGCAAGCAAGAGTTTGTTAGAAGCTGCGCCGACTTCTATTATGAGGAGAGACATATTAAAAAGAGAAATGGACGAGTATATGTACGCTCCAGGCATTGGAATGGTAAGTTGTCGATTCAAAAATTTCTTTATATTTCATATTAGCCTTTACCCGCCACTTCATCTCCGTAATTAGGGTTATGGTTACTGATTAGGATAAAAAGTAGCCATATTCTTTTAGTCATTAAGTTGTTAAGGGTCTCGGAAGTAACAAACAGTCTCTTTTATATTTATAATATTAGTAAACATCTATCCGATTAGGAAACGACGGGAGGAGTTATCAAAATCCATAATAAGACCGGCAACTTTAAATAAACAATAATCATTGACTAATACCTACTACGAATCAAAGTTGTTCATCGATGTTTGAATTTTTTTTTAATTAGTTTTATTTTGTTAATAGAATTTTGCTGTATACCAAATTACAATCAATTTAACTGTTACCATATAGGTACCAGAATTGGAGATGCCCCTGGACTTGCCCCATTTGCCGGGTATAGCTGGGGACGTGCAGTTCTCTGTGCCAACTGAGGGATCCATCGCGCCATCTGTAGTCACATCTCCTGTCGCCACTCTCATTACATTATCGGAGTCCGAACTGCCCGATTTAAAAGAACTGCCCGGTGCTAAAGAGCTTCCGGATGTCAAGTTGGAAGCGTCTGTGCCGGATATTCCGGACGCACCACCGTTACCAGCACCGGCGCCATTAAGCGTGCAAGTGGCGCCCCCACCGCCTCCGCCGCCACCACCACCACCACCACCCCCACCACCAATGGAGGCTGTATCACCTGCCAGTATTAACAAGTAAGTGTTTATCATTGTAACTCACTAACAATGTTTACGTTACTGTTTGTATTCTATAGCTTTTTGGGCAATATTAAAGTTACCCCCTTATTCATAAAAACTAAAAAACCTTCAAACCTGTTTTTAACTATATGTTTTATCATTTTCTTCATTTACCTTAAAAGAAAAAAACAAAATAATTCAATAGCTTAAAGATTTAAGTAGCACGGTTGAGTTTTTCATGAAGAAAGATGGGGTAAGTCGTTACTTATATAGATCAGCATTAATTTTTATATCGCTATATTCGGTGTATTTACCCTCATTGATTGATTTATAAAGTACTTTACATCTATTTCTTTCGAGCTAGATAAATTTTACTGCGTTAAATTCTTAAATGTGTCCGTTTTATTACGTGTCAGAGATTGACAAGTTAGTGTACACAGCTGGCAATCCAATCTGTACAACCTGTCAGTTTTTTTTTTTTCTAATAGGTATCCCCAATCTGCTGTAGTTTTTTTTTTCCTGATTTTTTGTTCTAAATCAATCCGGACCATGTGTTGAAATGCTTCATTTGCACATGTTATTGAAAAATAATATACATATGTATATAGTTGTTATTCTAACTTTTGTGTGGTTAGGCAAATTGTAATTTTTAACTAATTTCCAAACGGAGGTATTTCATTAAATTTATTTTGTGTCACTTTTGAATTCTGAATTGAATTGTTTTTTTTTTTTCGTAACCGATTTATTGAAGCTGCTGTTCTTTGCGAAGCAAAATCTGCATAGTTTGGGACAAAATCTATTTGTAAATGTGAATCCGGCTCGCTTATCGGTTTATCGGTGTATATATGTGTTCACAAATGAGAACGTTGTTTTGTAGAGCAAAATGTACTGTACTAGTTTTGAAACTAGTAAATAATAACAACGTAAGTTAGTATTTAACATACATATTTGTTTTCCATTAGTGTGATTGCTGATAACATTACGTTAAAACAATACTCGTTTTAATTAGGGTACAAGGATAGAGGATAATAGAATAACTTTAAAGTAATAGGTTATACCTAATGAATTCTGACAGAGATGCCAAATGTAGTGATAATTAAATATATTTGTTTTTAAAATAATATTTACATAAACATTCGTTATTTATACATGCTAAATCTATAAATAGGGGGGAGTCCCCCTATTGGAGAGGTTTATGTACAGCAGTGGACAGTTAACGGCTGATATGATGATGCAGTCTATAAATAGATTTTTTTTATGTAACTTAAAATGGCAAACAAAAAAAAAAAGAAATGAATGTAATGTGACTACGTGATAATAGTAATAGATTTAAAAAAAAAAGTCTAAAGGCTGAAGACACAATCCAAAGTTTGTATTTTAGAAATTAATTAAATTATTAATATTATTTTAATTAATCGTTTCGTTTGTGGACGGCGGCACTTATCATCGTATGCGTAGCTGTACTCCTTTGCCTATTATGCTGTGAAAGAAAAAAAAACTTATTTTCTGGAAACGTATTTAAATCGCATTTCCCAGCACCTGTACAGAATCTTTAAGTTACGGCCCACTTGTCCCTTCTTAACTTTACATATACATAGAATATTAATAAGAGAAGCGTCTAATAAACAAACATAACTCCGTGTTGAAACGTGAAAGTAGTGTAAATGTAATATTGTAAACAATTTTAACTCAATAAAATCACATTTACATCGCTTCCACGTTTCGTTCGTTATCATTCTATCTGTAGACGTCGAGATGCTTATTAAGTGACTTTACAAGGAGTAGATTCTTAATTTGCTTACTCCTTTTTTAAATTTATGTAGTTAAAAGTCCATTGCTGAACATAGGCCTCTCCATATTGGGGGAGTTTTGTTTCTTTGGGAGTTAGTAGTTGCTACGCTTGGCAGGCGGGTTAGCTAACCCGTTAAGATTGGGTGGAAAGGGATAGTTAGTAATGGGGTCAAATAGCCTCATTACTAGCAATATACCCTGTCAGGTCGACCTCCACGTGGTCCCCCCTGGAAACCAACGTGGATAATTCTAGTTGAATTCGTCCTGCTTTCCTTTTTTTTTCTTGTTTTTCTTTGAAGTGACCTGCTTTCATCAGTCATCTTTCACTGGTGCCCCGCCAGTATATACCGATAGCGCAGGAGGGGTACCATTCCATTATCACTCATTAAAAAACCCGTTAGGATTAGGGGTTAGGCGGGTGACTGCAGTTAGGCTTTGATGATGTTTAAATGAGTCACACTGTCGCCCATTCCTCAATCATTAAGTTTCAATTCAAGTATTATAAAAAAAATAGTATCACTCATGGCAAAGTATTATGGGGCAATAATGGCAATAAACCTTATTTATTGCAAAAAGAATGGTCATAATCACGACTGAATTGGCGAAACTATCGCATTATATACTTTGAAAAATAAAGACCTTTTGATAGTTTTTTTTAACAACACTAGGATCTAGTATTGGGATGTAAATACTTTATTCTAAAGGAAAATACCATAAGCGTTTATTATTACATGTTAAATTCATTGTAATACTCTCATTTAAACATTTTAATCAATCGTAACGAACAGGATGTGTTTACAAATCGTACGTATTTCCACGTAACATAATCTTTAGTAGAAACAGCCGTTTTCAAAACAAACCGCGTGCGCGTGTTCCAATGAATAACGCAACGCCAAACCTATAATGGATATCAAAACTGTACCTAGTTCAAACCCACTGTTTTGAAGTATTATTTCAGTAACACTTGATTTTGTTATTTATCATCATTACCATAGGCGTAGGCATGTAATAAATTGGTCACGTAACTCAAAGAACCGACAACCGATGGGAAAGAAAGGTTCTTGAGTGGCGACCCCATACGGGCAAACGCAGTGTGAGACGACCCTCCATTAGGTGGATTGACGACCTCAAATGTATTGGGATATAAATGGAATGGAACTCTGCCTGTGTTATTGATTTACGCTGACGAGCTATCTGTAAGTGATAGATGACGAAGTCAAGTCAAGTAGTCAATCATGACGAATTCAACAGGAATTAATTACGATTACAGAGTTTTCAGGGGTGACAGCATGGGGACTTATTATAGAATAATCCCATCATTATTATTAATAATTAGGCCGTCATTCACCGTTAATAAAAATCTCCATTTAATATTTAAAACACGATTATATATTCTTAATTACACTAAAATATAGTCATTATAACAATAAGTAATAACGTAAGTAAAGTTGAAATTATATCTAAAAGAGAACCCTTCCAGTCGACATAATACAGTAGCATATGAAGTAGTGAATGGGCAACAGTAGTGCAAAACAGAAAACTAAACAATAATAATAAATATTTACATAATTTACAACAAATCATTTTGTACATTTCAAGGGAAATATTTTTTTATTTGTCTTTAAAGTAGAAACTGTTAACTCTGGACTATAAATATAGAACTAGACTTGTATTTAGAAAGGTGTTATTTATTTATTTGGTATATATATATATATATATATATATATATATATATATATATATATATATATATATATATGATGTATTATATACACACCTACAGTGTAATTCATTTCTGTCTTAAAAAGGTTTGCTAAGAGGAAAAATCTTAAAAATAGTGTGTGCATTCGTCAACGGCCTTGATATAAATTTGCATCGTCTGGTGTGGGGATGCTAATGATTCTCCATAACGGGTGGGCAGAGTTGTTTACAAACTTAACGAAAGATGTGTGTAAACAACTTAATATGGGCGAGTATTATTAAAGTTCGTAGCAAACATGATCAAAACCGTAGAAAATGAAACTTGCAAAATTTCACGTATAAACTTTTTAGTACGTTTAACGGTTACTGCACAAGTTACACAGTATTACTTTAACAATTAAGTTACTTTCCGTTTTCAATGTAATGATTCTTTTAAAAAGTAAAACAAGTACTTTGTTATTGTTAGCTTTTTTATGTAATAATTACCTAATTAACATACGTGTAATTAGATCGAAAAAGCTCGACCAGTGCATTTTGCATTCCAAAAAAAAAGGAACTTTAATCGTAACTATGAAATATTTCGATAAACCACCAGATGTAGACATATTAACTGAATAATGTGTCGACAAGTAAATTTTGCTTTACAACAAGCCGTTTTAGCTCGCATATGATTGGGTTCCACAAAAAACCGATTTTAATAAAATTTCTATTGGATCAATTTGTAAATATTATATCCTTTCAGATAAAAAAAAAAGAATTTTTTAAATCCGTTTCTAACTAATAACTTCGTTCTTTTTGAATTCGGTTGAAAAGAAAACGACGACTTCAGTTGTTACGAAATTATACGGAACTACTACGGGAATAAACTTTTTGGTAGCAAAATTCCTTAATTATCAATAATACCAACTTGTGATATGGTGTTATTCTAATTCATAGGCGATTGTTACCACTTCTCAATAGGCAGGTGGGACGCCATTTGCCGTTTTCATTATAATAAAAAAAAAATGTTGATCCGCCTTAATGTTTCGTCTATAAATAAAGTTTATTGTTTATGTCATACTGCGTGTAATATTATGGACAATATCCGGACATTTCGATGACTTACAGTGATATTACACCCACTCGATCAATGTCGCGTGGGCATAATAACTTGGGACGATCGACGATTGCGGTTTGTAAAACATCGAGCAACAATCGATCAATTTTGTGCTTAAGTCGAACTGATTCTCTGCGAATATATCTCAGATCGACAATAAATCGAATACAGTCGTTTGAAACAATGATCGATGCTCGAATTAGGGGTTTGGTTATAACAAAGCCGTATACAACTGTTGATAAATCAATGCTTCGATTGATTCGCGAAATCGGTTTAGTAAACATTGTAACGATCGACATAGAATGATCTACATCATATATTATTATTCTAAAGAATTAAATATAGTTCTAAAGAAACATGGACCTAAAGACGACAAACAATTTTGACCATCTCTGTAAGTTAAAAGGAAGGCTCAAATATGTTTTTTCAT